GAGGGGCAGCTCTGCCTGGACCCCAGGAGTGGCTCAAGCCAGAACCAGACCCACCTCCACTGCTCCTGCCTTCTCCCATCTGAATGTAGCCCAACTGGACCCCGAAGGCCCAGTGGAGGGCCCGCTGCACAGGTCCTTTCCAGTGTCTAAGGCCTCTCGGAACAGATGGAGACAGATTCCCCCCCACGCACACACACACACATACTATTCCTCCCTTCCTTCCTCCCTCCCTCCCTCCTTTCTTTCTTAAGTTTGAGCTCAGGGTTTCATGTTGCTAGGCAGGCACTTTACCACTTGAGCCAAGCCCCTAGTCTTTTCTGGTTTTTCTTTCTTTTTTTTTGCGGGGGGGGGCAGGGAGGGGGGGCAGTGGTCAGTCCTGGGGCTTGGACCCTGGGCCTGGGCGCTGTCCCTCAGCTCTTCAGCTCAAGGCGAGCACTCTACCACTTGAGCCACAGAGTCACTTCTGGTTTTCCAGTGATTCACTGGAGATAAGTCTCACAGATGTTCCAGCCGGGGCTGGCTTTGAATCTCCATCCTCAGATCTCAGCCTCCTGAGCAGCTAGGATTTCAGGTGTGAGCCATCAGTGCCCGGCTCTGCACTGGCATTTTTAAGTTAGAGTCTCATTACTAGTTTTTTTTCTGGAGCTGGCCTGTACTGCAATCTCCTATTTACACTTGCCATTTGCAGCTGGGATGACAGATGTGTGCCACCATGCCCAGCATTTTCATGGAGATGGAGTCTTGCACACTTCTTTGCCTGGTCTTTCCTGGACCTGCAATTCTAATCTCGACTTCTCCAAGTAGCTGAGGTTATAGATGTGAGCCACCGGCACCAAGCCTTGGGAGCCGTCCTTTATTCTGTGCTGACCTCATCTCGCCTAGAATCGCGGGTCCTGCACACTGTCTCCGCCGTGCTGTGCACATTCTTTGAATTATTCTTGCTCCATACTCCTAAGCATCTCATGCGCTCAGGGCTATTTTTATCCCCATTTGCAGAGGAGGGAGCAGAGGCTCATGGGAAGACAGCTGTGCAAGGGGAAGCCATGGCGCTAGGATCGCCTGGCTGCGTGCGGCCTAAGCCCAAGGCTCACGTCTCGGTGCTGCTCCTGTGCCCTCTGCTGCCTGGGGCGGGGTGGGGTGGGGGTCCCCAGAAAGCCAGCTCGGCCTTTCTGTTGTTTCTCAGTGGAGCCTCAGGGCCGTGGGAGGTGTGGAGGAGACACCCTAGTCTCTGCCTTCCACCATTTTGGCCCTGATGATCCCCCTGCATTCTCTGGGTGACGCCATGCTGCCCTGGCCCTCCCATGCCCCCCACCAGGCATCTTCACAACAGCCGAACCGCTTGTGTGGCCTCGGAACGGCTCTGACCCCCGGGCTTCTCCCCACGCAGCTGCTGCCCTTTGCCCCCTGTGCCAGCCTCACCCAGCCCGGTGGCTGGCACACCTGTGCTCACCCCGGGGCTTCGCCCTGGACCACAGCCCCCCCTCCACCCTGCCACCGGCCCCGGGCCCTTCTCCTCTCCCTCCTAGGAGGTGGGGGCCCCAAGGGCAGGAAGGAGCCCACGGAGCTCAGCGCGAGGCCAGCAGATCCGTGCGAGCTGGCGGCGCCGGTGCCCGGGGAGCGGCTGTGCCCGCTCTTTCCTTTTTGGTGCTACTACCTCGGCCTGAATGCAACACCTTACTTTGCTCTCTCAGAAAGCTGTTTGTTCCCGATGGGTGCTCTAACACCAAGTCATGCCCCCCGTGTGGGTTTTTGCTGCTTTGCGACACACACAGCGTCATCTGCTCTCTTCTATTCTGACCCTTCCTGCACCTCCCCTCAGCACCCCGCTGCCGCTGCCCAGGAGACTGGGCGCCCGCCACCCCTGGTGGGGAGGGTTTACCCGCCCACTCCCCACTTTACCTTTCCCGTTGCACCGTGAGACACAAACTTGGCTCCCTCCCTCTGGGCGATTTCCACCTGCTTGCGGGCGATGCAGGGCCTGGCCAGAGAGGTGCCCAGGAGGTAGCGGTCCTCATAGAGGGCACTGGACTGGACGGCAGGCCAGATGAATTCCTCCACAAACTCCTTGCTCACGTCCTCGATGAACACCTGTGGAGAGAGGGGCTGTGAGGGGGGCCTGGCAGGAATGGAGGGGGTGTCCAACTTGAACTCAGAGCCCTGGGTCGGGGGGTGGCTCGGGGGCCCAGAGCAATAGACCACACACAGAGAGCTCTACCAGCTCCTCGGGCAGCGGTAGTGAGGCATCACTCATCAATTCCAGCAATCCATGCTCCCGCTCCCCCTCCTGCACTCATGACAGACACTGTTCATCGATCCTGATGAAATGGATGTGGCTCTGAACTCTTTCCAACATGATGGAGCACAGTTGCCAGAGATCAAGAGGGCAGTGGTTCTCAGACAGGGGTGTGTGTGCCCCAGGGGCTGCGTGCTGGAACCTGACTGCAGGAGGGGGAGGGGGAGGGGAGGGGAGGACCTGGGACACCTGGCAGAGGGACGTTGTTAACATCCTCAAAGGTCCAGGACAGACACACGTAAGTACCACCAAGAATGATGGCTCCCAAGATGCAGGCCTAGGTAGGGGGTCCCGAGACCCCTCAGGGAGACTGTGGAAACACTGTGTGATGTCACTCCGAGGTCATTTACCCTCGTGTGTGTGTGTGTGTGTGTGTGTGTGTGTGTGTGTCTGTGTGTGTGTGATGGGGCTGGGCATTGTCCTCAAGGCCAGTGCCCTACCACTTAAGCCAGCTTCACTTCCGGCTTTTTGGTGGTTTATTAGAGGTAAGTCTCACAGGCTGGCTTCAAACCCACGATCCTTAGATCTCAGTCTCTGGGAGGAGCTAGGATTGCAGGCATGAGCCACTAGTGCTGCTCTCCTGTTTTTGTTTCTGCTTTCTAACTATGGTGACTATGTATTAGCAATGATGGGTGTTTCCTCAATTAATACGTATGTGTAGGATGGGGGGTGGTCTAAGACCAAAATCCTTCACTAGGACAAGAGATTCAAAGCTAACCTGCAGTCTTGAGATTTGGACCAGGCCCTTATACTTGCTGGGCAGGTGCTCTATTACTTGAGCCACACCTCTAAGCCAGCTTTTTTGCTAGTTAATTAGAAATGGAATCTCACAGACTTTTCTGCCTGGGCTGGCTTTGAACTAAGATTCTCCACATCTCAGCTTCCTGAGAAGGAAGTAGCTAGCATTAAATTGGCATCCATTTCAAGTCAACTTCCTGCTCTTGTTGAATGGACTGAGGGATGGGTGAAGGGACAGATGTAAGAAGTATGGATGGGGGATGAGTGAATGGATGGATGCTCAGGTGGATGGAGAACAGATGATGGATGAACGGACAGACAGGTAATGACTGGCTGATGGAAGCATGACAGACATCTGGCTCAATGGCTGGATTAGGGGTGGGTGGGTGGCTAGATGGATGACGGATGGATAGGTGGAAGGATTGATGAGTGGATGGATGACAGATGGATAAATGAATGGATGGTAACAGGTGAATGATGCATAGATGTGTGATAGATACCGGATGGATGGATACATGAATGAGGGGTAGATGGATGGGTGGATGGATGGATGAGAGTTGGATGGATAATTGATGGGTGACTGATGAATGGATAGATACAGATTTGATGGATTGATAGATGAACGAGGGCTAGATAGATGGGTGGATGGAAGGATGAATGATGGATGGTTGAGTGGATGATGAAGATGGAAGAATGGATGATGGACAGATGGCTGATGAGGATGGATGGATGAAAGATGAATGAAAGACAGATAACATGGATAGATGACGTGTGAATGGATGGATGGATGGATGATGAAGATGGATAGATAGATGATGGGTAGATGGATAGACTATGGGTGGATGGGTGATCAATGGATGGATGATGGATGGATGGGTGATGGATGATGAGTAAATAGATGGAATAAAGATGACAGACAGATGGATGATAGATTGATGGATAGATAGGTAGATGATGGGTAGATGAATGACGGGTAGATGATGGGTGGAAGAATGGGTGGATGGATGATAGATTGATGGATAGATAGGTAGATGATGGGTGGAAGAATGGGTGGATGGATTGATGATGGGTGGAAGGATAGATGTGCAGATGGATAGATGATGGATGGGTGGATGATGTGTAGATGGGTGGGTAGATATATAAATGGATGGATAATAGATAGTAATGGATGATAGGTAGTTGGATGGATGATGGGCTGGGTAGATGTGTGGATGGATGCTGGGGAGATGGCTGGATGATGGATGGTTAGATGGATGCTGATGGATGGAGAGCTGATGGGTGGATGAATGATGGCTTGAGGACATGCACACACCTGAAAACCAAACTTGATCTCAAGCAAGAAGACAAACGGGCAGAGGGATGGAGGCTCGGAGCCAGAGGCCCCGCTGCGGCCTCCACGCCACCACCCCTGCTTCCCGCGCATACCTTTTTGGCCCCAAGCTTCAGCGCCTTCTTCCTGGCTTCCTCGAAGTCCTCCTTCTGGCCGATGTTGGCCTGTGGGGTGCAAGCGAGAGGCACAGTGAGCGGAGTGGGCCCGTGGGAGGGCTGCTCCGCAGGACCGCACAGCCCTGTGTTCTGGGGGGAGGAAACTGCTTTTTTGGGGTAAGGGTGGGCGGAGCCATTCCTGGCACCTAGGTGGCTGAGACAAAAGCCTGGGCCCCAACGATGTCACCAGTGTCCCCTCCTTGGGCCTGGGCACATGCCACCCCGCGCTGCCCACGGTCCGGGGCACCCCGGGCTCCTGGCCAGGTGGCAGGCCAGCGGGGCCTAGACTCGGGGGCGCTCCCCAGCCTGTCTAGACGTCGGCAGCCGGACTCTGGCTTGCTGCCCAGGTCCCCACATGAGCTCTGACTCCTGCCTTCTGCTCACCAGACCGGAGAAATCTCCCTGGAGCGCAGCTGCAGGTGTTGGCCAGACAGGGCTCAGCCTTTTGGCTGTGCAGCGCAGTGGCCCGAGGGCAGATGGGCAGCACACACTGGACATCCACACAGTGTCGTCCCTCCCCAGGCAGCAGGCAGCTGAGCCACGCCCCCACCTCCCTGGGCCCTGAGTCCCTGGGCCAGGGTCAGTTGCAGCAACAGGAATGGCTGCAGGGACAGCACGGGCCTCCCAGCTCCTCCGGCCTGCCTGGGTTGTGGTGACCTCCCCTGGAAGGGGTCTTTCCTGGAGACGCCTCACCCAGGGACCAGAGAGCGCTATGACCCCGGCCCAGCCCCCTCAGCAGCAGCCAGTGACTTGGCATGAGGGGGAGGGGGTACTCAGGCCATTGGGAGTGTACCTGGCCCCCCTGTGGTCACTCTGGGAAAAGCAGGGCTGTGATGGTGAAGATGGTGGTCTCACCTGCCAGGTGGAGAGGTCAAGGAAGCCCAGGGCTGGGAAGGTGGCTCAGTGGTAGAGTGCTTGCCTTGCATGTGTGAGGCCCCGGGTTCGATTGCTCAGCACCACAGAAGCAGATAAAGCCAGAAGTGGTGCTGTGGCTCAAGGGATAAAGTGCTTGCCTTGAGGAGCTGAGAGACAGTCCCCAGGCCCTGAGTTCAAAAAACTGGGAACAGACCTGTGTGCACGGTGGACGCAGCCCTGACTGTAGTTATTTGAGCCCAGCATTGCTTTGGGGCTTGTTATTGTCCTTGTGTTAACCTGGTTTGAGCATAGAATAGTAAGGCTCAGGGACAGTGTCCCAGCTGGCACCTGCAGGACAGCCATCTTTCAGACAATGAGACCAAGCAAGCCCAGCGAGACAGCTTTTCCTAGTTCTGGTTCAAGGCAGGTGTAAAGAGAAGGCTGGGCTCAGCCAAGAGGAGGGAAGGTGACAGACAGAGGACAGGCTGGACAGACAGCATGACACACAGGCGGATGGACAGACAAGCTGCAAGTGCTCACCAGGTAGGCGATGACGTCATAGCCTTGCTCCTTCAGCCACACGAGGATGCAGGACGTATCTAGACCACCACTGTAGGCCAGAACCACAGAGCCCTTGCTGGACATCTTGCCTGAAGGGGTAGAGGAGCCTGTGAGCACCCAGCGCCACCTCCTGGCCCGGCACAGGGAGACCAGTGCTGCGCCCCCCCCCCCCCCCCCCCCGCCCTTCCCTCGGCCTGCGGCAGTTTGTCCCTGGTCAGGCCACCACTGGGGAGTTAGGAACAGCTGGTCCATCCTCCTGTATGCACCTCATCCCCGGAGTCCTGACCCTGCCCCACACGGGGCCTGGGGAGGATCCCAGGGGTCTTAGGCCAATCCCCAGAGCTGGAGTGAGCTAGCATCAAAGGCTGAATTGTGTGTGTGTGTGCCAGTTATGGGACTTGAACTCAGGGCCTGGGCACTGTCCCCGAGCTTTTTTGCTCAAGGCTGTGCTCTACCACTTGAGCCATAGATCCACTGTGGCTTTTTTGGAAATAAGAGTCTCTGGGCTGGGAAGGTGGCTCAGTGGTAGAGCGCTTGCCTTGCATGCATGAGGCCCTGGGATCGATTCCTCAGCACCACATAAGCAAAACAAAAAAAAAAAAGCCAGAAGTGGTGCTGTGGCTCAAGTGGTAGAGTGCTAGCCTTGAGCTGAAGAGCTGAGGGACAGCGCCCAGGTCCAGAGTCCAGGCCCCACGACTGGACCCCAAAAAAAAAAAAAAAAAAGTCTCAGGGACTTTCCTGCCTGAAATGGCTTTGAACCCCAATCCTCAGATCTCAGCCTCCTCATTAGCTGGGGTGACGCATGAGCCACCGGCGGCCAGCCTCAGAGGCTGACTTTGGACCAAGGCCAGTGGCTAAAGAACGGGCAGCAGAGTGCCACGAGTGGGGGTGGGGTGGGAGCCTGCGTCTGAGCCTCCCTTCTCAGAACTGCTCTGTGTGTCCCGCACGACTGTGCCAGGCAGGGCCTCGGATGCGCTGTCCTGAACCCACCACAACCCCAATAATGCAACCCCACCTAACATCAGGTTGGGGAGACCAACAGCAGACTCAGAGGCTCAGGGTCAAGACCACAGCTCTGAAACGTGACCTTGTAATCCCCAACTACACAGGAGGTAGAGATCTAAGGATCACGGTTCAAAGCCAACCCAAACAAGACGAATCTGTGGGACTCTTTATCTCCAATTAACCAGCAACAAGCCAGAAATAGAGCCGTGGCTCGAGTGGTAGAGAAGAGTGTCAGCCTTGAGTGAAAAAGTTAAGCAAGAACACAAGGCCCTGAGTTCACTGGCACAGAATGAAAAGACGCTTGGGCCCTTGCCCAGCATGCACCTCACCGGCAGGAGGTGCAGAAGAGGCTGGGGCCTCGCTAGCCAGGTGTGTCTCCCACCTGCAGCTCAATGAGCTTCACTCACCACAATTGCAGGCAAACTGTGTCTTCCAATACATTGAATTGGACCCCAGGCTCCGCAGGCAATATGAGTGGGAAAGGTCACAGGTGTCCCGGGGCAGGCCTACGGGAGCCTGGAAGGCTCAGTTCCTGCCAGGGCTTCTACACTGCTGTGACCCTGTGTGCCCCTTCTCTCTGCCTGAGCTCAAAGCCACCCAGGGTCGAAGGGCTTTCTCAGGGTACCCAACATGGCGCCCCAGGCCTGGATGTGTGCACAGGTGGACTTTGGAGCCCAAGCACGTGAAGTTGAAGTCAGGACACGTGCCATGGGCCCTCCCAGGCCTCAGGCCATGCTGTCCTTCAGACTTATGGCGAAAACAGGTCTTGGGCTGGGATAGGGGCTGGTTCGGATAGGCTCCTCCTCCTCCCTCCATGGGGCAACAATTGCAGTCCTCACCCCTGCAGGGTCAGATTGCCCTGAACCGGTTGCTGGGCTGCTAGGTCAGCAGATGCACCCCTGGCAACCAAGGCCAGGCAACTGGCCTTGGAAGATGGGAGGGAGGCGGGGAGGAAGCAGGAAAGGCAAAAGCAGGAAGTACCTGGGCTTGATTGACAGCGTGGGTTCCCTGGGTCAGAGTCTGTCTTCACGGATGAGCAAACCACTCTGCAAAAAACAAAGGAACTCAACAGCCTGGCACTGCAGCCTAGTGACATGAGGGCCCTGAGCCTGGCCCCTGGGGCACCCCCAATCTTGTGAATCTTGCTGAGCAGGAAGCCTTGGGGTCTCCGGGCCTGAAAGCATGTGAAGTGATGCCTCTTGCCTCTTCATTGAAAGTGTCCAATTTGGTAATATTTTTCTTTTTTGGGGAGGAGGGGGCAGTACTGAACTCAGGGCTTAGGCATTGTCCCTTAGGTTTTTTTTGCTCAAAATTGGTGCTCTACTACTTGAGCCGCAGCTCTACTTCCTGCTTTTTAGTGGCTAATTAGAGATAAGAATCTCAGACTTTTGGGGGCTGGGAAGGTGGTTCAAGTGGTAGAGCGCTAGCCTTGAGCTGAAGAGCTGAGGGACAGCACCCAGCCCAGAGTTCAGGCCCCAAGACCAACAAAAAAGAAAAAGAAAAATCTCAGCCTCCTGAATAGCCAGGTGTGAGCCACCAGCACCCTGGATGGTTGGCAAGTTTGGGTTGTTTGTTTGCTTTTTGCCAGTCCTGGGGCGCAGGCTCAGGGCCTCGCCCCTGTCCTTGAGATTTGTTTTGCTCAAGGCTTACTCTACCACTTGAACCCAATGCCACTTCCAGTTTTTTCTGTGTATGTGGTACTGAGGAATCGAACCCAGGACTTCATGCATGCTAGGCAAGCGCTCTACCACTGAGCCACCTTCCCAGCTCAAAACACGTTTTGACAAGTGTGAATACCCAATCGGGACCAGACCTTCCATTTGGAATTCTCTGCATTTTACAGATGGGGAAATTGAGGCTTGGGTGAAGAACTTGCCCAGGCCCTACTTGGCTGGTGGCAGAGCCGGGACTCAAACCCCCATCAGCTGGTCTGGTACGGACAAGGCCCACCCCTTTCTGGGAGGCTCAGGAAGGGAGGTGCTGGGCAATGCCGAGATCCTGGCTGAACTCGGCTCCCTGTCTTCCCAGGAAGGACCCAGCAGGTTCCCCAGCTCTCAGGCAGGTGCACAGCCCCCACTGGCCCTCACTGGCAGTGCAGTTGGCAGTCTGACTCTAGCTGGCAAGGTAGGGGGGAGGATATTTCCTGGGGCCCCAGCCAGAGTCATCTGGAATGCGTGCCAGGCACTCCTCAGCACCCAGGAAAGCTGTCTTGGTTCTCAAATGTCAGACCTGGCATGACACTAGACGGCATGGCAGTGTCTGGGGTCACTAGCATGTCATCTCCAGGTTCAGAGTCCCACTTCCACCTATTCACAAACAAGAGCTAGGGGAGCATGCCCAGGCCACGCCGCCTGGTCCCTAGGAGGCCTTGGCTCTTTCCCCTTCACTTCACACCTCTTCTACACAGCAGAGGCCTGAACGACTTGTCACCAATGGTCTTCTATTTCTCTGTGTGCACTGCAGGGCCCAGCGGAGAAATGCAGCTATCTAGGCTGTTCTTCTAGCACCCAGACCCTCCTCCCCCAGAAGAGTGTCCCCTACTTGAGATTTCCACCTTCTAGTATTTTAGCCCTAGCACTAGTGCCTTCCTTTGTGTCTGATAGAGCTATGCTGCGATTCCAACAGTGACCAGAAGGAGGCACACCATCCTATCAGAATATAGCTTAAAAATACTGGAAGGTATGATACTAATTCAAGATGTATTGTACTCATAAACTGACAAGCTGAGTTGTAATTGTATTGTAACAACTACTTAGAGATGACAAAAACAGGCTGGGGGGCTGGGAAGGTGGCTCAGTGGTAGAGCGCTTGCCTTGCATGCATGAGGCCCTGGGCTCGATTCCTCAGCACCACATAAGCAGGGGAAAAAAAGCCAGAAGTGGCGCTGTGGCTCAAGTGGTAGAGCGCTAGCCTTGAGCTGAAGAGCTTAGGGACAGCGCTCAGGCCGAGTTCAGGCCCCACGACCGGAACCCCTCCCCCCCCCCAAAAAAAAATAGAGGCTGGGAATATGGCTTAGCAGTAGAGTGCTTGCCTAGCACGCACAAAGCCCTGAGTTCAATTCCTCAGCACCACTTAAACAGAAAAAGCCAGAAATGGCGCTGGGACTCAAGTGGTAGAGTGCTAGCCTTTAACAAAAGAAGCTCAGGGACATTGCCCAGCACCTGAGTTCAAGCCCCAGGACTGGCAAGAATAGATAAATAAAGCAAGTAAATAAGTTAAAAAATAACAAAAATACAATTTTTTTTTTTTAAAGAATCTGGCTCTGAGGATCTCAGTTCAAAGCCAGCCCAGGCAGGAAAGTCCGTGAGACTCTTATCTCCAATGAACCACCAGAAAGCCGGAAATGGTGCTGTGGCTCAAGTGGTAGAGTACTAGCCTTGAGCTGAAGAGTAAAGGGATAGCGCCCAGGTCCAGAGTTCGAGCCCCACCACCAACCAAAAAAGAATCTGGCCTAAACGTTTGCTTGGTAGAACTGGATCTTTACAAAGTCTGGATTCTAACCAAACTTTATGGAAATGCCCCAAGGTGGCAGGCAGGAGACAAAGCAGGTTCCTGTCACATGACTTGTGAGAGCCATTCAGAACCTCCCCTAGGAACCCAAGAAAAGAAAAGCACATTCCTCCCCCACCTCCAGTACTGGGAGGACTTGAACTCAGGGCCTTGCTCTCTCAGTGGGCTTCTTCCACTCAAAGCTGGTGCTCTATCACTCGGGCCACATTTCACTTCCAGCTTTTTGGTGGTTCATTGGAGATAAATGTCCCAGACTTTCCAGCCGGGAGTGGGCTCTGAACCGAGATCCTCAGATCTCCGCCTAGGATTATGGGTGTGAGCCTCCAGGTCCAGGCCTGAAAAGCGCTTTGATCTAATTTATGTCTTTGGCTAATCACTGCGGCCCTGGGGGCCTGGCCGGCTCCGGCTCCGCCCGGGGCCCTGCAGAAGGGCGCGAGCCCAGTGAACTTGCCCTGAAGCTTGAACGACCAAAAGTTCAGAGCCTTTCAGAGCCGAAGCCGGCGCGGGCCGGTGCACGTGTCTGCCCGCGGGCGAGCCAGTCTCCCCGGCCGCGCTGGCCGCCCGCCCGGGACCCCGGGCCCGGCAGGGCTGGCGCGCCGGGGCGGGGCCGGGGCCGACGCCACCCCCGGCTCCTGGGCTCCGGCCCGCCCCGTGGGCACTGGAGGGCCGGGCGGAGGACTTCCCTTTGGCCTCCACCCCACCCCTCGGCTGCCCTGCCTGGGCTGGAGCTCGGAGGGAGACCCGGAGGAGGTGGGAGAGGACGGGGGTTTGGATGGGGAGGGAAGCCCGGGCCTGCGCGGTCCGCCCCGTCCCGCCCCGCGCGCCCCGTCCCGCGCGCCCCAGCGCCTTCGCACGGAGTCCGGGGCGGAGCAGACCCGGCCGCGGAGCCGGGGGGCGGGCGGGGGGAGATCGAAGCCAGGGATCTCCGGGTCTATCTCCAGACCCCACCCCCCCGACATTGCAAGAAACAGCCCGCTTCTCGGGGTTGAAGGCCGAGGCCCCCCCGAGCGCGCGGGAGGCGGTCAGCCCCGAGGTGGACACTTCCTGCGGAGGGGCCGCTCCCGCGGGGCCCGCCCGGCCCGGCAGGAAACCAGACGGGCGGCGCCCACCGAGACCGGGAAGGGAGCCCGGGCGGGAACCCAGGGTAAACTGAGGTCCCGGGAAGAGCACTAAGCCCGAGCCCCCGGGGACGAGGGGCTGAGACGGGGGTGGGGGCTCTGCTCTCGCTGGGGGTAGACGGGGACGGGGCTGGGGAGCCGCGGGGGCCCCCTCCGGCGACAGCCCCGCGCCGCGGGGCCCAGCGACCCCACCCGTTCCCCCGACCCCGGGGTCCGTGCCCCGCCCAGGACCGGCGCCGTCAGGACCCCCGCCAGGTGTGTGCGCGGCCGGACGGCGGCGGCGGCCCCGCGGAGAGCCGGCCTCCGCGGCCTCCGCGCCGCTCGCTCCGGCCGGGGCCGCGCACAGGGAGACAGGAGGAGCTGAGAGGGCGGAGGGGCCGGAGGGGCTCCTTACCCGGTCGCAGGCGGCCGTGGCGAGAGGCAGAACAGGGCCGGGAGAGATAGGTGCCTCGGATTATAAGCGCAGGGCCCGGGGCAGGGCGGGGACGCGGGGACACGTGGGGACGCGCGCGCGAGGCCCCGCCCCGGCCGGGCCCCCGCGGGGAGCCTCTCAGCGGCCAGCCCGGGTGGGCGTGGCCAGGCCTTGCCCTCCCTCCGGCCCCGCCCCCTTCTCCCGCTGGGACCGGAGTCCAGGCCTGGGTGGGCGTGGCCAGGCCTGCCCTCTCCTTGGCCCCGCCCCTTCCCACTCCCATCCCACGGGGTCGGGCCTGCCTAGGGCCCGAAGGCAGCTCGGAACCCGCGTGATAGCAGAGATCGAAGCTGTCCAGAGAAGGACTGATGGAAGGCGTTCAAAGCGCAAAGTTGCCCAGGCCGGGGGGCTCCGTGCCAGCGTCTACCCGCGCGTCCGGCGCCTTTCTGCGCCCCCAGAGCCCGGCACCTGCTCCTGTCTGCCCAGATCCCCAGGGCGCCCAGCAGACGGTGACGAGGGCTGGCCGGCGCTGACCCGGGGCGCGAGGAGGCTGGGGCGCACAGGGGCGAAGCCCGGTGCCCGCCGGACAGGCCCGGGCCCGCCAGGCCTGGGACGCAGCCCCCGGCCCGGCCCGGGGCCCACCTCGCCCGGCGGCCGCCTGCTCCGCGATCAGACTCCGTGCGGCCGCCGGGAAGCCGTCCTGCGGATCCGGGCGCCGGCTCCCTCCTCCACCTCCACGCTGTCACCGCGTGCGCGCCCCGAGGCAGCCTCCTGCCCCGGGACAGGGCTCCTCCGAGCCCCCTCCCGCCCTGGACAGCCCGGGCTTCAGGGCCGCTCTGAGCCTTGCACGCCAGCCGATGCGAGGGAAGCGAACCATAAATGTTCACAGCTGCAGTGGAAGCCTGAGAGTTTCTCCCGTTTCCTGCCGGCCCTGTGGCAGGACTAGTTTTGGTCAGTTTGCATACTATCTCCGGATTACCCTGTAGGAAATAGCTATTATTATCACCCCTGACTTAGAGGTGGTAACCACTTGGGGCAGGGCGTCTTTCTCAAGGTCACACGGCTCATTAAGTGGTGTCACAGAACTAGGGTGCAGTTGCTGGACCTCTGCCTCTGCTCAGACTCCAGGAAAGGAGCTGAGATTCCAGTCCCAGGTTTCTTGAGTGCTTGGGCCTTTATTCCTTGCTGCAGGAATAACTTTTGCCAGCACAGGTTGCTCACGCCTGTAATCCTAGCTACTCAAGGGGCTGGGATCTGAGGATTGTAGTTTGGAGAAAGTTCAGAAAGCACTGTGGCTCAAGTTGTAGAGCACTAAGGAGCTCAGGGACACCACCCAACCCCAGAGTTCGAGCCCCAGGAATAGAAACACACACACATACACACGCACACACACACACACACACACTCAAAAACCTATATAGATAAGCAAGATGCAGAGCTGGAAGAACTGGGAATTAAGTTTTCTTCAGCCAATGAGTGCTCCAAATGGGCCACACTGGGTGGACACCTCCAGGTGTAGCTGGACTGGAAAAGGCCTGGGGTCTGTGACACAAGCATGAACAACACACTGGTCATGTGAGATAGCACTTTGGGGGTTAGCTATGGCTGTTGCCAGACCCGACTCGAAGATGACTGTGTTTTTTTTGTTTTTGTTTTTGTTTTTTTCTGTCATGGGGCTTGAACTCTGGACCTATGCGTTGTCCCTGAGCTGTTTTTTGTTGTTGTTGTTGTTTTTGTTGTTGTTGTTGAACTCTGGGCCTGGGCGCTGTCCCTCAGCTCTTCAGCTCAAGGCTAGCGCTCTACAACTTCTCTACCACTTAAGCCACAGTGCCAGCTTTTCTGCTTCTGTGGTGCTGAGGAATCAAACCCAGGGCCTCATGCATGCAAGGCAAGCACTCTACCACTGAGCCACCTTACAGCTGTTTAGCTCAAAGCAAGTGTTGTACCAATTGAGCGACAGCGCCACTTATGGTTTTCTGGTGGTTTGTTGGAGATAAGAGTCTCACAGACTTTTGCTGCTCGGGCTGGCTTTGAAGTGCGATCCTCAGATCTCAGCCTTCTGAGTAGCTAGGATTACAGGTGTGAGCCACCGGCACCAAGCCTAAGATGACTGAGAAGCCTTGGGTGGGTGGACAGGCAGAGACCTGTTTTCAGGCAATGACTCAAGTCATCCATTCAGAGAAGACCCGGCATGCCGGGACATCTTTGATGGTGGTAATAAGTCCTTAGTTTCCATGGAAGTGCCAAAAGCCATCACTACTACATTGTATGAGCAATGCTTTATAGTTGCCAGCGTACAGCCCTTGCTTCTCTTCTTTCAAATTTACTTCTAAATATTTTAACACGTGTGTGTGTGAGTGCATGCACACGTGTGTGCTGGTACTGGGGCTTGAACTCAGAGCCTTGCACTCCTGCTTGGCTTTTTCCCTTAGGGTTGGCACTCTGCCACTTGAGCCAGACCTCCATTTTTGGCTTTTTGGTGGTTATTTGGAGATAAGGATCTTACCCAACTTTTTTCTCAGCCTGGCTTTGAACTGTGACCCTCAAACCTCAGCCTCCTGAGTAGCTAGTACTGTGGGTATGAGCTGGTAATACAGTGCGTTGCTAATTTGTGTGTGTGTGTGTGTGTGTGTGTGTGTGTGTGTGTGTGTGTGCTAGTACTGGGGTTTGAACTCAGGGCCTTGTACGGTCATTTGGGTCTTTTTTCACTCAAGGCTGGACCTCTATCACTTGAACCACATCCCTATTTCTTAACTTTTTTTTTTTTTTGGTCCAGTCATGGGCCTGAACTCTGGGCCTGGGCGCTGTCCCTCAGCTCTTCAGCTCAAGGTTAGCGTTCTACCACTTGAGCCACAGCGCCACTTCCAGCTTTTTTCTTTTTGCTTATGTGGTGCTGAGGAATCGAACCCAAGGCCTCATGCATGCAAGGCAAGTGCTCTACCACTGAGCCACCTTCCCAGCCCCCCTATTTCTTAACTTTTTGGGGGGCTATTGCAAATGACATTTTAAATTCCATTTCCAACTGTTTCTTGCCATCGGGCTTTATATATTAGCCTTGAAGTCTAATGATTATCTCTAGTAGAATTGCATGAATAAAGACTTTAGGGCTTCTTCTTTTTTTTTTTTTTTTTTTGCCAGTCCTTGTACTCAGGGCCTAGGCCCTGTCTCTGAGCTTCTTTTGCTCAAGACTGGTACTCTACCACTTGAGCCACAGTGCCACTTCCAGCTTTTTCTGCTTATGAGGAATCGAACCCAGAGCCTCATGCATGCAAGGCAAGCACTCTACCACTGAGCCATCTTCCCAGCCCCATTAAGTGCTATTTCTACATTTATTAAAGTTACACAGTTTGTGCCTTGAATCTACAAATATGGTGAGTTACATGGACTGGCTTTCAGGAACTGAATTAAGCTTACAATCCTGGAATAATTATATGTCAAAATAAATTTTAATGTTTTTACAACAAAAAGATGCAGGTCTAAGCTTTGGGATAAAAAGAGACATTAAAGATATAATTAACCACATTGAGTAGACTTCATTGAATTCTGCTTCTTGTTTGTCTGACACAGGGCCTCATTTTATGGTTCAGACTGTCCTGAAACTTGTGATCCTCTTGTTTTGACCTTTGAAGTGCTGAGATTACAGGCAAATTGCTACCACACTTGGCTGGGTTTTCTTTTTGTTGTTGTTATTTGGTTTTTGGTTTTGGTTTTCATGTGTACATTTATGAACAATGGAAAATTTGAACCCTCACAGGGCACTTGATGAAAGCCAAGGAACTACTGTTCATTTTTATAGGTGTCATAATCATGAGACTGTAGTTACTTTGGGGAAAAACACTCTCAGTTTTAGAGATGTCTACACAGAGATACTAATGACTGGAATGACATTTAAAAAAGCTTTGGTGGGCTGGGAATGTGGCTTAGTGATAGAGTGCTTGCCTAGCATGCGTGAAGCCCTGAGGTTGCTTCTGTACGTATGAGGCTCTGGTTGCTCACTTGCTGTTCCTTAGAGATGAGCCTGTCCCTTCCCTGTCCCCATCAGATTAGCTTCTGTCACAAGTCGGCTTGCTGCCACATAGCCGAGATGTGTCCACCCACAGGACAGAAGGGCACGAGGCAAGCTCTGGTCTCTCCTTCCTTCACCCTGAGGTCCTCTTAGCCTAGCTGGCCATGGCTCTGCTGTACCTGGCTGCGGATACCTAGCCTGTGTTCCCGAGGCAGAATAGGGAAAATGAAGTGTGGTGAACAACAGCCAGGAATACAAAAACTCAGCTTAAAACAAATACAGGAGGACACTGATCTTCACCCATTAACTTCCCTTAAGATAAAGGGACTACGGGTTGGGAAGGTGGCTCAGTGGTAGAGCGCTTGCCTTTCATGCATCATGCTCTGGGTTCGATTCCTCAGCACCTCATAAGCAGAAAAGGCCGGAAGTGGCGCTGTGGCTCAAGTGGTAGAGCACTAGCCTTGAACTGAAGAGCTGAGGGACAGCGACCAGGCCCAGAGTTCAGGCCCCACGACCAACCAAAAAAAAAAAAAAAAAGATAAAGGGACCAAAGTTGTTTTAGGAGGAAATGAGGCTGGGTAGATCCGGAAAATGAGGCTGGCGGAAGGCAACTCAGAAACAAAGTATTTAGAGTCCTAGAAGACGGTGATGCCTTCCTTATCTTAATGATTAAGCAACTGTTAAGCAACTGTGTTAATGGCAGGATGCATTCTTTCCTGGGTGGAATGCCCAAAATGTGCAAGAGCTAAAGTGTGTGATTCTAGGAGTATTTAGAGCAAAGACCACTGCTTAGAGCACCACCGCACTTTGGTGTCAGAAGCCCCTCCTTTATCATATAAAAGTCTCTGAGACCGGGAGCTCCACGCCTCCCCCTCGGAGCATGCACTCTGCTAGCGCGTGCCTCTGCCTTGCGCTTTTCATCTGCTTGCTCACTTACTAAAGCTGGGCCACGTTTTCTTACCATTATGACTGCTCCAGAAATGATTCTGAGATCAACATCAAGGATTCAAGTGGAGAGTCCTTACTTTCAGAGGGAAACATCACAAACCTTCTCCTGCATCCGGTGACCTCCCCGCCAGCCCTCTCCACGCCCCAGGGCCAGATACTCCTTGCCAGACTGGGTTTTCAGACTCCAAACCCAAAGTCCTACGTTAGGTCCAGCTACTCACCCTGAAGTGCCAAATAGAGATGTGGTGAGCGGGGCTTTGGTGGCTCACCCTGTTTACCTAGCTACTCAAGAGGCTTAGATCTGAGGATCACGGTTCAAAGCCCGAGTGGGTAGGAAAGTCCGTGAGACTCTTACTTTCAATTAACCACCAGAAAACTGGAAGTGGTGTTGTGGCTCAAGGCGGGTAGAGTGCTAGCCTTGAGCAAAAGAGCTCAGGGACAGCTCCCAGGTCCAGAGTTCAATCCCCACAACAGAGTAAGAGCAAGGGGGGGGGGGAGGGGCAGAGAGATTTATTCCTTGGCAGCCATGGAAAGACAGCACTGCGGTACATGTTCAAGCCTTCTTGAGGATAGAGACAAATAGGGAGAGTTTTGGAAAGGGGGTGAAAGGTAGGACTAATCAAAATGGCCTCAGGGCTCGGGTGCGCCCAGCTGGCTTCAGCTTGTCTTCCTCCTTCCTCTCCCAAGCCTGGCGGGTGGGCTGCAGCCTTTGGTGGTGGATGATCTTGAAGGTGAAGGCAACGTTGGTCTGAGGGGCCTTTGACTCTGTCATGGGGTGCTTGTCAGTGAACCCCATCTTTCCTGGAGTCCACGGTGATTGTAAAGTGACTTTAGCAGGGAGAGGCTCAGATCCAAGGATGTAGATCGTGTGTGTGTGTGTGTGTGTGTGTGTGTGTGTGTGTGTGTGTGTGTTGGGGGGGCTGGGTACAAGTGTGAATTTATAGGCCCCACAAAAGAAGTGCTTAGGGCTGGGAAGGTGGCTCAGTGGTAGAGCGCTTGCCTTGCATACATGAGGCCCTGGGTTCGATTCCTCAGCACCACATAAGCAAAAAGGAAAAAGCCGGAAGAGGTGCTGTGGCTCAAGAGGTAGAGCACTAGCCTTGAGCTGAAGAGCTGGGGGATTGCGCCCAGGCCCAGAGTTCGGGCCCCACGACCGGACCCCCCCCCCAAAAAAAAAAAGAAGTGTTTACATTGCCTCTTACACTTACAGCTTGACTGGAGGGGGGAAAGGGGTGGCTTCTGGAAGAAGAATGGACTCCATCTGAACCGCCCAGGGACCAGCTCAGTGACGGTGATCTCATCAAATCTCGCCGTGACCTACAACCTCCACCTTGATCTCATGGAGTCTCACAGTGACCCATGACGTCCACGCCTCCCCTGGGCACAGAACTATCGTCCTCGGCCACCCAAGGGGGCGTGCAGTCCCTGCTGGCACGTCATAGTGAGGGCCAGGAACTCCTTTGCCACTGTCCAGGCCTCCACAGAATGACCAGAGCAGAGAATGACCTCGCTCTCCACCCAGAACACAGAGTCCAGCAGCGGTTCTGGGAAACGCTGTATCTGCGAGTTTAATGAGTGACCGGACGCAGCGCTGTTTTCCACCCCTTCTCTGGAAGCCAGCTGGCCACGGGGCCGGGCGGCTGTCTGTGCCCCTGGCCAATGACCTCTGGCAGAGTGCAGAAGTGGGCAACACCCCCTCTCAGAGCTGGCCCCTGTGCCGGTGAGGCCATGCCCGTGGGTGGGGAAGGGCAGTGGGTCAGGGCCCTGTCAAGCCTAGTCCATCACCAGTTTGCGCCACTGTGGAGGCAAAGCACCCATTTGAACCAGCGTCTGCCTGTGTGTCACAGCTCCAGACTGGGAGGCGGTGGGAGGAAGGTGAGGAGGGGGAGGCTGGGGACAGGCAGAACTTTAGGGACACGTTGGTTGTCTATTCCTTCGATCCCAGCTCTCCACCCCTCTCTCCTTCTCCCATTGGGGCTGCCCGGGTACCAGGGGGCTACAGCACTGCCCCCGGGGCAGGAGGGCCTGGTCTAGTCCTCTATCTCCTTGTCTGTGACTTGGGGACCTTGTTTCCTGCCTTGGGAGCTCCTGGGAGAGTAAAACGACCTCAAGTTCCTAACACACTAGACAGTCAGCCAATAAGTTTTACAAACTTGAAAGGCTGGGCTGGGCTAGATGGGGGCGGGGGAGCGTCTGCTCTTCTCCCACCCAGGGCTAATAGTATCTCTTGTCTTGGGCTGCAAAATCTGGGGAAAAAAATTAACAGCCCAGCAGAAAGCAGGGCTCACGATCTGACCCCTGACCCCTAGGGTTACACAAGGAGGGGCGCTGAGCCTTAGCAGTTCTCTGTGGTGGGTCCTGGACCAATGGGGCTTGGAGAACCTGGGAAGCCCCGCCTCCTCCTCTCTTCCACCCAGCATGGAATTCCTCACAGGAGGAGGGGGGGGGGCTTTTAGCTTGTAAAGGACTGGGGGGGGGGGAATGCAGGAGGGGGGAATCAATGAGTGTGAAAATGACTATGAACTTGAAACCTAAGCTTCCACCAATAAAGTTTTATAGGTATAAGCCACGCCCATCCAGTTGTGTGTCCTCTGTCTGCCGCACACACCGAGGACAGAGGGATAGTTGCCACAGAGACAGGATGTTCTGAAAAGCCCAAAATATTTATGCCTGACTCTTTACCAAAGAAAATACGCAGCGCCCAGGCTGAAAGGAAACCAGTTTTGAAAGAGGGAGAGCCCCGGGGAAAGTTGTGTATATGCCAGGGCAGGAGGTTGGCTCTCCTCTGTAGTCCCAACCACACACTGGAGGCTGAGATCGGAGGACAAAGTGAAATCCAGACTGAGGACTCTTATCTCCAACTTACCACCCAAAAAAGAGTGGCAGAGGGCTCTTCTTTAGCAAAACTCCAAGGGAGAGCCTGAGACCCAGAATTGAAATTCCAGTCCCCATCTCCCCCACAAAAAGACTTCAACCAGTCACTTGGTAGTCACGTGACATCTGGTCTTCTTTCCTGGGCTTCCCTTACCGGTCTGATTGCTTCCCTCACAGTCCAGATGAGAGAAAGGGGGTTCAGGGGGCAGTGCCTGTGTCCCACTGCACCCCAGGACCAGGGAACCGTGTGCAGAGGCAGGCTCTGGGCGGCAGCTGTCAAAGGGGAGGCCAGAGAGAGGGGGAAAGCACCCGAGGAGCCATGCCACCGAGCCTGGCTTTTTGTTGCTGATGATGGAGATGGGGTCCAGGGGATTTTTTCTTCCTGTCCTGACCGGCTTTACACTTTGATCCTCTAGATCCCAGCCTCCTGGGCAACTAGGATTCCAGGTGTGGGCTGCCAGCACTTCGCGTTAAATACTACCCTTAAGACTTGCAATGAGCATTTACTTACAAGCAGTTAGAGCCCTAGCTCTTGGTACTGCCTAGGGCTGTGTGGCACATTAATTCCCATTAGTTCCATGGGTGTGAGTGGGTGTGAGGGGGGGGCGAGGCCTCGTACCACATTTGTATTGCACCGTAAACGAGGCGCTTTGGTCCACACCACAGAGCCCATGGGGGGGGACCCAGCAGCTAGCACCCCGGGGGGCTCCTGGGTCCCCAGGGAGGCCTCCTGTCTCCCAGCCAGAGCCCCTCCTGGCCGAAGCAAAAAGAAAACGACACGAGGAGACCCCGGGCTGCGAACGATTCGTTTTATGTTGGCAGGCGCCGTGCGCCCCCCTTCCCCCGGGTCCGGGGTGGGGGTGCAGGGGGTGTGGTGTCCCGGGGTGGGGGTGCGGTGTCCCGGGGTGGGGGTGCAGGGGTGCGGTGTCCCGGGGTGGGGGTGCAGGGGGGGTGGTGTCCCGGGGTGGGGTGCAGGGGGGCGGTGTCCCGGGGTGGGGTGCAGGGGGGGCGGTGTCCCGGAGTGGGGGTGCAGGGGGGGCGGTGTCCCGGGGTGCGGTGTCCCGGGGTGGGGGTGCGGTGTCCCGGGGTGGGGGTGCAGGGGGGGCGGTGTCCCGGGGTGGGGGTGCAGGGGGGCGGTGTCCCGGGGTGGGGGGTGCAGGGGGGCGGTGTCCCGGGGTGGGGTGCAGGGGGGGCGTGTCCCTGGCCGTCCCCCCCCCCCCCCGTGTTCTGGGTCAGGTGTGGAGGGGCTCCGGGCTCGGCAGCGCCGTCCGGGGGTCAAGGCTGCCGGCGGGCCGTGTTTGCCGAAGGCCCGGCTGACGCACGCGGGCCCGCGGGGTCACAGGCCGCCCCGGCCGCCCGGCGGCGCAGGGGGGGCGGCGGCGGCGGCGGCTCAGTACGGGTAGGGGGAGACGGCGATGAGCAGCACGAAGAGGCTCTGCCGGCGCGGCGCGGCGGCGCGCACCGTGAGCCGGTGGAGGCCGGGCCGGGTGAGCGCGCGCCGGGTGTAGACGGCGCCCTGGCCCGGGCGCAGCGGGCGCAGGGCGAAGGGGCTGCGCGGGTCGGGCTGCAGCACGCGGAGCTCCGTGCGGTTGGCGGGGACCCCGGCCTCGGAGAAGGCGGCCAGGCGGGCCACGTCGTGCCGCGCGCGCACGCCCAGCGGCAGCGGCAGCAGCCGGTACTGCAGCGTGGACGCGCCCTGGGCGCTGCAGTCCTGCGAGCAGCGGCGGAAGCAGGTCCTGCACGCACGCACGGAGGGACAGACGGACGAGAGACAGACAGATGGAGCCCCGGGGCCGGGGGGGGGGGGGGCAGCGCCACCCCCTCAGACCTCGCCTGCGCCCCGCAGCCCCGCGCCCCCTCCTTTCCCACCGACCGCCGCGCTGTCCCGACCCCCACCGCGCGCTCTATCCCCACAGCAAGCCGCTCAGAGCCCCCTCCCCCAGGTCCTCCTGGGGAAACTGAGTCATCCACCGTGTCTGCAGTGCGGGGGTGGAGTTCCAAGACTCGAGTTCAGCCTTGCCCAGCCCTCCCTCCCTCCCTCCCTCCCTCTCTCCCTCCCCCCTCCTTCTCCAGATTGTAAAATTCAGTTAAGCCCCCAGGCCCGCTGGGAAAGACTTCCAGTGGCCACAGAACCTCTGCCAGGCCTGGGGTTCAGGGATATCTCTGGTTGGGGTGTGTGTGCATGCACATGTGTGTGCAAGCTCGTTTGTTCCCCTCTGAGCCCCAGTGCTCCATGCACAGCTACCTGCACCCCCCCCTCCACCAGGGAAGGCGGCGTCAGGGGCGCTGGACCCCGGCGTGGCATAAGGCTGTCCCCCCCAAGCTCCCAGGCCCAGGGGTGGTGACCCGTGGCCTCCTGGAGCCCTGGGAGGCCTTGGGGTGGGGAAGGGGGTCCCGCTGGCCAGCACAGCCCCTGGCAGACAATGTGCCACCCCCGGCTCCCGTCCCATCCGGCTCGGCCCTTACCCGGGGCTGGGGCCCTGCCGGTAGGTGGCGGGGCACGGCGTGTCCACACACTGGAAGCTGCCCCGGGTGTTGAAGCACATCTGGCCGGGCCCGCACTCCACGCGCTCCTCCTCACACTCGTTGATGTCTGGCCGGGGCGTGGCAGGAGATGGGGAGATGGACCCCCGGGGAGCCAGGAGGGGAAGGCAGGGGTGAAGGAGCAGGGGCTAGAGGACCCGCCGCCGCCGGGCAGCCCCTCACATCCCCCTGGGGCCTGGCGGGAGTTGGGGGAAGAGTAGAGAGTGGGGCCATCCACTGAGCCCCATGGCAGAGGGAGGGGGAGACAGGAAGGGCACCCGGCCGCCGGGGCCCGCTGCGTCTGCGCCTACAGCTCCAGCCTGTACCCCGTGTGCATCAGGAACAGTAGACCCGACATGGGGGTTGGAGGACATTAAGCCTGCCACCATGGGCTGGGAAGGTGGCTCAGTGGTAGAGCGCTTGCCTTGCATGTATGAGGCCCTGGGTTCGATTCCTCAGCACCACAGAAGCAGAAAAAGCCGGAAGTGGCGCTGTGGCTCAAGTGGTAGAGCACTAGTCTTGAGCTAAAAAGCTGAGGGACAGTGTCCAGGCCCAGAGTTCAAGCCCCATGACCACCACCAACAACAACAACAAAAAGATTGCCACCAGCCGCACACCTGGCTCACACCTGTAAGCCTAGCTATTCAGGAGGCTGAGGTCTGAGGAGAGTGGATTGAAGTCCCAGCTGGGGCAGGAAAGTTCATGAGACTCATCTCCAGTTAACCAGCAAAAAGCCAGAAGTGGAGCTGTGGCCCAAGTGGTAGAGTGCCAGCCTTGAGCATAAAAAAGATCAGGGACAGTACCTAGGCCCTGAGTTCAAGCCTAGTGCACACACACACACACACACACACACACACACACACACACACACACACACAGCCAGCAACTGCCACTGTGCCCATCTTCTCAGGCCTCACTTCAGCCATCTGCAGGGGTGCAGTGTGACTGTGCGAACCCCTAGAAGGTTGAGGCTCAGAGAGGTAGAGGAAGTTTCCTAGAGACCCACAGCAGAGCTAGACTGGCCCTGGAGGGAAGCTTTGAGTCTGCCCATGTGGCCTGAGGCTCTTGTGTGGCCTGTGGGCCACACCTAGCTGGGGTCTGGGGGGGTTTCTGGGCACCGCTCACCCTGGCAGGTCTTCCCGCTGGGGAGGAGGCGGTAGCCGGAGGGACAGAGGCACCGGTAGCTGCCCTCGGTGTTGTGGCAGGCGTGCTGGCACAGGCTCCGCACTCGGCACTCATCGAGGTCTGGCAGGGAGGGGGGCAGAGACACGCTGAGTCACACACACACGCCTGCCCACGGGCTCCGGGGCAGGCCAGAAAGTCCCTGCCGGGAGCCGCCTGCTCGCCAGCCTGCCGCACTCAGCCCCTGCGCCACAAGTCCCCGAGCTTGGGGAGATGGGAGGCCTCACCTCGTATGACCTGGGGCTCCAGGCAGCCCCCCTCTCCCCCCACAGCCCCTGGAGCCAGGCAGGCTGCCTCTGCCTTGTCCCCTCTGTCACCCTGTGTGGCTTTAAGCTCCAGGAGCTCTCCTGACCCTAAGTCTCTGTTCCTGCCAGTCCCTCTTCACTCCAGCATCACTATCTGGAACATTCTGGCCCTCCCTCACTGTTTTACTCCGCGTACCTGCACAGCCAAGGCCGAGCACCTCCATGGAGGAAGCAGGCACCCCACGCTGGCCTGTGAGCTCCGAGCCCAAGGCTCAAGGGCGAGTGAAGGTGGGGTGATCTGCCTTACCTGTGCAGATGCCGTTCTGCCTGATGAAGCCAGGGGGGCACCAGGCCCGGCCTGGGCTGCTCAGGGCTCCTTGACCTGGCCGGAGGGAGAGCCGGGCATGGTAGGCGCCGCCTGGGGCTGGGGCTCGAGGCCGCAGCCAGGGCACCCAGGGCCCCCGATGGCTGACGGTGGTCACGTTCTGCTCGCTCTGCTCCAGCGGGATGCAGGCCTTGCCGTCCCACAGGAGAGCCTGGCCCGGCGGGCACAGACAGCGGTACCCGCCCTGGAGGTTGTAGCACTGGTGGGCGCAGGGCCTGGGCAGCTGCAAACACTCGTTGATATCTGCGGAGGGGAAGGGGCAGGGGGCGGCGGTGGCTCAGAGTTGCTTTTTGTTGTTTTGTTTTGTTTTTGGTACCAGTCCTGCGGCTTGAACTCAGGACCTGGACACTGTCCCTGAGCTTTTTTGCTGAAGGTTACTACTCTACCATTTGAGCCACAGCTCCATTTCTGACTTTTCAGTGGTGAATTGAAGCATCTCATGGGCTTTTGTGGCCAGGCTTTGAACTGTGATCCTTAGATCTCAGCCTCCTGAATAGCTGGGATTATAGGGGTGAGCCACTGGTAACCAGCTTCAGGGTTATCTCTCTCTCTGTGATAGGTGAGGGGGTCAGTACTGGGGCTTGAACTCAGGCCCTCAAACTCTTACTTGGCTTTTTCTGCTCCAGGTTGGCACTCTACCACTTGAGCTACACCTCTACTTCTGGCTTTTTGCTGCTGAACTGGAGACAGCAGTTTCACAGGCTTTTTTTTTTTTTTTTGGGTCTGGTCGTGGGGCCTGGACTCTGGGCCTGGGCGCTGTCCCTTAGCTCTTCAGCTCAAGGCTAGCGTTCTACCACTTGAGCCACAGCACCACTTCCAGCTTTTTTCCTTTTGCTTATGTGGTGCTGAGGAATCGAGCCCAGGGCCTCAGGCATGCAAGGCAAGTGCTCTACCACTGAGCCACCTTCCAAGCCCCAGATTTTTTTTTTTTTTTCTGGGCTGGTTTTGAACCATGTTCCTCAGCTCTCTACCTCTGGAGTCACCAGTGCCTGACTAGCTCAGAGTTCCTGCAGCTGGGCCATGCCAGCCTTTCCAGCCCATGCCTCCAGGGAAGCCAGTGCCTCACACAACACAGGGTTGCTCCAGGCTGGCCTACAGGGGACGGGGGCCCTCTTCACCAGCCTTTCCTTAGACCCCAGCTCCGTACTCTGAGACCCACTTTCCCTGCTGGGCGTCCAGCCCTGGGCCCCGGGCATCGATCAGGCCATTTCCTCCCTCCCTCCTTGCTTCTCCAAAGCCCGCTCAGTGACCCCCTCGGGGCTGGGCTGGGGTACAGCAGAGATGGGGTCCTGGTGAGCACAGCTGGTCTCTGCTGCCACTGTGGTCATTTTCAGCACTCACGGTTGCCATGAATACCCCCACCCCAAGCCAGGGCTGCTCACCAGGGTCCTGGGTGGCCCCATACCTAGGCAGGGCAGGCCTGGGCCCTGGAGACGGTACCCCCGGGGGCAGCTGCAATGGTGGCTGCCTGCAGTGTTCTTACAGAGCTGGCTGGAGTGACACTCGTCCAACTGTTCCAAGCATTCATCCACATCTGGGGAGGTGGGTGTGGTCAGGGTGGGGCTTTCCCCAGGGCCCCTCCCCTTCTATATCAGAGGTGGGTGTGGTCAGGGCGGGACTTTCCCCAGGGCCCCTCCCCTTCTACATCAGAGGTAGGTGTGGTCAGGGCGGGGCTTTCCCCAGGGCCCCTCCCCTTCTACATCAGAGGTAGGTGTGGTCAGGGCGGGGCTTTCCCAGGGCTCCTCCCCTTCTACATCAGAGTAGATGTGTTCAGGGCGGGGCTTCCTATAAAGCCCCTCCACCTGGGGCATGTACCACCCCCTCCACAGGTGGGCCTCATCCACTGTTCCTGCCTACTAGCTCTTGTCCACCCCCCAGCTTGAGAGGCATGGAGGAGGACTGGCTTCTGAGTTCAAGGCCACCGAGCTTCTCCTCCCTTGGCCCGTCCCCAAGGAGCCAGGAGGCCTTGCCATCGTGACACTACAGGATGCTAGGTCAGGAGGATCCTAAGGGTCATCCACCCAGCGGTGGCACCTAGGGTTCAGCCTCAGGTCAGCTGATCCACAGCGACAGCTGGGTGTCCCAAGGCTGGGCCCTGACCCAGGGCAGGGGGAGGCGGGGAGGGGCAGCAGAGGTGGCTTCTGTTTGCTCACCCTGACCTGGGGTTTCCCCTTTCATGAGCAGATGACCCAAGGCACAGAAAGGAAAGACCCTGTCACCTTCACAGCTGGCCCCGTCAGCCGCCACCCGGAAGCCAGACCCACAGTCGGGGAGGCAGTGGTAGGAGCCGAGCAGGTTCACGCAGCGCTGGTCCTCCAGGCAGAGGTGGGCCTCCCACGCACACTCGTCCACATCTGGAGGCAGAGCAGGAGGACAGCTGCAGGAACGCACGGCCCCTGCCCCTGCCCCGGCCCGGCTCACCCACACGGGGTTCATCCTGGGTGAGGAGCACAGGACCCCCCGCCCCCGGCCCTCCTCCCCCGCTCCCCTTCCTGCCTCCTGTCTGCCATTCTGCGCTCTATGCGCAGCTCATCAAGAGACCGGAGGGCCCCAGCCTGCAGCTTCCGATGTGAGCTCCAGATGATGCCTGGGCTCCCCGGTGGCCATGGATGCCGTCAGGAGTGGAACGTTTGTCCCCTGGGTCTGGACGCCCTGCTGGACACCCAGGCCATGTTGGAGCGCCGCCTCTCCTGGCCACTCACCTCTGCAGCTCCTGCCGTCCCAGGCCAGGGCGAAGCCTTCCGGGCAGGAGCAGGAGAAGCGGCCAGGTGCGTTGTGGCAGCTGTGGGAGCAGGGGCTGGGGACCCCCGAACACTCGTCCGAGTCTGGGCAGGGAGAGAGGCGGGGTGTGTGCTCACAGGCTGAGCATAACAGGCTGGAGGTTTCCCTTGTTGGTGCCAGAATCGGGGTGGGAGGTGGGGTGCTCACCCGCACAAAACGCGCCCCGGGGGTCCAGCTCGAAGCCCTCTGGGCAGCCAGCGTCATTCTCCTCTGCAAGGGAAAGAAAATGGTCCTGAGGGCATAAAGCTCCCTCCCCTCCCCAGGCCACCTTGGCCTCTGTGGGCTGTACAGGTAGTGGCCCCCGGTAGGCGTGTTCAGGCCCTGTCCTGAGCCCAGCTGGGGTCAGGGGGACACTGCACACTTACACTTGTGTAAGTGTGCCCCCAGGGCCAGGCCCACTCCGGAGAAACCCTAGCAAGAAGTAGAAAGCAAGAGGCATGGCGGCTCACGCCTATAATCCTGGCTACTCTGGAGGCTGAGATTTGAAGATCCCAGTTTGAAGCCAGCCTGAGCCAAAAAGTTTGTGAGACTTTTATCTCTAACTAGCAAAAAGCCAGAAGTAGAGCTATGGCTCAAATGGTGGTGCATCAGCCTTGAGTAAAAAATACACAAAAATAAAATAAAAAAAGCCCCAGTACAAGCACCAAAAACAAAACAAAATAAAAGGTAGCTAATGGAATGTCACATGTGTAGAATTCTGTGTGTGTGTGGTGTGTGTGTGTGCTGGTTGTGGGGCTTGAACTCTGGGCCTGAGCACTGTCCCTCAGCTCTTCAGCTCAAGGCGAGTGCTCTACCACTTGAGCCACAGCGCCACTTCTGGCTTTCTGGTGGTTCACTGGAGATAAGAGTTTCACAGACTTTTCCTGCCTAGGCTGGCTTTGACCCGCAATCCTCAGATCTCAGTCTCCTGAGTTGCTAGGATGACAGGTGTGAGCCACTGGCTCCCAGCGTCTTTGTGGGGTTTAGTGGCAGTACCTGAACTGTCCCCCATCCTGGGAGGCTGGACACATCTCGTTCACGTGCAGATAGAAACAGGCCCAGGGAGGGCCAGGGCCCTGCCCCGAGGGCCCCACAGCTGGACAGCCAGGCCCATGGGATTTGAACCCGACCTCTCAGCTCTATTGTTCAATGTTAGAGCCTGTGGGAATCTCATATAATGCTGATACGCCCCAGTAGCTTTCATAGACTGAGACCTCGGATGGGTTCAGGTGGGCCTCCAGGAGCTGGGGGGGGGGGGGAAGGCTCCTAAGTGGACCCATGGGAATGGAGTATGGGGTGTGGCTGGACTTGAACACCAGCCTGAGGGGTGGAGCAGGGGGCTGGGCCATCCCTTTGAGGCCCCAGGGAATGGCTCTGAGGTTTGGCCCGGAGCCAGCTGAAGAGCTGCGTCCCTATGGAGTGGGGGGTGGGGAGGAAGGAGAGGCTAGCCCCTGGGTTGGGGTGGGGGAGAACAGGGGTGCAAGTCAGCCAGCTGCGTCTGGGCCCCTGGGAGCTTTTAGCCAGAGCCTGGGGGGGGGGGGGTGCAGAGGGGCGGCTCACCGGCTTGCAGGGCTGCGGTTAGCTGGAAGCGCAGGGCCTGGGCCTCGGGGTCGAAGGCCGAGCTGAGGCGGGAGGCGCGCAGGTGCTGCACCAGCCTTGGCTGGGGCCCGCGGGCCTTGGCGTAGCGGATGCTGTGGTTGCAGCGCAGGGCCGCACGCTGGCCGTCGTGGAGGAAGCGCTGTGTGGCGCCCACAAACAGCTGGCCAGGGCCCGTCTGCACATAGCGCTCCTCAAAGTCCTGCAGCATGGTGGGGGGCTGGAGTGGGGACTCCAGGGGTGGGGTGAGAGGCCCCGGGGCAGGTCCCCGTTCTAATCTGCTGTCTCTGAACCCCAGTTGGGATTTATGACCATCTGCTAGTGGAGCTAGAGGGCTCCAAGGGGAACCCTCCCTCCTGGCCATGACCGCGCACCCCTGTCTGCGGGGGGGGGGGGGGGGGGGGGGCGGGGATGGGGAGGGGAGGCGGGGGGAGGGGATTCAGGAGGGGTGGGGCCCGGAGGGGGGAATGGGAAGGCCCACCTGCAGGACAAGCTCCGCCTCCGCCAGGCTCTCAGGAACAGTGCCACGGACCGCCACATCCAGAAGCAGGAACCCGTGGGGATCCAGGCCCCGAGCCGCCTGGGTCAGCACCACCTGCTCCCCTGCAATCCAGGCCCCGCCTGCGGTCAGCTGGGGAGAGGCCCTGGGTTCAGGCCCCAGCCTCCCTGGGGGGGGGGGGAGGACCCCCGTTCACCTGTAGCAAACTCCACATGCGACTCCTGCCAGAAGTGGCCACCTGTCAGGGAGTGGCCATTGAGGGCCACTCCTCTCTCGCCAGCCAGCGCCCAGTAGACGGGGGAGATGGCGACCACCAGAGTCCGCAGCAGAGGTCCTGCATACAGAGGCCAGGCTAGCAGAGGCCTAGGCGTCTGTGGCCTTCTACTACCTTCCAGGAAAGCTCAGCCTTGTGGCGGCCTGAAGTAGTTTGTATATTTATTTAGTGTTAATTTTTTGTTGGTCGTGGGGCTTGAACTCTGGGCCTGGGCACTGTCTCTCAGCTCTTCAGCTCAAGGCTAGTGCTCTACCACTTGAGCCACAGCGCCACTTCTGGTTTTCTGAGTGGTTCTTTTGGAGATAAGAGTCTCACGGACTTTCCTGCCCAGGCTGGCTTTGAACCGTGATCCTCAGATCTCAGCCTCCTGAGTAGCTAGGATGACAGGCGTGAGCCACCGGTGCCCGGCTTTGAAGCAGTTTATTTAATCAGAACCTGGGAAATGGCAAAGTCCAACCTATATTCCAACTGTGACTGTTACTATAATGAGTCTGCAAGAGGGAATGCATGTAACTTGTTGGCAACTCAGCTAAGTTCCGCTAATACAGAAAAAGAGTGACTGGGTTACCATGGGTCTGGGAAGCTACAGCCTGTCTGTAGAGACTGGCTGAACTGAGTTAAAAATCAACCAAGCTGGCTGGGAAGGTGGCTCAGTGGTAGAGCGCTTGCCTTGCATGCCTGAGGCCCTGGGTTCAATTCCTCAGCACCACATAAGCAAAAAAAAAAAAAAAAAAGAAAGAAAAAAAAGCCGGAAGTGGCGCTGTGGCTCAAGTGGTAGAGCGCTAGCCTTGAGCTGAAGAGCTGAGGGACAGCGCCCAGGCCCAGAGTTCAGGCCCCACAACCAACAACAAAAAGAAAAAGCAACCAAGCTTTCCTGACTTACAGACAACTTCTAGAAGAGCCCGGGAGAGGAAAATTGTTCCAAACCACTGGCTTTGAAAAAAGCCAAAAAACTGGCTGGAAATGGAGGAGTTCCAGACCCTCCCGGAACCATCAGGGCCTTCAGCTCTTGTTTTTCTGAGCTCCTGCGGGCCCTCCATCCTGCTCACTTCAGTTTTCTCCTGGTCTGACTGTACATGCAGTGGCTTCTTGGGGTGGGGGTGGGGGAGTGGGGGCGGGGTTTGGGGGCGGGACAGGAAGTCGCCCGCATAGCGGTGCGTGGCGGCTTGAATTGGTCCATTAGAGGCAGTTGGATCTTCTGGGGCATGGGCCTCGGGGAAGCCTGGGGGTACAGCCTTTGCCTCCCCCCGCCCCTGTCGGGCGGGTGTCCACCCACTGGGAACCCCACTGACCCACGTTTGCTGGGAGGTGGCTGACGCTGCTGTGGATGGTGGTGGCTCCAGAGCTCCCCTCCTGTTGGACGCTGGTGTTGAGAGCGGCCACGCCGAATTCCTGACCGTTGATCACCCCAGTCATGCTGCCCCGGCTCCCCCGGGGTTCCCCTGTGTGCGGGAGAGAACAATACTAGGACGCATCCTCTCCACACTGAAGCTCAGAGAGGCAAAGTATCATGCCCGAGGACGCACAGCCAGTGGGTGGTGGAGTCTGCCTCTGCCATCACCTGCGCTGAAGCCCGGATGCGTCAGGCCCCCAAGCTACGCGAAGGGGGCTCATCTATGACATGAAGGCGGGTTGGGGTGGGGTTCAAGGCACACAGGAGACCCACCAGACTCTATCATGCCCAGAGCCACAGTGGCAGGGCCTGGCACGGTGCCAGGAGCCATGACCTCAACATCTGCATTCCTCCAGAGCCTGGCTCCAGCCGCCCCGCAGCTGGCCTGGCCGGGGTGGGTTTTGTCCTGGTGTCGCCAGGCTGGCTAGGAGCAGATGCTTTTCAAGCACTAATCAAAGATCGGACGGAGGCCCAGGGGGCCTGCGCTTCCCCTCTGAGGGGCCATCTGTCTCCTCCAGGCCACTGGCATTCCAGGGGAAGAGAGACAGAAGACAGCCTGCGGCTCCGCTCGCCAGCTCTCAGGGGAAATTAGCAACAAATTGCCCATGGCCTGTCAGCGAGTAACACAAACCACGGCGCGGCCAGGATCCCAAACGGCCACACCAGGGCTTCTTAATGTCAGATTCTAGGAAGCGCGCCCATTTCCTGAGGTTGCATGAAGTCAGCTGAGCTTCTGGGATATTTCTCCTCCACATCCGGGGTCTGGGAGGGACACAGGACCATGACCCAAACCTGCTTTGCTCTCCTCCTCCTCCTCCTCCTCCTCCTCCTCCTCCTCCTCCTCCTCCTCCTCCTCCTCCTCCTCCTCTTCCTTCCTTCTGTTCCTCCTCCTCCTTCTGCTCCTCCTCCTCTCTCTCCCTCTTCCTCTCTTTTCTTCTCTTCCCTTCCTTCCTTCTTTCCTTCCTTCCTCCTTTTCCTTCTATCCTTCCTTCTCTTTCTTTTTTTTTTTTTTTTTGTGCCAGTCCCAGGGCTTGAACTCAGGGCTTCATGTACTTGCTTCCCCTCAAGGTTGGTGCTGTACCATTTGAGCCACAGCTCTGCTTCCTGTTCCTGCTTTCTCTAGGGGATGGGGAAGGACGTGGTGGCTGCAGGGGAGAAGGTGCACGCAGGACCCAGCCACCCTGGAAGGGGACACAGCTGGGAGCTTAGGAGTGACAAGCTGCTGTCTACTTAAGTGGTTTCATCGGCCTTTTGCCCCCTGGAGGCCAGAGCTGGGACCCTCGGGCTGCTGGGGAAGGAGGCGTGAAGCTGGAAAGGAGGGGACAGGCTGATGTCAGGGGCTTTGAAGTTAGCTGGGCATTGGTGGCTCATGTGTGTCATCCTAGCTACTCAGGAGGCTGAGATCTAAAGACTGCAGTACAAAGCCTGCTGGCTAGGAAAGTCTTCAATTACCCACCAGAACCTGTAAGTGGACCTGTGGCTCAAAGAGCTAGAGCTCTAGACTTGAGTGAGTGAAAACCCTTAGAGACAGCAGCCAGGCCCTAAGTTCAAGCCCCATAACCAACAACAATAATCACAACAAAGATGTAGCCTCTAGCTTGGTGCCAGTGGTTCGCATCTATAATCATAGCCACTCTTAAAGGCTGAGAGGAGGATCGCGGTTTTGGGCGCGTCCAGTTTCCCTCTCACCAGTAGCTGGGTGTGGTGAGATGTGCTGTTATCTCAGCCAGAGCTGGAGCCCCCTCCCCCCCTTTTTTTTGGTCAGTTGTGGGGCTTGAACTCTGGGCCTGGGCGCTGTCCCTAAGCTCTTTAGCTCAAGGCCAACACTCTACTGCGTGAGCCACATTGCCACTACCAGGTTTCTGATGGCTTATTGGAGATAAGAGTCTCACAGACTTTCCTTCTGCGGGCTGGCTTTGAACCTTGATCCTCAGATCTCAGCTTCCTTAACAGCTAGGATGACAGGCATAAGCCACCAGCGTCCAGCATCTAGAGCTAGAACTTTAAATAAGAGGATTGCTATCTATGTTGGCCAGGGCAAAAAACAAGGCGATATCTCAAAAATAACCCCTGCAAAAAAGAGGCTGAGGATGTGGCTCAAGTGGTAGAGTATCTGACTTAGCAAATGTGGAGTCCCGAGTTCAAATTCCATTGCCACCGCCAGAAATTAATCAAACAAACAAGTATCACTGTGGAACCAGTTTGAGAATTACAGAATGTTACCCAAGGCAGAAAGCAGAATGGCAGGGTACAAAGACAACCTGCAAATTTGATTTGGATTATAAAAAGTGTATATCTTTTCACACTTAGAGAAATAAAAATTGGAATAATATACTCTCAAATAATTATCTAAGCTATTTGTGCTAATTGGATTATTGGAGAAAATCACTTCTATTGCTTTAGAGTTCTGTATTATCTGGCCTTTCGCTGAGTAGCTCACATGAAGGGAGTAGGGTCGGAGAACAGATGTGGAGAAGAGTTCGGACACTGCTATGTGTGTGGGTAGATTGGTGATGTCTGCTGAGCCAGACGTGGAGAAGGGTTCTGGTGCTATGCATGTGGGTAGATTGGTGATGTCTGCCAGAACAGATGTAGATAAGGGTTCTGGTACTGTGTGTGGGTAGACTGGTGATGTCTGCTGAGACAGATGTGGAGAAGGGTCTGGCGCTGTGTATGTGGGTAGATTGGTGATGTCTGCTGAGACAGAGGTGAAGGGTCTGGTGCTATGTGTGTGGGTAGATTGGTGATGTCTGTCAGGACAAATGTGGAGAAGGGTCTGGCACCGTGTGTGTGGGTAGATTGGTGATGTCTGCTGGGACAGATGTGAAGGGTCTGGTGCTATGTGTGTGGGTAGATTGGTGATGTCTGCTGGGACAGATGTGGAGAAGGATCTGGCACTGTGGGGGCAGGGAGAGCCCATACCTCTCACAACCAGGAGCACCTGGGCCGTGGCAGAGCCCAGGAGGTTGTGAGCGACACATTCGTATGTGCCCGCGTCCCCAGCCTGGGTGCGCTCCAGCCACAGGCTCCCATCCGACAGCATCTGGAGCCGCGGGCCGGCCTGCAGGGGTCGACCTGCCCTCAGCCACTCGATGGTGGGCGCCGGCTCGCCGGTGGCCTGGCACTGCAGCACCACGTCCTCCCCGGATCTCACAGCCACGTCCTGGGGCTCCATTTGGAATACTGGGGCACCTGTGGAGGCCCGGGCAGCACTTAACGATCATCTAATTCTGTTTGCCTATTCCCATGCATTCGGACATAACAGGACCCCAAAGGCTGAGAAAGGCAACATCACAGCCAGCTACGGGCCTGCAGACCGCCTTTATAGGCAATGTTTCTTATAAAAATACTGCTGTGAGCCAGCCCCGTGGCTCACACCTGTAATCCTAGCTACTCAGGAGGCTGAGATCTGAGGATCTTGGCTCAAAGCCAGCCCGGGAAGGAAAGTCTGTGAGACTCTTATCTCCAATAAACCACTAGAAAACTGGAAGTAGGGCTGTGGCTCAAGCAGTAGAGCACTCGCCTTGAGCTGAAGAGCGCAGGGACAGCGCTCAAGCCCAGAGTTCAAGCCCCACGACCAACAACAACAACAAAAAATACTGCTGTGTGCGTGTAAGGATTTTTGCTTTGTGACGGGCTGCTTGCACCTCAGTGTTCCGGTACGATCACACCACTGGGTGATGGCACAGCGGTCCAAGCTCTTGTGCGCGCATGGGATGTTTCCATGACACGTCACCACAACCTGCTCCTCAGAACACATCCCCAGCACGCACGGACGCACAACCATGACCGCATTGCACACAGGTGTCTGTACCGCGCCGTCCCACCATTGCTACCCCAGCCTGCCAGGAAGCAGTCTTTTTTTTTTTTTTTGCGGGGTGTGGGGGGGAGATATCATATTCCACTGTTGGGGATGACTGAGATCTGCGACACCAAGCTTGGATTCCAGGACAAATTGGTTGTTCATAAAGATGAAGTGCCGCCTCCTCCAAAATCTGTGTGTGTGTGTGCGCGCGCGCGCGCGCATGTGTGTGTGTGTGTGTGTGTGCTGATCCTGCAGCATACTTGGAGCCTGGGCTCTGCCCCATAGCTTTTTCACTCAAGGCTGGCACTCTACCACTTGAGTCACAACTCCACTCCCAGTTTTATTTTTGCTGGTTAAAGGAAGATAAGAGTCTCATGGACTTTCCAGCCGGGGCTGGCTTTGACACTGTGTGTGTGGGGGGGGAGGGGCGGGGGGGTAGATTGGTGATGTCTGTCAGGATAGAGAAGGAAGGGTTCTGGTGCTGTGTGTGTGTGGGTAGATTGGTGATGTCTGTCAGGATAGAGAAGGAAGGGTTCTGGTGCTGTGTGTGTGTGGGTAGATTGGTGATGTCTGCCGGGACAGATGTGGAGAAGGATCTGGGTACAGGGAGAGCCCATACCTCTCACGACCAGGAACGCCTGGGCTGTGGCAGAGCCTGGGAAGTTATGTGCCTCAGATCTCAGCCTCCTGAGTAGCGAGGATGACAGGCGGGAGCTACCTGGCTCAGAGAGTGTTTCTGAGGTTTGAGTCATCAGCACCTGTAGGCCTGGTGCTCTGGTTTCTGGGAGTTCAGGAACCCAACCCTGAGTCTCACCCTACATGTCCTAGACTTTACTATGGGTTTCAAATAAAGATTTGTGAGCAGCCTGAGGGCCGCTGTCCCCCTCCCGCTGTGGACAGGAGCCCGGGGGGAGGGGTGAGGGGGAGGGTGTTGGACTCACTCTGGAGCACAAGGGTCAGCACCTTCTTCACACTGCCCACCTCGTTCTCGGCCAGGCACTGGTACTGTCCTGCGTCCTCCAGCTGCAGGTGGCACGGGGGGCGGGGGGAGCGCTCAGGGAGGAGGAGGGGCAGCCCGGGGCAGCGGGGCGTGGAGGGACAACCAGACCAAGACCCATCTCAGTGAGACAGAGTGCGGAGGGCCTCGGGGCACGACTCTGAGCCTGGTGTCTCCTTCTGCTAAGATGGGGGTGCTGCTGCCTGCCCACTCTGCCCTTGCTCATCATATCTTAGGGGGCGTTACTGACTCACACAGGTCACACTCGGGCCGTCTCAGGATTTCTCACTGCTAACCTATGAGTGCATAAGCCCTACTGACTGCCCTGGCTAGGCTGGCACCACCTTTACCCTCTGCAGTCTACCAAGCACCTCCTGCCCCCTCATAAAACTCAGGGTGACCTCCTGCCTGTGATGCAACTCGCCTGCCCCTCCCTCACCCCACACTCACCGGGGCCCATGATTATGAGCAGAGGGCTGTTCCCCACGACCCCGCCCAGTGCCAGGCCCACCCGCCTTGCCTCTGCTCTGCGGATGGTCAGTGAGCCATTCTGGAGCCCGAAACGGAGCCGGCTGCTGGGCAGTGGAAGGCCATCTTTGGTCCACTGGATGTCGGGTGCCGGGTCTCCTCGGACCTCGCAGTCCAGCCGGATGCTGCCCCCTACAGGCTCCACCAGGTAGGAGAAGGCCTCGCCTTGCAGGACAGGAGCTTCTGCAAGGGGTAGCATGAAAGGTGCCGTCAGGAGAGAGGCTCCCTTGAGGTTCAACCTCCATAAATCCATTCCTGAAGGCCACCCAGGGTCCAGGGGCCTCCAGAGGCTCCTGCCAGAGCAGCATGGCTGCCTTATGGGTCTTGAGCACAGGGAACTGAGCTGACATAGTTGAAGCTGGTTGGTGATTGATTAGTGATGCCTGAGACGGGAGCAGGATGGAAGGTGATGCAGTGTGTGTGTGTATGCGTGTGTGTGCGCGCGCGCATACACGTATGCCTGTGTGTACATGCATGTGCATATATGCATAGCATTAGTTCTCACAGATCTCACTAGCTGCAACAGCACCTGCGGGGTACTTGGGAAGGCAGGGAAATTTGGGAAGTGTATATAGGTGTGTGTGTGTGTGTGTGTGTGTGTGCGCGCGCCTGTGGTGCTGACAATCTCATAGACTGTTGGATGCCCTGTGTTGGATCTCGCCCTTCCTGACGCTGAGGTGAAATCCAGGGAGAGCTATGACTGTCTCGGTGGTCTGGGTGGCTCTTTTGCTCCTTCAAACCCTACCCATCCCCAGGCTGAGTGGAAGTCTCACCCTGGGGGGCTGGTTTATGGAAGTGGGTGTGGACACTGGTCCTTGGGTTTTACAAAGTGTCCCAGGGGACAACTGGGGTGGAGAGCCACTCCTCAGAGCACGGGGCTGCGGTTTCGTGGCACAGCAACGCATTGGGCTACACGGAGGCCTCGCGGGGCAGGCCCCGCGGGCTCCTGCCTACCCTTCACGTGGACGAAGCTGACTGTCTGCACACGGCCCACTCTGTTCTCAGCCCAGCACGTGTAGGCCCCGCTGTCCTCCCTGCTGACGGCCGCCCGCTTCAGGGTGCTGCCCCCGTCCTGCTCAGACACGCCCTCTGTGGTGGACAAAAGAGATTTCCCAGGGCTGAGTCCAGGACTAGGGTCTCTGGACCCTCACTGAGAACTCGGTACCCGGCAGTGCTTAAACACGGTCCTGGACTCAGGCATGAGGGGTGGTCTCCATGGGTGGTGGGCTGACTGCGTCAACCTGTTCCCAAGAGTTACAGGCCATAGACATGGGGTTAAGAATCTGCCTATCGAGCCGGGCGCTGGTGGCTCAGGCCTGTCATCCTAGCTACTCAGGAGGCTGAGATCTGAGGATCATGGTTCAAAGCCAGCCTGGACAGGAAAATCCACAAGACTCTTATCTCCACTTAACCAGCTTTTTATTTATTTTATTTAATTAATTAATTTATTTTGGGTCTGGTTGTGGAGCCTGAACTCGGGGCCTGGGCGCTGTCTCTCAGCTCTTCAGCTCAAGGCTAGCGCTCTACCACTTGAGCCACAGCGCCACTTCCGGCTTATTTCTTTTTGCTTATGTGGTGCTGAGGAATCAAACCCAGGGCCTTATGCAGGCAAGGCAAGCGCTCTACCACTGAGCCACCTTCCCAGCCCTTGTTTTTTTTTTTTTTTTTTAAAGCTGAAAGTAGCTTAAGTGATAGAGCACCAGACTTGAGTGAAAAAGCCAAGTGAGGGTGTAAAGCCAGGTTCAAGCCCCAGTACTGGCAGAAAGAAACTAAAACAGAATCTGCCTGGTACCTGGTTTGACGATGAGTTTGGCAGAGGTCACGGCGGGTCTCTGAGGTAGATGAGGGACCTGCTCAGGTTTCCTGCCCCATGGAGGCAGGGAGGTGTGGCGCAGGGGGCACAGCTGTGGCCTGGGGCTAGGACTGGCTGGCGTTACATTCTTTTTTTTGTTACATTCTTTTTTTTTTTGGTCGGTTGTGGGGCTTGAACTCTAGGCTTGGGCGCTCTCTCTCAGCTCTTCAGCTCAAGGCCAGTGCCCTACCACTTGAGCCACAGTGCCACTTCTGGTTTATTGGAGGTAAGAGTCTCACGGACTTTCCTGCCCGGGCTGGCTTTGAACCTCAATCCTCAGATCTCAGCCTCCTGAGTAGCTAGGATGACAGGAGTAAGCCACCAGGTGCCTGGCTCAAACGTTGCATTCTTTTATTTTGGCCAATCCAGGGTCTTGAACTGTGGGCCTGGGGACTGTTCCTGAGTTCTTTTTGCTCAAGGCTAGCACTCTACCATTTGAGCCACGGCACCCCTTCCAACTTTCTCTGTCATTAATTAGAGATAAGAGTCTCACGGACTTTCCTGCCTGGGCTGGCTTCAAACTACAATCCTCAGATCTCAGCCTCCTGAGTAGCTAGGATGGCAGGCGTGAGCCGCCAGCGCCTGGCTGGTACTGCATTCTAAAGCAGGAAACTATCATCTGCAGTGGAGACAAGCGGCAGCAGGCACTGATTGAGCACCTACTGTCTTCCCACCAGACCTGTGACCGGCCGGTCGTTGCGGGTCCAGCTGATGCGGGGCGTTGGGCTGCCCCGAGCCGCACAACGAAGCCACAGCTGGTCCCCAAGGCGCAGGCTGCGGTCTCCGGGCAGCGTGGTGAAGACAGGCAGGGCCAGGATGGTGAGGTGCACGCGGCGGCGGGCACGGCCCACGGCGTTCTCGGCCGTGCAGGTGTAGGTGCCTGCGTCCTGGCCCTGGGGGGGAGGCAGAGAGAGGCATCAGCCTGAGATCCACTCCGCACGGTCCCCAGGGTCCAGCGCCCGGCCATGGCCACTCCGCCAGCGCACGAGCGCTTCCCGTCATTGCCATTCGGCCGCCACTTTGCCACCCAAGCCCTGCCGCGGGGCAGGACGGCACCAGGCAGGCCTGTGTTCCGATCGCCGCCGTGTGTCAGGCCTGATCCGCCCTACTTTTGGTACAGAGAGGATCTGAGCCAAGTTTTGGGGTGCATCAGAGCAGGGCCAGTGTGCTCCCCGCTGCACAGCCGGGCCCGGTGGGGCAGGGTCTGAAGCCTGGGGGACTCCCGCTCATGAGTGAGCCCTGCCCGTGTTCGTCACCATGCAGCTCCCTAGCCATCGGGAGAGCAGCTTTCTGTGGTGACAGAAGCTGCTCGGCCCGGGGCTGGCGGCTCGCACCTGTAATCCTGGGCACCCGGGAGGCTATGATCTGAGGATGGAGCTTCAAAGCCAGCCCAGTGAGGAAAGCCCAAAGGATTACTATCTCCAATCAACCAGCAAAAAGCTGGAAGTAGGGGTGTGACTCGAGGGTAGGGTGCCAGCCTTGAGTGAAAAAGCCAAGCTGGAGTGGGAGGTCTGGAGTTCAAGCCCTCACATTGGGGGAAACTTGGGGAGAAAGGGATCAGGGGTCCCATCGATCCCAGCCCTGGCTCAGTAACTTCCTGACCACGGGACATTCGGTACTGAGGTTGGGGTGGAGGACGATGGGGTGGCCCACCCAGCACATGTCCAGGTTCAGTTCTTTTTTTGTTTTTGGTCAGTCGTGGGGCTTGAACTCTGGGCCTGGGTGGCTGTCCCTCAGCTCTTTAGCTCAAGGTGAGTGCTCTACCATTTGAGCCATAGCGCCACTTCCGGTTTTCTGAGTCATTTATTGGAGATAAAAGTCTCATGGACTTTCCTGCCCAGACTGGCTTTGAACTGTGATCCTCAGATCTCAGCCTCCTGAGTAGCTAGGATGACAGGCGTGAGCTACTGGTGCCTAGCTCAGTTCTGATTTTTTTTTTTTTTTTTTTTGGTGGTGGTCCTGGGGCTTGAACTCAGAGCTGTCCCTCAGCTTTTTTTGTTTGCTCAAGGCTAGTTCTCTACCACTTGAAACAAAGCCCCCCCCAAAAAGAAGAAACAAAGCCCCCACTTCCGGCTTTTTGGTAGTTAATTGGAGATAAGAGTCTCACAGACTTTCCTTTGAACCTCAATCCTCAGATCTGAGCCTCCTGGGCAGCTAGGGTTACAGCTGTGAATCACCGGCCCCCGGCCAGGTTCAAATCTGACTCCGGCCTGTTGGCTAGTGAGTGAGTCAGGACAGTGTCCCGGGCTTCCCCAGGCAGCTGCTCCTGGGCCGCTCACCTCCGAGTTCTTCACCAGCAGCTCCCCGGAGGGCTGGATGGAGAACCTGCCCTCAGTGCCCGCCACGGGCTGGCCATCTTTCTCCCAGGTGATGTCGGGATCGGGGTTGCCCCTGGCCGTGCAGGGCAGGAGCGCGTGGGAGCCCTCGGCGGTGGACAGGTCCGGGAGGCCGCTGTCGATCACGGGGGGGACTGTGGGGAGGGGAGAGGGTCCCAGTGGAGGCTGAGCTGGGGTGGCCCTTTCTGGTCCTCCTATCCTGCTCTCCTTGGCCTCCTCGCCCCTCCCCGGTCAGCTGTCCTGCAGCTGCCCAGCCCTGTCACTGCAGGGCTCTGAGCCGGGTGCAGCCGTGCCAGGGTGGCTGGTGCACCTGCCCACGTGTGCAAGCATGCACACAAAAACACACGGCCCATGTGGGCACAGACTCTGCATGTGTGGCCGTTTCCGGGACCAAGAGCAGAGCTATCACGGAGCCCACACGTGCCCCTCACTCTGGGAGCTCCACGGCGGCAGCGTGGATCACAGGCGGTGCGTGGAGGTCCCGGCTGGTGCACTTGGTGTAGGACTTGTCTGGGACGAGCACCAAGCACCACTGGGGAGGGGACACGGAGCTCCCTGAGCCTCCCGGTTCACAGCCACGTCTGACCTCTGCCCCGCACAGCAACAGCCACGCAGGACCCCCTGCCAAGCAGGGCCCGCGGCACACTGGGCACTTTGAGCGTGCCAGGCCCTGTCGGTGTCACGGGGACGTGGCAGTGACTAAGGGAGAAGCCTGTGCAGAGGGACACGCCTCAGCGTGCCGCTGCTCACGCCTGTGATCCCAGCTGCTCAGGAAGCTGACAGCTAAGGATCATGGTACAAAGCCAGCCTGGGGAGGAGAGTCCAGGAGACTCTTACCTCCAATGAACCACCAAAAAGCCACAAGTGGAGGTGTGGTTCAAGTGGTAGAGCACCAGCCTTGAGCAAAAAAAAGCTAAGTGACAGCACCTAGCCCCAGGTCCAAGCCCCAGTACTGACACACTCATGCATACGTGCACACGCACACACACATGCACACGTACACACACATGCATATGTGCACACACATGCATACCTGCACACGCACACAGGCATGCATGCACACGCACACACATGCACACGCACACACATGCACACACATGCATACGTGCACATGCACACATGCATACGTACACACGCACACACACATACGCGTACACACATGCATACATGCACACATGCACACGTGCACACGCACACACATGCACACACATGCATACGTGTACACACATGCACACGCACGCACACGTGCATACATGCACACACCCACACACATGCATACGTGCACACACCTGCATACGTACACACATGCACACGTGCACACGCACACACATGCACACATGCATACGTGCACACACATGCATACGCACGCACACATGCATACATGCACACACATGCATGTGCACACACATGCATACGTGCACACACATGCATACGTGCACACACATGCATACGTGCACACGTGCACACGCACACACGTGCACACATGCACACGTGCACACGCACACACGCACACACATGCATACGCGCACACACACATGCATACGTGCACACAGAGGACAAAAAGAAATGATTACTGTCACCAAATCCTAATGAAAGACAGAGCTGGACCAGTGTCCCCAGAGGGGCCAGACCAGGCTGGGGAGGGGGTGTCCACGCAGCCAGGCTGCCGGCAGGAGGAGAGAGATCTTCCGGAACCATCTGTGTTGGCCCTGCCCGGGCTCACCTAGCACCCGCAGCCGTGTCTTCCCCACTGCGCTGCCCACGCTGTTCTGGGCGACGCATAAGTAGTTCCCAGCATCTTCCGGGCTGGCGTGGACGATCCGCAGGTGTCCGCTGGGCAGGACCTGGGTGCCCGCGCCTGGGTGGGGAGGGGAGTCTGGGGCCGGGCGGCGGGGGTGCGCGGCAGGCCCGACTCTCGGAGAGAGTGGGGGGAGTGCAGGCTCTGTGGGGGGGGGGGCCCTGAGGGTGCTGTGAATCTCGGGGGGGGGCCCACTCCCCTCCCCTCCCGGGGGCCTCACCTGCCTGGATGCTCAGCCCCTCTTTCTGCCAGGAGATGGTGGGCGGGGGCGCCCCCACGGCCTCGCAGGGCAGCAGCGCCTCCCGCGCCTCCAGCGCCTCCACCACGCTGGGCAGCGGCTTCACCACGGGAGAGGCTGGAGGCAGAGGGGACCGGAATCCTGCGGCCTTCCCCCCACCAGCCGCTCCGCGGGACGCCCCCGAGGGCCTCCGCCAGGGAATCAGAGCAGGGGAGGCCGGGCAGGAGAGGCTGGGGCCTTCCCTCCGTTCCCAGCCCCACCCACCGCCAGGTCTCCATCTGCCCCCCCTCCCCCCTCCCTCGGGTGCGCCCCCTCCCTTCCCCCCTCCCCCCCACCTCACCTTGCACGGTGAGGGCCACGTGCTTGTGCGCCACGCCGGCAGAGTTGTGTGCGGTGCAGGTGTAGCGGCCAGTGTGGATGGGGAGGGCATGCTCGATCTGCAGCGCTCCTGTGGGGGGGGTGCGGGTGCTGAGGGGACGGGGGTGGGGGGGTGGGGGGGTGGAGGAGGTGGCGGGGCTCCCGGGAAAGCACGGGAACCTGAGTTCTGCCTGAAAGCACAACCAGGGAAAAGTCCCTTCTACTCTCGGCCTGTTTCTCCATGTGGACAAGACAGAATTAGAGAAGGTGGCCTGTGGAGCCCCCCCAGGCTCCACAGACCCAGAATCCCAGGCCCCAGAGCTCTGCCCCCTGCATTGCTCACCTCCTCCGGGAAGCCTCCCCAGATTTCCACCTCCTCTGCTCTCTGAGCAACAGTGAGCACCCCCTCAGCCTCTTGGCCTCCAGGGCGCATTCTGACTTTTGAGCAGAGAGCTTTCTAGTGTCTTCTGGGGGCCTGTGGGTGGGTCTGGGGAAGGGAAGGCTGCTGGCCTCGGGGCTGGCCATGGTTATGACCTGCCTTGTACACTGGGCTTGGCTATGGCCACTTATTGGAAAAAACGTTTCTACCACCGCTAAGGAGTCTGCAAACCACACAGCTGTCCGGCATCCCAGATGCTAAAAGATTTCACCAACTTACAAACATACATTTGATTTCGAGGCTCTGCATAAAGTCACTAACCTTCCTTTTAACAAAGACATTTCAAAAGACCACCATCTTGGCCACATGAGCCATCGCGGCTCACATTTGTAATCCTAGCTACTTGAGAGGCAGAGATCAGGAGGATTGTAGTCTGAGGTCAGCCCGGGAAAAACAGCACTCTCAAAAATAACCAGAGCAGTCAAGCACCAGTGGCTCCTGTGTGTCATCCTAGCTACTCAGGAGGCTGAGAGGATTGCAGTTCAAAACCAGCCCAGGCAGATAAATAAATCCAAGAGACTCTTATGTCCAAGTAGCCAACAAAAAGCTGGCAGTAGAGTGTGGCTCAAGTGGTAGAGCACCAACCTTGAGTGAAGAAAGCTCAGGGACAGTGCCCAGGCTTTGAGTTCAAGCCCTAGTACCGGTATAAATAAATAACCAGAGCAAAAGAGCTGGGTGCCGTGACTCGCGTGGCAGAGCCCTGTGTCCAAATCCCAGAACTGCCGAAAGGAAATAAGAAAACATCACCACCCGCGATTGCCTTTTACTTCATCAAAGAAAGGGACTCTCTGCACTGAAGACGAAGAGCGGTGATTTCAGAATAAAAGCCAGTCCTGAGCCAGGTGCTGGTGGCTCTCGCCTGTCATCCTAGCTACTCAGGAGGCTGAGATCGAAGGATCACGGTTCAAAGCCATCCTGGGCACAAAAACCTGTGAGACTTTTATCTCCAGTAAACCACTCAGAAAACCGGAAGTGGCGCTGTGGCTCAACTGGTAGAGCGCTTGCCTTGAGGTGAAGAGCTGGGGGACAGTGCCCAGGCCCAGAGTTCAGGCCCCACAACTGACCTTTCCCCCCACAAAAAAAGATAGTCCTGCCTGTGGCATAGCCAGCCTCACCGCAGCTCCAGCCGCTCTTCCTTCCTTCTCTTCGGCCATGAAACCACACCGACTCTACTAACCTGGAGACACTGAGGGCCCTCACACACAGCCGCACAGAGAGGGCGAGGGGTTTCTCCAGGGCCACACAGCCAAGGTGTGGCGGAGCCAGGCTGGAAATGCCCGTCTCACCGCCCAGGCTCTCCATCCGCTCGGCGCACGCCCCGCATCTCCCTTGTCCCCCGTGGGCCACTTTTCTGCCGCTGGCCCTTACTTACCCGAGGGTAGGACGCGGTAGCCGCCGCCCCTGGCCCCCAGTGGGGTGCCCCCCTTGCTCCAGGACACAGCCGGGGAGGGCACGCCTGTGCTGTGGCACGTGAGCACCACGGGGGCCATCCTGGTCACCGTGACCTCGGTCTGGTCGTCGGCAATGGTGGGAGGCGCTGGAACCAAGGTGGAGCCCGGGCCGTTAGGGGCGGGGCTCCATGTGGCCATGGCCGGGAAGAACTGCCAAGGGAGGCTTGGGGGAACCCCGGGGGTGGGGGCAGGGATCCCCACAGGGACAGGGCCTGGGGGAGGCAGGAGGTGACAGGCGTGGCAGCCTCAGCGTGATTGGGAACTTTGTGGGGTGCCTGGGGAAGGCCTCTAGGGGTGTGACCCTTAACCTGAGGTCAGATGGCAAAGCAGGAGGTGGCTGATTGGGGGGGGGGGTGCGTGGGGGGGGTTCCCAGCACAGGAAGAGCATGTGCAAAGGCCCTGATCCCAGGAGCCCAAGCTGAGCAGCATGACCAGAGCCCAGAGTGAGGTGAGACTGCGTGAGGAGTCGAACCCCACCGGCCAGTAGGGTCCTCGGGGAGGGATTTCAACCCGAAGGTCAAATTTGGGTCTAGAGCCTGGATTGAGCAGCTGCCAGGAAGTGTGCCAGGGTTCCATCCAGGAGAGCTTCCTGGAGGCGGCGTCCCGTGGGCAGGCTGCCGCTGCCCCATCACCTGTGGCCCACTCACCGTGGACAGTCAGCTGGTAGACCCTGCGGGCCTCGCCCACCTCGTTGCTGGCCACGCACTCAAACCGGGCGGAGTCGTGGGGGCTGGGTGCTGTGAGCAGCAGGGCGCTGGAGGGCAGGAGCCTGGGGGGGGGTGGGGGGAGAGGGGGTGGAGGGAGGGGGTGGGGGGAGGGGGGGGAGGGGTGGGGGAGGGGTGGGGGGAGGGGTGGGGAGAGGGGGTGCAGTGACTGCCCCGGCCAGCTGCGCGCGCTCTTCCTGCTCGGCGGTCTGGACACGGGACCCGCTCACCACCTTTCCCGCTGTTTCTACCCCCCCCATCAGACTCTACAACCGTCTTCTAGAAGGTTCTGACCCCAGTTTTAACTGTTGGGTCAGTGGTGATTTTTGTTCCTATCTTGCTTCTCTGTAACTCTGCAAGTTTGCTATGGGAAAGCCTGCAGAAGCTTTACGTCTCTGTTGTTGTTTTCTTTGTGGTGCTGGGGTTTGAACTCAAAGCCTTGTGCTTGCAAGGCAGGTCTCTACCACTTGAGCCACCTCCCCCAGCCCTTTTGGCTGTATTTTGGGGATAGGGTCTCCAGCGTATGCCAGGCTGTCCTGGAATGCCATCCTTGTATTTAAAAGTCCAGCGGAGGCTGGGAAGGTGGCTCAGTGGTAGAGTGCTGCCTTGCATGCATGAGGCCCTGGGTTCAATTCCTCAGCACCATATAAGCAAAAAGAAAAAAGCCAGAAGTGGCGTGGCGGCTCCAGTGGTAGAGTGCTAGCCTTGAGCTGAAGAGCTGAGGGACAGCGCCCAGGCCCAGAGTTCAGGCCCCATGACTGACCAAAAAAGAAAAAAGTCCAGCATAGCAATACAACACTTTGCTATCTACTGAGATGGAGCCTTGAGGATCTCCTACCCAGGCTGGCTTCAAACAATGATCCTCTGGATCTCTGCCCCTGGTGTGGCTGGGATTACAGGCATGAGCCACCACGCCCGCCCAGCCCCTCCCCCCCTCCCGCCAGCTGAGAAAGTAACCTCACTTCACCCCCACCAGAAGCTTGGGTTGGCACAGCACTTGCTCTAGGAGCAGAGCTCCAGCAGGGCCTGGCTCGCTGGGGAATGGATTCGTGATTTGACCCTTTCCAGGTCCTTCAGGACCAGATGCCTGCGGAAACACAGGCACTGACTCCAACCTCGGCTTCTCTTGTTTTTGCATTGTTGAGACCACATAGGCGCGCGCGCACACGCGCACACACACACACACATTGTAGGTAATCTGCCCGAGTTTCACCCCAGCCCTCCAGCTTCTGCTTCTAATGTGTGTCTGGCATGGATGGAAGCCACAGGACTCCGGCGGTGTGTTCCAAATGCCTATCCCAAACGCCTGGCAGCTCCGTCCACTTCAGCAGAAAGGGCCGCCTGGCTCTCCAGGGTCAGGCCCTCCCCTCCGGCCCAGGAGGCGGGCCCCGCCTCCCACCGTGCCCCGCCCCTCCGCGGGCCCCGCCCCTCCGCGGGCCCCGCCTCCCACCGTGCCCCGCCCCTTCGCGGGCCCCGCCTCCCACCGTGCCCCGCCCCTCCGCGGGCCCCGCCTCCCACCGTGCCCCGCCCTCCGCGGGCCCCGCCCCCCACCATGCCCCGCCCCTACGCGGGCCCCGCCCCCACCGTGCCCCGCCCCCCACCGTGCCCCACCCCTCCGCGGGCCCCGCCCCCCACCGTGCCCCACCCCTCCGCGGGCCCCACCTCCCACCGTGCCCCGCCCCTCCGCGGGCCCCGCCCCTACCATGCCCCGCCCCTCCGCGGGCCCCGCCCCCCACCGTGCCCCGCCCCCCACCGTGCCCCACCCCTCCGCGGGCCCCACCTCCCACCGTGCCCCGCCCCTCCGCGGGCCCCGCCCCTCCACCGTGCCCCACCCCCACCATGCCCCGCCCCTCCGCGGGCCCCGCCCCCCACCGTGCCCCGCCCCCCACCGTGCCCCGCCCCTCCGCGGGCCCCGCCTCCCACCGTGCCCCGCCCCTCCGCGGGCCCCGCCTCCCACCGTGCCCCGCCCCTCCGCTGGCCCCGCCCCCACCGTGCCCCGCCCCTCCGCGGGCCCCGCCCCTCCACCCAGCCCGCCTCCTGCTGGCAGACCCGTTCATTACCGGTAGGCGTCGTGGTGCTGGCGGAAGTCCAGCTTCTGCCCGTCCTTCCACCAGACCACCAGGGGTTTGGGGGAGCCGCTGGCCTCACAGGGCAGCGAGGCCAGGCTGTGGGCGGTCAGGGTCAGGTTGGAGGGGCCAGGCGCGATGGCTGGAGGCTCTGGGGAGAGGGCAGTGGTCAGCAGGCAGGGGCAGGTTGAGGGGACTGGAGTCCTTCTGAGATGGGGTGAGGGAGGCTCCCCGCCCACCTCGGTGTGCCCCAGGGAGCGGGCAGGGGAGGTCCCCAGGGAGGACCTCCAGCACGCTCCTCGAGGAGGGGGCTCCCCAGGCCCGAGCCTGGCGCCCCATCCCCCTTCTCTGGAACCAGCCCCCGGGTGACCTCAGCGCCCGCCCACGGCCAGAAGTTCACTGAGAGCCCCAGGCTCCTGTGACTTTGGGCCTTACTTCATGGCTGACCTGTAGAGCAGGCCTTTTCCTACTTGGGGAAGAGTGTGATAAACCACACACACCCTTCCAGATCAGATCCCAGTGCTGCTTACAACGGGCTTCATGGTCAGCACATTTTTTTTTTGGGGGGTCGGCTGTGGGCTTGAACTCTGGGCCTGGGCGCTGTCCCTCAGCTCTTCAGCTCAAGACGAGCGCTCTACCACGGGAGCCACAGCGCCATTTCCAGTTTTCTGAGTGGTTCATTGGAGATAAGAGTCTCAGGGATTCTCCTGCCCAGGTTGGCTTTTAACTTCTACCCTGAGATCTCAGCCTCCTGAGTAGCTAGGATGACAGGCGTGAGCCACCGGCGCCCGGCTGTCAGACACATTTGAGGATCACGGCTCTGGGCTTCTGGCGGGACCCCACACACCACTGGGGACTGGGGCACATGGCTTCCCCAGGCCACCTACCGAAGACGCGGAGGTCACGGCCTTGCCGGTCTGAGCCGGCCGAGTTGGATGCCAGGCACAGGTAGTGGCCAGCGTCCTGGGTGAGCACTGGCCGAATCCTCAGGGAACCCTCGGGGAGGACCTCCAGCCTGGAACGGGAGCGGTGGGCCAGGGGTCCCTGTGGGGCTGGACGCCTGGCTGTGCTTGCAGGGACACCGGCTCTCCGCCCGTCCCCTCCACCCAGCGAGAGGATGTGACTTGACCTCAGTCTGACCTTTGTGAGGCCAAGGGGTGACAGTCGGGTGCAGCTCCCACATCCCCCTCTTTCTGAACACGGCCCCAGGATCTGGGACATGCCCCTCCTCCAGGGCCAAGGCTGTGCTATTTTTTGTTTGTTTGTTGGTCCTGGGGGTTGAACTCTGGGCCTGGGCACTCTAAGCTCAAGGTGAGCACTCTACCACTTGAGCCACAGTGCCATTTCCGGTTTTCTAGTGGTTTATTGGAGATGATAGTCTCACGGCCGTTCCTGCTCGGGCTGGCTTTGAACCGTGATCCCCAGATCTCAGCCTCCTGAGTAGTTAGGATTGCAGGCGTGAGCCACTGGCTGTGATAGCTGTGCCATTTAAAGCCGCCCCTGGCCACAGTTGATTGGACCATGGATGGGTGAATTGGTTAGGCTGGACCAATGACATTCTCTGCCTGGGACTTTGTAGTCACAGAGAGCTTGCTTACTCTGCAGGTAAAACTAGGGGTCCTTGAGGGGGCTGAAGGGATGCTGGCCACGTTCACAGATGAAGGAGAGGGGGAAGGGGGACCAAGACAGAGAGAGAGCGAGAGAGAGACCTACACACACCAAGAAGTACTGAAGAGATAGCTAGGGCAGTGGCCTGCTTGTCCTTCTGTGTTTTGCCCCAGCTGCTGCTCAAGTGGGTTTGTGTTTGTGAGCCGGGACCCTCCCCTTGGGCTCCCACCTGGGGTTCTCAGGATCCAGGGGGGCCCCATCTTTCCTCCAGCTCAGGAGGGGGGCGGGCACGCCGTCAGCCCGGCAGGGCAGCAGGGCCGTGTGGTTCACGGAGGCGTTCACGGCGGGCGGTCCCGGCTGGATGGCGGGCGCGGCTGGGGACGGGGGCACAGGGACGTGGGGTCCGGGCTGTGAGGGGCGGGTGGGCGGGGGTGGGGGCGCACACAGAGGACGTGGGCTGGGAGCCCGTGGCGGGTGGGCGGCGGTGGGGGCTGCACACTCACTGTGGATCTCCACGTGGAAGTCCACGCTCGTGCTGCCCACAGCGTTGTGGGCCGTGCAGCTGTAGCGGCCCCCGTCGGCCGTGCTCAGGGCCTGCAGCTGGAGGAACCTGCCCCGCTCCGGGAACTGCGTGTGGACATCTTCCTGATGGGGCCCCCCGCCAGGGCCAGAACCCCATCAGCCAGCTGGAACTCAGATCCTGGCAAACGCCCCCGCCTTTGCAGGGAGGGGGGGCTCCCGAGGCGCACCCCGGAAGCCCACCACCCTCTCCCCTGTATCCTGGCCAGTGTCACCAAAATGCGCTCCCTTCCCATAGCTTAGTCCCCTTCCCCTCCCCACAGCTTGGCACGCTCCCTTCCTAGGCAACACCAGGCCCCTGTAGTACAGGCAGTGAATCATCAGCCGCCAGCCCCCTTTACCTCGGGATGGCACTTCTCTGGGGCAGCTTCCACCACTGAAGGCAGCAAGAGCCCCTTAGAGTGACCTTCAGCTCTGGGCAGCTGCAGGACCCTTGTCTACTATTTGGGCAGCAGCCATAAATCCTAGTCCGCCATGATGAAGCCCCTGGCCCACGCGTCCACACCAGGGTCTCCGCCTCCTAGCCCCTTCCAGCCCCTCCTAGACCTCCTAGGTAATGTAGGTCACCCCAGACAATAGCCTGCGCTGCTTCTCATTCCTCCCTGTGAGAAGGGGTCTTGCCGGCCCCCTTTCCCGGCAATAAACTTTCTTTGTTTTCTGCACCTGGATGTCTGCGTGGCTCTCTGGCAGTCTCTATTAATCTTAATTAGCTAACAGCTGGCCTCAGTTGCCAGCTCGGGTCACACAGCCCCTGGGTGGGACTTGGCAGGTACCTGTGAGGAAAGGTACTTCGTGCTTTGATGCCCTGGTGGGAGTTCCCATCATGCCTCTGTGCCCCATCCACGCGGGAGGCAAGCGGACGGGCAGGCGGGCGGGCGGGCAGGGAGGCAGGCAGGGGTGCTGTGGGAGCTGACCCTCAGCAAGGGGGTGTAACCCTGCTCCCGGGACCCCTCACCCCGCACCCACCTGCAGCAGGACGCCGTCCCGGTGCCACTCAATCTCGGGCACTGGCTCTGCCTCCACGGAGCACTCCAGGACCAGCTGCCCCGGGGCCAGGCCCACCACAGCACGGGGGCCCCGGGGCCCAACCACGTTCGGAGGCGCTGGGGGACAAAGGGACACGGAAGATGGACCTGCTTCTGCGGCCTCCATCCTGCCTCTCACCTGGTCCCCCACGCCCCCTACCTTGAACCTTGACCCGGAAGCTCTTCTCAACTTCCCCTGCAGGGTTTTCGGCCAGGCAGGTGTACAGGCCGGCATCACCCACCTGGGAGACAGAGCGGAGTGAGCAGCCCCTCCCCCTACCCCCTCCCAACCTGGTTTCCTTACCAGGTCAGGATTCGCACTCAAGACCCACAGAGGGTCTAAGAGGGGCCAGCTCACCTCCCGGCCTTGGATTTCCTCTCTGGAATTCTTCCCCACCCCTTCTCACTCTCGCTTTTGGACTAGGACATGACTGCCTCTTTCAGGAAGTTTCTTTTGGTTTTAGGCCTTCTCTGGCCTGGATAAAGAGCCATCTGGCTTTTACACCAGCTTTGGCTCCTGCCAGCCTGGGAGCCCGGGAGGACACAGCCCAAGGCATCATCTTCCCCCGATTACCCCATGCCAAGGATGGAGCTGGGCCCTGGGGGAGCCGCCGCCCCCCTCCTCCTCCCACCCCTCCCCTCCTCCTCCCGCCCCTCCCCTCCTCCTCCCGCCCCTCCCCTCCTCCTCCCGCCCCTCCCCTCCTCCTCCCGCCCCTCCCCTCCTCCTCCTGCCCCCTTCCCTGGCGGGCGGGCACCAGCACCTGTACACTCTCCACCCAGAGCCTCTGCCCGGCTCGGCTGCTGTTCTCTGGCCTGGCCAGGGTCTGCCCATCCTTTTGCCAGGTGATGTGGGGCGGGGGGACACCCTGGGCATCACACAGCAACTCCAGGGGGGCGCCGGGCATCAGTGACATCTCCGTAAGCTTGTCTGAGTTCTCGATGTGGGGGGGATCTGCAAGTCAGCCCTGGGTCAGCCGGGGCCTGGACACGGGCTGGGCCCACGGGCCTCGCCGCCACAGGGTGAAGACAGCCGGGCGTGGGTGCGGGCACTGAGGCCTGGACACACGGGCCAGGTCCTTCCCAGGACAATGACTTATGCTTTAAATCCAACAAGGACATGCCACGTGTGTGTGTGTGCGCACGCGCGTGTGCTTGCGTGCATGCAGGCGCGTGTGTGTGTGTGCACGCACGTGTGCTTGCGTGCATGCAGGGGTGTGTGTGTGTGTGTGCGCACATGTGCTTGCGTTCATGCAGGTGTGTGTGTGTGCGCACGCGTGTGCGCTTGCGTGCATGCAGGTGTGTGTGTGTGTGTGTGCACGTGTGCTTGCGTTCATGCAGATGTGTGTGTGTGTGCGCACGCGCGTGTGCTTGTGTGCGTGCAGGTGTGTGTGTGCGCACGCGCGTGTGCTTGTGTGCATGCAGGTCTGTGTGTGTGCACGCGCGTGTGCTTGTGTGCATGCAGGCGTGTGTGTGTGTGCGTGCTTGTGTGCATGCAGGTGTGTGTGTGTGTGTGTGTGTGTGTGTGTGTGTGTGTTACACACAATGGATCCACCCTTTTCTAATACAGATCAACACTGCAAAATTTTGCAGAAGTGGCAAGGCGCCGGTGGCTCACGCCTGTCATCCCAGCTGTCTAGGAGGCTGAGATTTGAGGATCATGGTTTGAAGCCAGCCTGGGCAGGAAAGTTTGTGAGACTCTTATCTCCAATTAACCAACAAAAAGCCAGAACTGGAGTTGTGGCTCGAGTGGTAGGGTGCTAGCCTTGAGCCAAAAGGCTCAGGCACAGTGCCCAGGCCCTGAGTTCAAGTCACAGGACCCTCTCACACACTGTGTGTGTGACCACAGAAGTGGGACTATGATTCACATAGCAGAGTGTCAGCCCTGAGTGTAAAAAGCCACGTGAGAATGCGAGGCCCTGAACTCAAGCCCCAGTACTGACACGACAGTAAAATAAAATAAAAACGGGGAGCCCGGCGCTGGGCGGCTCACACCTCTCATCCTAACTACGCAGCAGGCTGAGAGCCGAGGACCGCAGTCCAACACCGGGCAGAAAAGTCCACCGGACTCTTACCTCCGATACATGACTCAGAAAAAGCTGGCAATGGGGCTTAAGGAGTAGAGCGCTAGCCCTGAGCCAGTGAAGCCCGGGGACGGCGCCCAGGCCCCGAGTTCAAGCTCAGGACCGGCAAACGAAATAAAGACAAATAACAAAGAAGTGTGGGGTCTTGGGGCTCTGCCCCCCGGGTTTCGGGCTCTTGATCTCGTTTCTGTTGCCTGGTCTGCTGGACACTTGGGAGCAACTACCGTCCCGGCCACTGGGCCGGGCGCAGTGCCAGAGCCAGCGCAGCTCCACCCCCCACCGGGGCCGCCCCGGCCTCCAGGGGGCTCGCCACCCTCTCCCCCCCACCCTCAGGGCCCACCGCCCTCCGGCCCGTGAGCACCCACCCATCACGGCCAGCTGGAATCGCCTCTGGGCCTCCCCGGCCTGGCTCGCGGCCACACACAGGTAGCTCCCCGCGTCGCCGGCGCCCACCGTGTCCAGCTGCAAGCCGGGGCCCTGCTCCAGGCTCTGCGTCAGCAAGGGCTCCCCATCCTTCATCCAAGACACGAGGGGCAGGGGGCTCCCCCAGGCCTTGCATGGGAGGGTCACCGAGGAGCCACGGGCCACCACCACATCCTCCCGGAACTCCACCGGCTCCAGGACAGGAGGCACTGCGGAAGGCAGAGGGAGGGCAGGAGCCCTTCTGTTCTGCCGCAGGTGGTGCTGGTCCTGGGACCTTTGCACATGCTGCGTTGATTGTCCTCCCAGACAATCTCATCTCTAGGACTTGGCCTAGACCTCACTACACCAAGAAGCCTCTCTGAGCCCCTCTGAGGTCAGGGCCAGTCCCCCCATGATACCCCAAGGTATCGTTCCCTTCTCTGGGGGGGCTCAGGCTCAAGGCTACCACTTAGGATGGTATTCTGGTGCCTGCAGTGCTACCCACTACTTATGAGAAAAATGTACGTGAGACCAAAGGCATGGGCGTGAGTCAGCCTTCGCCCTGCCGGGGCCCCCTGTGGCCGCTCTCTGGCTCTGCCTGGGTGGGCAGGGGGCCAGGGCCTTGATGCCCACCCCGGCCAGAGGACCCGGGCCGTCCAGCCCACTGCCTTACCGAGCACCTGCAGGGAGAAGCTCCTGTTGGCCACGCCTGCCGGGCTGGAGGCCACGCACGTGAAGACTCCGGCGTCGGCCGGCTGCGCCTGGGAAATCCTGGGGCGGGGGACCGGGCACGGGGTGACTCTAAACTGGAGCCCTGTCCAGTCTCCACTCATACCCCTGCCCCTGTGCCGGCAGCTTTCCCTTCTGGGGCTCCATTCTGGAGTAGGGTCCTCTCTCCTCACCATCACTTTCTGCCTGCTTTTGATTATTTTCCCCCAAAGAACCAAGGGGGGAGAGAGAGAGAGAGAGAGACAGCCGGACGCTGGTGGCTCACGCCTGTCATCCTAGCTACTCAGGAGGCTGAGATCTGAGGATCACGGTTCAAAGCCAGCCCGGGCAGGAAAGTCTATGAGACTCTTATCTCCAATAAACCACCAGAAAACCAGAAGTGGCGCTGTGGCTCAAGCGGTAGAGTGCTCGCCTTGAGCTGAAGAGTGCAGGGACAGTGCCCAGGCCCAGAGTTCAAGCCCCACGACTGACAGAGAGACAGACAGACAGAGGGAGACGGAGTGAGGCTGCGCGAGCCCCAGGCTGGGGCGGTGGCCCACCTGAGCGTGCGGCCCGCCCCGTGGACACGCGTGTGCTCTGAGAGCGGCAGCGGCAGCCCGTCCTTCAGCCAGCTCACGTGGATGGGCCCCGAGCCGCGCGTGGGGCACGCCATGGTCACCGGCTCCCCGGCCCTGCTCAGCAGCGGCCCCGCATCCCCAGCTCCCTGCTCGATGGTGGGGGGAACTGAGGGGGACAGGGCAGAGGGGAGCTGAGGGCCGGGGGAAGAGGGCTCCTCCTGGGGGGCTTCCAGGAGGCAGCACCCCGACCCAGACTGCCAACAGCAGTGGTCGTGGTTAGAGTCTCATCTGTACGGGAGGGAACAGGGGCTACAGACGTACCCCCCCCCCCTCCCCTGCCTGGCCAGGGCCTCATGTTCAGTCCAGTGTTGGGCACTGGTAGCTCATGCCAGTAATCCCAGCTTCTTAAGAGGCTGAAATCTAAGGATCACAGTTCAAAGCCAGCTCAGGCAGAAAAGTCCATCAGACTCTCTTATCTTCAATTAACCAGCAAAAGGCTGGAAGTGGAAGTGTGGCTCAGGTGGTAGAGCACCAGCCTTGAGCAAAGCTAAGAAACAGCATCCAAGCCTTGAGTTCAAATCCCAGTACAGGCACACACAAAAAAGTTTAAATCAAGGCGCGGAGGCCCAGGGCATTCACTGCAGGGGTTTGGCCAGGACTTGAACCCATGTCTCCTGTGTCCTGGCTACTCCTCACCCTGCAGGAGTCCTTGAAGAGGCCCTCCCCCTCCCCAGGGCTGCCCACCTCTCCTGGGCCTCTGTTCCTCACCTAGAACATTAACTGTGTGCAGCCTGGAGTCCTCTCCGGCTGCGTTGCGGGCCACGCAGGTGTAGGCACCTGAGTCCGCCACCCTCAGGCCCTTCAGCACCAGGGAGCTGCCATCCAGGTAGAACCTGTGTGGGGAGTGGATGCTGAGGGCAGGCACGCGGGGACGGGCAGCCTCGCTGTGCTGGGAGGCACAGCTGGGTCTTACCGGAGGTGAGGCCCGGCCCCCTGGCTCAGCGGGCCGCCATCCTTCAGCCAGGCCACGTGGGGCGGCGGCTGCCCATCGGCCTCGCAGTCCAGCCGCACCTCCTGCTCTTCCAGCACCGTGCGTTCCCGTGCTGTGTCTGAGCTCCGGATCCGGGGGGCCACTGCGGCAGGGGTGACCATGAGCCACGGACCTGCCTCGGGCGGGCATGGCCATGGGCACGGGGAGCAGGTGGACATACCCAGCACGGCCACCACGAAGTCCTTGCGGGCCTCAGCCTGGGCATTCTGGGCGACGCACGTGTAGGTGCCGGCCTGGGCTGGCTGCAGGCGGCTCAGCTGGAGGCGACCCCCCCTGGAGACCACGCCATGCTCCACGCTGCTCTCTGCAAGGGAGGGGAAACTGAGGCCCAGAGGGGCAGGGGCTCCTTCTCACCAGTCACTTCCGTCCTCAGTCCTAGTCTACGTGTGCACGTGCATGTGTGTGCATATAGGTAAATACACGTGTGTGTAGTGTATGTATGCATGTACCGGGACTGGACTTGAACTCAGGGCCTGAGCTCAAGGCTAGCACTCTACCACGCGAGCCACAGTGCCACTTCTGGCCTTTTCTGTGTATGTGGAACTGAGGAATGGAACCCAGGGCTTCATGCATGCTAGGCAAGCACTCTACCACGGAGCCACTGTTCCAGCCCCTGGTCTTCGCATTACTGATTAGCTCAAGGCTGGTGATCTACCACGTGACCCACGGCCCCACTTCTAGCATTTTGCTAGTTCACTGGAATTAAGAATCTCACAGACTTTCCCGCCCAGGCTGGCTTTGAACTTCAATCCTCAGATCTCAGCCTCCTGAGTAGCTGGGATGACAGGCGTGAGCACCAGCGCCCGGCAGTCCGGTCTCTGTTTCACTTCTGTGGGGCCGTCTCTTCCCTGGGGGACCCAGGCCCGGCCTGGTCCCAGCTCCCACCAGCTCCGCTCCACCTGTCCCTCAAGGCTTCCTGGCCCACCCTTGGGCAGAGGGGAGGGGATGCTGCTCCCACGCCACCCCCTCCATGCTCTGCCCTGTGTTCAAAGGTGAACACAGCCCAGTCCCTGTCCCCAGGGAGTGCCGCGTCTGTGGCAGGAGATGGACACAGCACTAGACCGGGTTCCAAGGGCACAGACGGCACTAGAAGTTTCTCTGCACCAGGAGGCTCTCCAGCCCCCTCCTTCTGTCCCCCCCCCCCCCCACTGCACAGTGGGGTGTAGCTGGAGGAGCCAGGGGGTGAGGCCTGGATGGGCCGGGCTGGGGACAGAGCCCAGCCTGGGTGAATGCCACGTCTCTCCGCGCCCAGGCTGAGTCCAGGTCTTCTCTCCTAGGTGAGCAAAGGGCACGGGAACTGTTCCTGCTGTTTAGACGTCAAGGTTTAAAAAAACTCCATCAGACGTCAATAGCGCTGTTCTGCACATGTTTTGTGGTTGCTGTTGTGAGACAGGATATATCCCAGGCTGGCCTTGAACTCACAATCCTTCTCCCGCAGTCTTCTGAATGCTGGACTTACAGGCAGGCACCACCATGCCCGGCCAACGTGTGATTTGGACGAGTAAAAATACAAAGAGCCATAACGTCCTCTGTGGCCAGCGACCCCAGGCCAAGCGCGATACTCACCCACCGGCGTTCGGTCCTTCAGCCAAGTGACCGCGGGCGGTGGGACCCCGGACACATCACAGGTGAGGACCAGGGGGTTCCCTGCCACCTGGCTCACCGTCTCTGTCTTGGGGTTCTCAAATGTGGGGGGCACTGCAGGAAGGAAGTCAGACCCTCAGAATCCCCAGCCATTTCCCCGTTCCCTTCCTCTCAGGTGATGAGAGGACCGGGAAAGTCCTTCCCCATTATGAGTGGTTCCAGCTTTATGCTCCGCCATGCATGGAGGAAGAGGGGTCCCTCTCTTCACAACAGGACTGGCGGCTGCAGCTGGTTATTTCTAAGGGTCCACAAAGCCTAGCTGGCTAGCAGCAGCAGGCCTTAGCCCATGCCAGGGCAGGCATCACCCATCAATCCCAGCACCCTCGAGCTCATCCAGGATGAAGTTATACAGACATCACCAATCAACCCCAGCACCCTCGAGCTCCTCCAGGGTGGGGTCACACACTCCAGTGGGTCTTTGCCCTCCAGAGCCAGGTGTCCCCCGCTTCCTGCCCCTCATGGAAGGCCGCTGTCAGAAGGGACTGTGCGCTTGAAGGAGCAGGTCTGACCTCAGCCATCATATCCAAATGCTCACCTTGAGGCCTCTGCGCTGCCCCCACCCCTGACCCCGCCACTGCCCATCCCCAGCAGTAGAGTTCTGAGCGAGTCCTCCGGTTCCCAGCCTCCCTGGCTGTGTGGCCAGCCAGGCCTGGGGATCACACCCCAACACCAAGAGTAACATGACGGGAGGAAGCCGGGTTCCTGATCTCCCTCCCAGAGCCCAGTGACCCCACCAGCCTAGATGCAGACCCCATGGCTTTGGCGCAAGAGAGGGAGATGGCTTTCTCATTCAGTTCACTGCAGCATGCTGTGTGTGTGTGTGTGTGTGTGTGTGTGTGTGTGTGTGTGTGTGTGTGCGCGCGTGCGTGCACGTCTGCCAGTTCCAGGGCGTGAACTCAGGGTCTCACGCTGTCCCTTAGCTTTTTCACTCTAGGCTAGCACTCTTCTACTTGAGTCACAACTCCACTTCTGGGTTTTTAAGAGTCCCCTAGACTTTGAACTGAGATCCTCAGATCTCAGCCTCCTGAGTGGCTAGGATTATAGGTGTGAGCCACCAGCACCTGGCTAAAGCTGAATTTTAACATGCATTTATTTTATTTTTTGTCAGTTGTGGGACTTGAACTCTGGGCCTGGGCGCTGTCCCTCAGCTCCTCAGCTCAAGGCAAGTGCTCTACCACTTGAGCCACAGCACCACTTCCGGTTTCCTGAGTAGTTTATTAGAGATGAGAGTCTCAGGAACTTTCCTGCCCGGGCTGGCTTTGAACTGTGATCCTCTGATCTCAGCCCCCTGAGTAGGTAGGATGGCGGGTGTGAGCCACTGCACCCAGCTCTTGACATAATTTATGAAGCTGTGGGAGCTTTGTGCAGACTGGGCAGGCTCCGCCCAGCCCGCCTGGGCCCCGTGCACCCGCAGTGCCCCCTCTGCTCTACCCCCGGGTTGCGGGGACGGGGGGGGGGGGCTGCAGGGCTCAGGGCAGGAGTGGATGGTGTCTTAGTGTTCCTTCCCCCGGTGCCGGGGCACCCGGCCCTGCGCTCAGCGGCTCACAGCACAGCAGCCCGGCCAGCTGGACTGGAGGCAGCAGCACCATCCGAGACCTTCCCTTCCTTCCAGCTTACCCTCCACGGTGAGGACGAAGGTCCTCGCGGCCTCCCCGGCGGCGTTGCTCACTTTACAACTGTACACGCCTTTATCTGAAACCTGGACCACAAGAGGCCGTGCTGAGGGGCGGGGCGGGGCGGGGCTGGTGGCATCTGGGAGTTCCCTAAAAACCCAGGCTCCAGAAGCCTCCAGGACAGGGGCTCCCCAAAGGTGCAGGTCCTGTCTGGGCTGCTACAGGGAGAAGGCATCTTCCGGCCTTCCCGGGAGCCTTGGTTGACAGAAGGTCCTGGAAGGTTGTGTGGACAGCTTCCCCTCCCCATCCCACAGCTGCCAACCCCCGACCCCAGGCCCTCTGGGCTGCGGGGACCGGTCCCTCCGCCGCGCTGCTCTCTGCCCTCACCTGCGACGCCAGGATCTGCAGCGTCTGTCCGCGCTGCACAGTCTGCAGCCGCTGCGTGGGGGCCAGAGGCCCCTGGTCCTTGTACCAGGTCACCGTGGGCTCCGGGTGGGCGTCAGTGGCACAGCTCAGGGTGGCCTTGTCCCCCGCCCGCACCAGCACAGCCTCGGGAGCGCTGCCAGGAGCCCGTGCGAAGCCGGGCGGCACTGAGAACAGGCCAGGCCAGTGAGGCCTGCAGCCTTCCCCGCCCCCAGCCCAGGCCTGCTACAGGAGACCCCCAGACGCCACACAGGGAGCCGGGCGCCGGCGGCTCGCGCCTGTCATCCTAGCTACTCAGGAGGCTGAGATCGGAGGATCACGGTTCAAAGCCAGCCCAGGCAGGAAAGTCCAGAGACTCTTATCTCCAATAAACCACCAGAAAACTGGAAGTGGCGCTGGGGCTCAAGCGGTAGAGCGCTCGCCTTGAGCCAGGCCCAGAGTTCAAGCCCCTCGACCAACCAACCAACCAACAAACAACAGGAAGACGTCACGCAGCCACCCAGCTGCCTCCGGAAGAGCCGGCGGCCGCCCGGACGTACCCAGCACGCTGAGCTGCACCGCTTTCTGGTCCCGGCCCGCGGCATTGAGGGCGTCGCACAGGTACCGGCCGGCGTCCGCCGGCTGCGCCCGTGCCAACCGCAGCGTGTGTGTGCCTGCGGGAGGCACGCACACCTCGCACCAGCAGCGGCCTGGCTCCGAGGCCCCCTCCCCACACAGCCTGCAGACTCAGTTTACCCACCAGGCAGGAGGAAAACCTCTTCGCCCAGGGGGACGGGCTGGCCGTCCCTGTACCACGTGACCTCGGGGGCGGGGTGGGCGTGGACCTGGCAGGCCAGGGAGATGCTGCTGTTGACCAGGGCGCTGACCTGCTCGGGGTTCTGGCCGGTGATCCGCGGTGGCACTGGATAAAGGAGGGCGGGAGCAAGCTGGAGGATGGGGAGCAGAGGGCCAGGGGGGACGCCAGGGGCCTTTGCTCAGCTCCTGGAGCTTGGAGATCAGAGAGGGAGCGCCAGGCTTGCGGCGTCACACAGCACCAGGCTACACAGTGCAGGCAGCGGTTCATGCCCAGCCTACGATTATCCCCATATCTGAGCTCGTAAACAGGGGAAGATCAAGAGCACAGACCGGGGGTGTCGGGAGGGGGGCAGACCCGGCCCCCTCCACACAGGAGGACCACGCCTGAGGGGCTGGCAGTCAGGAACGCAGTAAATGCTCAACGATGGTGCTCTAAGGCCTGGGCATGGCTGCCCTCCACCCCCTGCTGGGGGTGGCCCCCGAGGGTTGGGGGTCCCCCGAGGGCTGCCCGTGGGACCCCGCCGCTCTGCCGCTCACCTTGGACGCGGAGGGTGAAGAGCTTCTCTGCGGAGCCGGCCTGGTTCTCGGCCACGCACATGTAGCCGCCGGCGTCCGCCACGTCTGCCGTGGAGACCTGGGGGGGGGGGGGCGCGAGGCTGGGGTGCGGCCGGGCGCCGGGGGGGCGCGGCGGGCCCTGACCCCACAGCCTGTAGCGGACACGGGCCATTCGCCCGTGGTCTGCCCGAGGGACCGTCCCGTGTGACTGCGTCCACGGAGATCCCAGGGCGCCCGCGCAGGGCGGGGCGGGGCGGGGCGGGGCCAGCCTCACCTGTAAGACCCGCCCCTCCTCCAGGACCTGGAGCTGCGGGCTCAGGGAGACCGGCAGCCCGTTCTGGAGCCAGGAGATGGTGGGAGCCGGGTTGCCCAGGGCCGGGCACTGCAGACGGACGGTGCTGCTGGCGTTGACGGTCACCTCCTCCACCAGCTCCTCCGTGTCACCCAGGATGACGGGCGGCGCTGGGGGGCGGGGAGGAGGGGGTGAGGAGCGCCCAGGGCCTGGCTGGCTGCCCGGGTGGCGGTGAGGCCAGCCCTCCGTGCCAGGCACGGGTGGGAGGTCCTTGAGCCTGGCCAGGATGCAGCCAAGGAATGCGGGTGAACAGAGAGGGTTCTGGTTTGCTCAAGGCCACACAGCGAAGAGGGGACCAACTTGAAATCTGAAGCCACTTCCTCCTGGCCAGGCTTGCCACCCCCTTAGGAGCCTTGGAGTGTGGGAGCTGCACAGACGGCCCCTCGGCCGCTGCGCCTGCCCCGTCTCCCCGGCCGGCCACTCACTCAGCACCAGCAGCTCGAAGTGCATCCAGTCCTCGCCCACCTCGTTGGAGGCCTTGCATGAGTACCTCCCGGCATCCTCCGCCCGCGCCAGGGGTATCTGCAGGACCCGGCCTCCTGCAGGGACACAGGACAGAGGCCGAGGCTCGGGGACAAGAGCCCCAGCCCAGCCAGGGAGCACAGGCCTGTAATCCCAGCTCTCAGGAGGCTCAGGTCAGCCTGGGTTGCATGGGAAGATGGTCAAAAACACCCAACAGAGCCAAGAACGGAAGCATTCCTTCCTCCAAGGTGAGGAACCTGCTCTTCTCATTCCCGGACACAGTGCCGTGGTCAGTGCGGTCAGTGCGGCTGACCGCTCCACCCGGCTGGCTCACGGGTCAAGGGGAGGCCGAGTCCTGGGCGAGCGCAGTTCAGTCTGTGCCCATCCCAGCCAAGGCTCAGAGTGGTCACTCTTCCTGCCCAAGGCTGCCCAGCAGGCAGCAGAGACAGAGAGAGCGCGAGCGCCCCAAGTGCCCACCTTGCAGCACAGAGACGCTGTCAGCGGCCGCGAGAGGCCGTCCCTCCCGGTGCCAGGCGAGCTGGGGTGGCGGGACGGCATTGGTGTCGCAGTGCAGATAGGCCGGGTGGTTCTCAATGACCTCCCGGAATTCAGTCACCTCACCCCGGGCCTCCTCTTCCTCCTGGGACAGGGCCTCAAGGTCTGCACCGGCCTCGCTCACCTTCTGGAACATGGGGGGCACTGGCGGGGGGGGGGGGTGAAGCCATTAGGAAACTCAGGGAAGGCGGAGGCTGTGACCACCACACTGGACTAGAAGCAGCAACATCATCCGAGACCTTCCCTTCCATCGTTCGTGTTTCCTTTCCTTCCTCCTTCCCTCCCTCTCCTCCTCCTCCCTTCCTCTCCCCCCGACCTCTCTCGCTCAGCTTCACAGCATTTTTCATTGGTTATTTTTAAGATAAGGTCTCATTTCTGTGTCTGAACTGCGTCTGAACTGTGATCCGCCTACTTTCAGCCTTCCCAGCGTCGGTTTAGCTGGAATCACAGCACCTGTCCGGCTTTGCATGTGGAAATGGGAGTTGTGCAGACTTTTCTGCCCAAGCTGGCCTCAAATCCCAGTCCTCCTGGTCTCAGCCTCCCAAATGGCCGAGATTACAGGCGTGAGCCACCGTGCCCACTCCAAGGCATTTCTTACACCCCCACCCACCCCCGGTGTAGGTGGTGTTTACTGAGCGGTTGCTAGGGAACTTCTGGGAGGGTCTCCTGCCCCAGGAGTGGTGGCGCAGATTGGACCTGCCCTGGTTTACGAGAGCACAGAGGCACACAACCATCAGCCGCCAGACTCGCAAGGTCCAAGGTCACCTGCAAGGCTAAGGCTCGGAGGGGGCGGTGTCCCTCCCCAGCCACGCAGCCCATCACCGTCAGGACCAGGGGAACCCCAGACGGGGTCCCACCGGGTCCTTCCCAAAGCACTGTGCGGCCAAACCCGGCCACTTGCTGCTCTACATGGCCTTCCTGCCTCCCACCCAGCTATGGAGCCCCTGGGGGCCGTGCCCTCTGCCCCTCAGCTGGCCAGCGGCGGGCACCGTCCTCTGCCGCGGGAGCGGCCAGCGTGGGTCTCCCCGCCCGGACGGCACAGCCACCCACCCTGGATGAGCACGTTGAAGTCCTGGTCATCCTCGCCAGCCACGTTGGTGGCCACGCACAGGTAGCGTCCTGAGTCCGAGACACGTGTGGGCTGGATCTGGAGCAGCCGCCCCTCCCCCAGGACCTGGAGCCTCTGGTCGGGGGTCACGGGCTGTGGGGGGCGGGGGGGGGGGTAACGAGGTGGGGGCAGGGAGGAGAGGGGAGAAGAGATCAGAAAGAAAGAAGTCAAGCTGTAACTTCTAAAAAGGGCACAAGGTCGTGGAGCTGTGCTGACAGCTTTGGAAAACCAAATCCAGGTGACTTCAGACTTGGAAGAGAATTGGGTAAAACAACAAACAAACAAACAGAAACTCAAGCAGCTTACACCGGTGGCTCACGCCTGTTATCCTGCCTACTCAGGAGCCTGAGATCTGGAGGATCACGGTTCAAAACCAGTTGAGACAGAATACTACATGAGACTTCATCTCCAATTAACTAGCAAAAAGTTGGGCTGGAGACATGGATCAAGTGGTAGAGTACCAGCAGAACATGCCAGTGAAGTGAACCTGAGGCCCTGAATTTAAACTCTAGCACTTTTTTTTTAATATATATATGCACACACAGTTTAATGTTTGTGCTTAGCAGAGATGGATTTATTTTTGAAAATAATAAAGGATAGGCTGGGTGTCAGTGGCTCAGGCCTGTCATCCTAGCCGCTCAGGAGGCTGAGATCTGAGAATCGCAGTTGAAAGCCAGCCTGGGCAGGAAAGTCCCTGTGAGACTCGTATCTCTGATTAACTATTCAAAAACCAGAAGTGGTGCTGTGGCTCAGAGTGGTAGAGCGCTCGCCTTGAGTGAAGGAGCTCAGGGACAGCGCCAGGCCCAGAGTTCCAGCCCCACGACTGACAATAGACAGACAGACACACAGACAGAAGGTGGATGGAGAGATGATGAAGGCGGGCGGGCATGCCCGGGGCGCTGCCCGGGGCCGGCACTCACCCGGCCGTCCTTGTACCAGCTGATGGCGGGCAGGGGCATGCCCGAGCACTCGCACTCCAGCGCCAGGCTGCTGTTCACCTTGGTCTTCACCTCCTTCACGCCCGCCTCCCCCAAGGGGTCGTCTTTGGAGATGGAGGGCGGAACTGGAACGCACAGGGGGGTCTGAGGAGCTGCTGGGGGCTCGGGGGGGCTCGGGGTGGGGCGGGAGGACGCTCAGAGGGGAGGGTGGTTTGCTTGGGCAGATCTGGGGCGGGGCTCCCTGGGCTGAGGGCTTGCCCCGGAAGTGGCAGAAGACAGCCAGGAGGGGGGGGCGGGGAGGACCGTGGGTTTCCATGGTAACTGCATCCAGTCCATACCACCCTCATCCCCATGATGAGGAATGATGCCCGCCCTGGCCCAGGAAGCCAGTCAGGGTCTCGGAGGGGCTCCGGCTCCGGCTCCGGTCCGGGCCCAGCTGTTTCCCGGGCCCAGCTGTTTCCCGGGCCCAGCTGTTTCCAGGGCCCTGACTCACTGAGGACTTCCACATGGTAATTCTTCACGGCCTCTCCGAGCTCGTTAGTGACCACACAGGTGTACTGGCCGGCGTCCTCCTTCTGGATGTTCAGGATTTGCAGCCCGTGGGTGCCTGGGAGGGGAAGGGGGTGGGCAGCAGGCCAGGGTCACCCTGAGCTGCGGGCTCACCCTGACACTGCGTCCCCAGTCCCCCCACGTCCCCCCCCACTGCCCAGCCCGGCGCCGTCACCTGGCAGCAGGTGGATGTTGCTCGAGGCCTCAAAAGGGGCCCCGTCCTTCATCCAGGTGATGCTGGGGGAGGGGAAGGCCAGCGCCTCGCAGATCAGGGAGAGGGGGCTGTTGACGGTGACTGTCACCTCTTCCTCGGGACTGTCCTCAGTCACTCCCCGGATGCTGGGGGGCACTGGGGAGGGGGGACACCAGTGAGCACAGGCCCCGGCACCCTGGGGCCAAGCCTCCGTGCAACTGATCTCTGTGTTATCCGGAGGAAGAAACTGAGGCACCGTGGAAGCCAGGCATGGCAGGCACAGCTAGGTCTGGACTTGGGTTTGGATGTCCAGAGCCGCAGCTTTCTACCATCGAGCAGCAGGCATGCAGGGGAAGGATTTCCCACCGTCGCCAGCGCACCTCAGCGCCTGCTCCCAGAAGCAGAGCCTCGTGGCTCCGTTGGGCTTCTCGTCAGCTGAGCCAGAGGAAGCCAGAGTGGGTCCCCGCTTTCCTTCTCAGCCCCTGTGGGAACCCTTGCTCTGGCCTAGTGTGGAGGGCTCGGAACCCACTGGTGGCTGCGTCAGAAGGGCGCTGCCATCCATCCGTCATCATTTGAACTAGCCAAATCCACTGACGGACTCATTCCTAATTGGGTGGCACTACTGGAAAGTTCTGGGATCGCTTGCGCCAGTACTGGGGCTGGAGCTCAGCGCCTCATGCTCTTGCTTAGCTTTGTGCTCAGGGCTGATGCTCTGCCCTCATGAGCCCCAGTTCTCCTTCCAAGGTCTTGGAAAGTTCTGGAGGAAGAGGCTCACTGGGGGAAGTGGGGTGGTGGTGGTTCACAGTCCCGGGGGCTATGTTGTGTTCTGGGTCCCCTCTTCCCTGGCCCCACAGAGCCCAATGACGGGGAACAGAAGCCCCTGAAAGCATGGGCCAGCTGCTTCCTCTGGAGTTTTGTTACTGCAGTGGAGGATGATTTGAGGATTTCCCTAAACCCGCGCCCCCAGAGCATGGGCCGTGGCCCTCTAGGACAGGAGAGACACCATCTTGGGCCCTGGCATGAGCCACATCCCCTCTGGAAGCCTCAAAGCTCCATCAGCGACAAACACCTGTCCCACAGAGCTCGTGAGACATAGTTAGTTGAGCTGCTATTAATGTCCTGGCTGTACTTGGAGAGGTCCACGGAGTGCAGGGGTATGTATGCTCCGTGGGGAGTCCCCCCTCCTGCCAGCACCAGGGTGGGCAGGGCATGCCGCAGAGCTCACCTAGGACACGGAGCTGGACATGCCTGGTCTTCTCCCCCACGGCGTTGGCAGCGATGCAGGAGTAATGGCCGGCACTGGACAGGTTGGCCTGGAGGACCTGTAGGAGGGCTCCATCCGGGGAGAAGAGATGGGCATCTCCACCAGCCAGGGGCCGGCCATCTTTGAACCATGTGATCTTGGGCAGTGGGCGGCCTGTTGGGCAAAGGGGAGGATGAGGCCATTCGGCAGGTGGTGGCCAGGTGGATGCAGAGCTCAGCGGCTGCTCCCGCCTCTGGCTGCGATCTCATCCCAGAGCACAGCAAGAAGCAGATGTAGACCCTGGGCTGGGCCTCTGGTGTTTGCTTGCCTTTTCCCTCCTGGGGTGTAGCAGAGATGGCTTGGTGCAGACAGGAAAACAGAGTTGCAAATTAATCCTTCCATCTATTCACACACCCACAAATGTATTCATCCATTATCCATCCATCCATCCACCAAATATCATCCATGTCCCATCCACCATCATCCATCCATCCATCCATCCATCCACCCATCCATCATCATCCATCCACCCATCCATCATCATCCATCCACCCATCCATCATCATCCATCCATCCATCCATCCACCATCATGCATCCATCCACCCCTCCATCATCATCCATCCATCATCCATCCACCCACCCATCATCATCCATCCATCCATCCATCATCATCCATCCATCCATCCATCCACCCATCCACCCACCATCACCTATCCATCTATCCATCCATCCGTCCATCATCATCCATCCATCCATCCATCCACCCATCATCATCGATCCACCGTCATCCATCCATCCACCCACGCACCATCATCCATCCATCCATCCATCCATCAACCCACCCACCATCATCCATCCATCCACCATCATCCATCCATCCACCCATCCATCATCATCCATCCATCTATCCACCCACCATCATCCATCCATCCATCCACCATTATCCATCCATCCACCCACCCATCATCCATCCATCCACCCATCCATCATCATCCATCCATCTATCCACCCACCATCATCCATCCATCCACCATTATCCATCCATCCACCCACCCATCATCCATCCATCCACCCATCCATCATCATCCATCCATCTATCCACCCACCATCATCCATCCATCCACCCACCATCATCCATCCATCCATTTAGCCATCTACCATCATCTATCCCCCATCATCCATCCATTTATCCATCTGTTCTTCTACCAATCACCATCCATTCATCATCCAATCATTATCAATAGTCCACCCACCATCTATCCATTCACCACCCATCCACCATTCACCCATCATTTATCCATCCATCTACCATCCACTCATCCATCCATCCACTATCTATTCACCAATCACCATCCATCCACCATCCATCCACTGTCCATCCATTCACAATCCATCATCCACCATTATTTTCATCAATCCATCAGTTCTCCATCCACTGATACACCATCCAGCTGTCCATTTATTGATCTACCCACCATCCACATGCCCTCCCAGCACCATCCATTATCCATCTCTGCACCCATCCACCAACCACCATCCATCCACTACCCATCTTCCATCCATGCACCCATCCACCACCACCATCCATCCACTACCCATCATCCATCCATGCACCCATCCACCAACCACCATCCATCCACTATCCATCGTCCATCCATGCACCCATCCACCAACCACCATCCATCCACTACCCATCATCCATCCATGCACCCATTCACCAACCACCATCCATCCACTACCCATCGTCCATCCATGCACCCATCCACCAACCACCATCCATCCACTACCCATCGTCCATCCATGCACCCATTCACCAATGTTTTTCACCAGTCCATTGATCCACCATCCATCCTTGATCCACCATCCATCCATTTATTGATCTGTCGACCATCCATATACTTTTCCAAGCACCGCCCACCATCTATTTCTCCATCTGTCCATCCATCCACCAACCATCTATGACCACTATCCATCCATTCATCTGCCAACCACCATGCATCTGTTTATCCATCCATTCACCCACCATCCATCATCCATCCACCATCCATCCATTCATCTATTTATCCATCTGTCTACCTGTGTAGCCACTCAGCCATCCGTCACCCACTAGCATGAATGGGAAGCTATTCTGCCACTGTGGAAACTGGTGACCAATGAGCCTGGTCCCCAAGGAACTCAGTAGTCCTCGTAAGCCACTGTGGTCCTCCACAGCCAATACTGGGACAGAAAATCCTGGTTCCACAGGGGTACTATGGAGGGAGCTTGCTAGATCTGAGGGGCTAGGCAAGGAGTCTCTGTGGAATGTTCTGGAAGCTGCATTGTACTCAGGAAAGGAAGGAGTAGAGGAGTGTTAGGGACAGAGAGAAGGCAAGTACAGATGAGCAGAGACCTAGGGTGGGGGCCAGATGTAGGACAGGGAGCAGCGGGCTGGGGTGATGGGTGGGGCCCCCGGCTGTCTCCCCAGCCTGCGCAGCCCTGACCTGTGGCATTGCATGTGAGCTGAGCCGTCTGTCCCTCCATCGCCGTCACCTCCTCCTGCACGTCCTCCTTCTCAAGACTGGGAGGCACTGGGAGAAGCAGAAGACAGACAGCCACTGGCCAGGGTGATTGGCACCGGCACCGCCGGAAGTGGAGAATAAGCAATCTCATTTCCCGTGCCTCAGTTTCCCTCTCTATCATTTGCTGCCTGGCAAGGGAGGACCCCGGTGCCCCCGAGTCATGGCCCTGATCAGACAAGGTGGTGTGGTGGTGTGGAGAGAATATCTGCCCCTTCCACTGTGGGTTAGTTCCTGCAGTTTCTAGAAAGTTCCGTGGCAGCTTTAGAGTAGAAGTGGTGTGTGTGTGTGTGTGTGTGCATGTACGCGTGCATGCGTGCCGACACTAGGGCTTGAACTCAGGGCCAGGGTGCCCTCCCTTAGCTGTTTTACAGAGCAGAGGTGTTAGATGAGGCAAAGGAGACAAAGCTGGGTTTCTCTTCCTCCCCTGCCTGCCCAGAAGCTCCCCAGAAAAGGGCAAGGATGTCGGGCGCCCAGCAAGCCGGGGCCGCTGCATACCCAGGACCTCCACGCTGAAGTTCCTCCGCGCTTCCCCGGCGTCACTGCGGGCCAGGCAGGAGTAGAGGCCTCCGTCCGCCTCCTGCACCTCTGCCAGACGCAGCATCCAGCCACCTGGGGGAGGAGGGCGCGCATGGGCTCCTCAGGGCTCTGGCCAGCTCTGCCTGCCCACCACAAAGAGCATTCTAACCAGATCTGTGCGTGTCTGCCTCCCACAGTGTTCTGTTCCTCAAGTGAGGAAACTGAGGCCCAACGGGGTCAGGAAATGGATGGAGCACATGTGTTAGAATCAAGCTGAGGATCCTCATCTAGCACGAACATCCTGCCCACGAGTGGCTCTGGGACTGGCTGGAGTTAAAAGGATAGCAACAGGCTATGTAGTTCTGATCTACTTCAGATCCCCGTTCTACTGGCAGGCACAGAGAAAGGCTTTCTTCTCCTAAGCACCTCAGAGGGTGAACTATCTTCCTTCAGAGGATCTATGGAGTCATCCGGGATCAGCCTGGAGAGCACAGGTACACAGTACACATAACCATTACTGTTATTTCTACACCCAGGGCAGACATCACTAATTGAATGCCATTCCCTTTTCTGCGGTCTCTGAGTTCAGAGCTGTACAATGCACCTGGAAAACCCTATCAAGTGTTATGAATGATGTGTAAGCAAACACATTTGCCATTCCATGTGGGGTGCAGGGAACAAGATTGAAGTGCCCAAGACATTTAGATGGGATGCTGCCTCAGTTTTCCCATTTGTTTCCCAGCCATAACTATCACAATTCTGTGAGGATAAATACTCAGATTAAATGCTTAGATGAGCAGTCTCAAAAGTATGTTATTGGTTTATGGGATGCTTCAGAGGGGCTAAGAGAACTTGTTTTAGCTGCAGAACTTCTCAGAACTTTTTTTTGGTCGGTCGTGGGGCTTGCTTTCTGGGCCTGGGCGCTGTCCCTCAGCTCTTCAGCTCAAGGGTAGTGCTCTACCACTTGAGCGACAGCGCCACTTCTGGTTTTCTGGTAATTGATTGGAGGTAAGAATTCTACAGACTTTCCTGCCTGGGCTGGCTTTGAACCTTGATCCTTGGATCTCAGCCTCTTGAGTAGCTAGGATTCCAGGTGTGAGCCACGGGCACCTGGCCTCTCGGAACTTTTACCATGCAAATGTTCTATGTGTGTGTCCAAGAGGGGGGCTTGAATCTAACCGCCCCACCCCACCCCCAGCATCTCACTGACCAGCGTTTTGGGGACCAGCTACTCGAATGTCAGTACACCAGACTGGTAGCCGAGGGCCAGAGATCATGGACAAGTAAAGGGTATAGACTGGGCTAAGCTGAACTCCAGAGAGCCGGTCCTGGGTGGGATCTTACCTGCCAGGAGATAGGTGCCCTTCCCCGGGCTGATGGGCACCCCGTCTCGGAACCAGCGGACCTCGGGGGGCGGGATCCCTGTGGCTTCACAGAGCAGAGTCAGGGGGCTGTGTAAGGCGGGAGTGACATTGGCCAGCGGGTCGGAGTCTCCAGTGAGCTCTGGGGGAACTAGAACCAGCAAAAGAGCCATGTCCGGGGTGCAGAGAGGACTGTGGCCTCCTGCTTGTCCCAACCCAAGGACCCACAGCCCTGCGGAAGGATCTGGGCAGCGACAAAACCAGAGGTGCATCCATGGAGCCTGTGACCCCCCACTCCAAGGAGGGAATGCTAGCCACTGGCTGGGTACTGTGGGACCTCTGATTCCCCAAGCTCTTCGGAGGAAGCTTGAAGGATTCAATAAGAATATGTGTAAGAGTGCTTAGACCTGTGCCCAGCGTGGAGCAAAAGCCCAGCACTGAGGCTGAAATGGCTACAAAGCTGAGTCCACATGCACTCCCCAAACTGCGTAGACAGGAAATGACCCCGTCCACACTAGGGTGGGGCTCAGGATGCCAGAGAGGCTGGAGCCTGGTAAGAGAACTGCCCCCCCCCAACCCAGCCTGCTCATCTCCCTTTACCACACCCCATCTTTACCCTGAAGCTGACTCCAGCCCTGCAGAAGTTCAGAAATGATGGGGAGAGGGAGCTGTTCCACTCACCCAGCCTGGCCCCCAGACTCCTAACCAGCCCCAAGGCCACCTTGCCCCTTCAGGAGGCAGCCCTGACCTCCTTCTACAGTGTGCAGACCCTGAATCTTCCATCACATCACCCAGCCATGCTGAAGCAGACTGCCAGGAACAGAGGCAGAAAAAGTAAATGTGGGAGAAAGGATAGGAAGAAAGGAAAGAGACAGAATGGAGGAGAGAAAAAAATAAGGAAGGTAGGAGGGTGGAAAAAAGAGAGGAAAAGGGAGGAAGAAAACAAAGAAGAAAGCAGAATGAAGGAAAGAAAAGTAGGAGAGAGAGAAGGAGGGAGGGGGAAAGGAGGAAGCAGCATGGGGAAAATCAGAGATATTTGGGGCTGTTTCTAATTTGGAGACCTGTGTTGGTGGTGGCCCTGACAGCAGCTCTCACCTTTGACATGACTCCAGGAAGAACAGGGGTCCCAGGAGGGCAGCCTGAGGACCCTGAGGACCCTGCCTGGAGATTGAGCCATCCCTGCTCTCCCCAGCCACAAGTCCTAAGGATACTGCCAGGTGATTGAACCATCCCTGCCCTCCCCAGCCATGGGTCCTAAGGACCCTGCCTGGTGATTGAGCCATCCCTGCCCACCCGGCCATGGGTCCTCACCTAGCACAGAGAGCTTGAACCTCCTCTCAGCCCTGCCGGCCACATTCTCAGTCACACAAAGGTAGTGCCCAGCGTGCGCCTCTTGTGCATGTTCTACATGCAGGCTCTGGCCCTGGTTCCGCAGCCACAGGCCAGGCTTGGCCTTTACAGGGTGGCCATCCTTCTCCCATGCCACTGTGGGCAGGGGCCTTCCTGTGGCATTGCATTCCAGGATAGCTTCCTTGTCTCGGGCCACAGAGACCTGCGTATAGGGCTCCTCGGTGTCAGCGATCTGGGGAGGGACTGGGGGTGGCAAGAAGCAAGTTAGGGAAAGTAGCCAGGGTCACCAGAGCCAAGTTCTGGCCAGCACAAGTCACTGGATAGCTACACCGCCACTCAGGCCTGGGTTGTCCCTTGCTCTCATTGGCTGTGAGCTCAGTCAGGTAACCTCATCTTCTCTGTGCCTTTGACTCCCTAGGATGGGAACAGAACAGCACCGCGGCCTCTCCTCTTTGACCCTGGGGGTCCAGGTAGGGTCTGCCCTTGGGGAGCAGCCCCCAGCATGCCCTTCCAGCTTTGTGTATATTTTCTTTCTCAAAACCATAGGCTTAGCCGGTGCTAGCGGCTCACGCCTGTAATTCTATCTACTCAGAAGGTTGAGATTAAGGATTGAAGTTCAAGCCAGCCAGAGGAGACAAATCTAAGAGATGATTATCTCCAATTAATTTGTTTAAAAAAAGGAGCCAGGACTGGAGGTGTGGATCAAGTAGTAAAGCATCAGCCTCAAGCAAAAAAAGTTGAGTACGAGGCCCAGAGGTCAAACCCCAGTAATGGCATACTCCCCCACCCAGCCCCTCAAGAGCAAGAAGAAATAAGACAGGCTTCTGAGAGCCGAAATGGCTGCTGGGACTGGTGGGGGGTGGAGGCTCCTCTGTGTGTGTGTGTGGGGGGGGTCTCTCCTAAGCAGCTGCCTGGTGCTCTTCGGGGATTTCTTTTCTTTCTTTTTCTTGTTGGTCATGGGGCCTGAACTCTGGGCTGGGCGTTGTCCCTGAGCTCTTCAGCTCAAGGCTAGCACTCTACCACTTGAGCCACAGCACCACTTCCAGCTTTTTCTGTGTATGTGGTGCTGAGGAATCGAACCCAGGGCCTCATGCATGCAAGTTAGGCCCTCTACCACTGAGCCATCTTCTTCCCAGGCCCCTGGGATTTATTTTCTAGCATGATTTTGATGAGACCCCAATGTTTAACTTCATCAGCACCAGAAAAGCACAAGGCAGTTTAAGATTCTGTGACCTGGAGGAGCTGCATCAGCAACCTACACTGCTTTCATGTTTTCTTTTTTTTTTTTTTTTTTTTTGGGTCCGGTCATGGGCCTGAACTCTGGGCCTGGGCGCTGTCTCTCAGCTCTTCAGCTCAAGGCTAGCGCTCTACCGCTTGAGCCACAGCGCCACTTCCGGCTTTTTTCTTTTTGCTTATGTGGTGCTGAGGAATGGAACCCAGGGCCTCAGGCATGCAAGGCAAGCGCTCTACCACTGAGCCACCTTCCCAGCCCCTGCTTTCATGTTTTCAACCACAGCAAGAGGAGATTTCTCCCCGGGGCTGTGGGAGGCGGGCGGAGGGGCCTGCCCTGCCTGTGTGAGGCCTGCTGCCTGGGAGGGGCAGGAATTGCCTAGCTCCCAACAGTCTTCCCCTGCCCGGCCAGGCCCCAGCGTGGCTCACCGTGCACCTCCAGCTTCTGGTCCTCCCTTCCGGTCCCCGCCGCGTTCCTGCATTCGCAGGTGTACGTCCCCTCGTGGGCTGGCCGTGCCCGGTCCAGGTACAGCATCCGGCCCACGGCCAGCACGGACTCCAGGCCGGGCCCCTCCCTGGGCAGGAGGTGACCTGGGAAGAGAGAAGAGCCCCACCCAGGGCATGGCGCGGGCCACGGCCCGCCCACCACCACCAGCTGTCCTTCACCTGCTCATTTCAACTCCTGATTGTCCTCCAGGTGTGAGTCCATGACCCCCCCCGCCCCCCCAGACTTGTCTCCATGACACAACTGCCCACAAGTGTCCTGCGGAGTCCCACTCAGGTCTGGGCCTGTCTCATTTCTCCTTGGGAGCGACACAGGCACCCAGAGCCGACACCCAGCAAGGGCCGAGGACAGACAGGGACAGCGTGACCCCGGATGAGGCCCGGGGGTGGGGACGGGTCTGTTTTGTCCACCACTGGACAGAGCAGGGCCTGCATGGATATGTGTTATGTGAATTCTGGATGTTCGCTGAGCATTTACTTTGTTCCTTGGAACTTGACAGGGACTAAGTGGGGCTCAGACTCCTGGGGGAGCAGCATGGAAGGGCTTGGGTGGGGGGAAGGAGGAGGTGACCACACAGAGGGACCCTGCCCTGTTGGGACCAGGGCAGCTTCCCGGCAGGGGCTCTGAAGTGAGGCCAGGAGGCTGGAGCTCTAGTGGGCCCCCAAGGACTGAGAGCCCCCCGCCGGCTCTGTGGGCACGGGGTGGCTGGGCACGCCGGGCAGCGCGGTGGGCGGGCGGAGGTGGCGTCCTACCGTCCTTCCTCCAGGAGATGTTGGGGAAGGGGACCCCCTGGCAGTCACAGGTCAGCCTGGCGGGGTGGCCCTCGCTCACAGTCAGGGTGCGTGTCTCCCGCTCCGGGAACACTGGGGGTGCTGAGGCAGAGCAGGGGTGAGGCCGTGCCCGCAGGGGCTGCGTGCTGGGGTCCCGCCGGGCGCGCTCCTCCCCGGGGGCCACGCCTCACCCCAGACGCTGAGGTGGAAGTGTTTCTCGGAGCGGCCGGCCTGGTTCAGGGCCTCGCAGGTGTAGAGGCCAGCGTCCCCGGGCTCCGCCCTGCCCACCTGGCCCGGAGCAAAGACGATCTGTCAGCCGGGGAGAGGAGACGGGGGTCACCCCGCCCAGCGCAAGTCCCCAATGCACCTCGTGTAACCTCGCTGAGCCCCCTCCTCCTACCTGGAACTGTGTGTGTGTGTGTGTGTGTGTGTGTGTGTGTGGTGTGTGTGTGTGTGTGTGTGTGTGTGTGTGTGTGTGTGTGTGTGTACTACCAGGGCAACCTCCCACCACACCAGGAAGTTTCCAGAAGCCAATGCCTGCAGTAGGCAGGCCTACCCCATGAACCTGCCCCCGGCCTATACCCACACCCGGGCCATGCCGGGCTGACCCCGTGCTGGCCAGGACCTTTCCAGGAGCTGTGGAAGGCCAGCATTGCAGACTGGAAGGGAATATGCAGAGTGGGGGATGGGCGGCTGCCCTGGGCTTTGGTGGTGAACTCTGAGGCTATGCTGTGGCTTGGGGGGGGTCAGCGGGCTGGGCTCAGGGCTGGGGAGACCCAGTTTTGGGGGTGGGGGCTCTGACCTGTCCCTGTCCCTGTCCCACAGAGCTAAACAGATGCTCGTAAGAAGCGGGGCTCTGCCCAGGACCTCCCTCTAGGAGGAGGCTGGGTCAGTCAGCAGGGTGGCCTCGAACCTCCAGCAGGGTTTTGTCCTCCGACAGCCGGAGGCCGGGCCGAGGCTCCAGGGGCCTCCCGTCCTTCCGCCAGCTCAGCTCGGGAGGGGGCTCGGCGTGGCTCTGGCACTCCAGGGCCACCGACTGGTTGACCACGACAGACACGTTGACCTCTTCTCCGAGGATGCTGGGGGGCACTGTGTGGGAGGCCGGGAGGACATTCTCAGCATGGGGGTGAGGTCCGCAGGGCTGGCCACCCTGGGGCTGCCCGCTGCCCACAGCGACTGACAGGAGCAACTCCCCGTGATGGAGTGAAGAGTTAAGATGAGGCTGTCCCCAGCCTCCAGCCCCCAGCCTTCAGCCCTCAGCCTCCACCTCCTCCCACCTGCATGACCTCACAGTCCAACTCTAAAAGGAGGCTCAAGCTGGGGCGGCTGAACGGAGCTGCTGGGCGGGGGGGCGGGGGGGGGGGAGAGGGGAGTCTTCCTGACCTGGGATTCTCCAAACCACTCAGTGACAATCACACAGAGACATGGCTCTCAGGATTCCTTCCCTTCTCCTCCCGCCTCCCGCCTCCCCCGCCCCCCCCCTCTTGTGCTAGGGCTTGAACTCAGGACCTGGATGCTATCTCTGAGCTTTTTCTGTTCAAGGCTGATGCCACTACTCGATCTGCAGCTCCACTTGCGGTTTTTTTGTTTTTTGTTGCTGGTTAACTGGAGACGAGAGTCTCACAGATGTTCCTGCCCCGGCTGGCTTCGAACCTCACTTTTCAGATATCAGCCTCCTGAGTAGCTAGGATTATAGGGGTGACCACAGGCACCTGGCTTCTGCTATTTCTCATAACTGTACCTGAGTCTGTGGTGATCAACAATGACTAAATTTTAAAAAGGCCTCAGTAACACACACATATATGTATATATAACATATATACACACGTGTAGGTATACATAGCATATAATACACACACACACACACACACACACACACACACATATAATTAAAGGCAGGCCCCAGAACTACCTTTGTGCCCCCAGGTACAAGCACCCTGTGGAGCTCAGTGGTTAAGAACGTAGTGTCTGGGATCAGAGCTCCTGGATGGGGGTCCTGCGACCCCATCGACCGCTCACCCTGGTGGAACCACCCTGCAGATGGGGTTCAACCACCCTGAGCCTCAGTTTCCTCATGTGTAGAATGGGGATAAAGGAAGTCCCTGCCTCGTGGGGCTGCCGTGGGAGTGCTGCCCCAGGAAAGAGAAAAATCAAGGTGAATGTGTCGTACCCCAGTCACAACACTTCCCCATAAAAACCCAGTGGAGGGGCTGGGCACCGGTGGCTCACGCCTGTCATCCTAGCCACTCAGGACAGAGGTTCAAAGCCAGCCTGGGCAGGAAAGTCTCTGAGATTCTGATCTCCAATTAACCACCCAAAAGAGCCAAAAGTGGAGAGTGCCAAAGAGTGTAGTAGAGTGCCAACAGCTCATTGTAGCACCAGGCCCCGAGTTCGAGTCCCAGGAGCCCCCCCCCCCACACACACACACTCAAAACCCACTGGAGGAACTACCATCAGCAGCAACCTTCCAGGCTGGCCGAGCTAGCTCAGTAAATCACCATGGCAACCTGAAGGCGGGGCCTGGTCTTCCCCAATTATTCAGGAGCAAAGCGTTCAGCACAAGGTCATGGAGGCCTGGTTTGAACTCCAACAGCAAGACGCTGAAAGCCAGCATGGCGGCCACCACAGCCTTCCTGAGAGGGGACCAGATACCCCCCCCCCCCCCATCCAGCCAGGAACCAGAACACGGCATCTCCTCCTCGCTAGCTAGCTAGCTCCGCCCCAGCGTCCCAGACCCCTGAGCTCCTGCCACCCACGAGCGGGCGCAGCCGGCCCCGCGGGGAGGCAGTCCTGGATTGGGTGGGTGCCTCTTCTCTAGCTTGGAGGTTCTGGGGACACCCCGCCCCATCTTCGCGGTCTTCCTGGCCTGCCACTCACTGTGCACCAGCAGGACGACGTCCCTACGGTCCTCGCCCACGGCGCTCACAGCCACGCAGGAGTAGCTGCCCGAGTCGGACGCCCGAGCACTGGCCAACGCGAGGACCCGGCCCCCAGGGAAGACCTGCGGGGCACGTGGAATCCCCGTGAGATGAGGAAGAGCGCCAGAGGCCAGGCGCAGCCGGATGGCCGGGCCGGGACGCCCTGGGGTGCCCACGCGGCACCCTGCCCTGTGACCGGGAGAGCCACAGTGCCACGGCCACGTGTGACCAGGGTCCCCTTGATACGTGGCAAGCGCACCATTCCTAACAGAGCTCAACGTGAGTGTGAGAAGAACAACGAAGCCGGGCGCCGTGGTCACGCCTGTAATCCCAGCTACTCAGGAGGCTGAGATCTGAGGCGCGCGGCTCAAAGTCCAGTGAGCCCCCAGAAAGCTGGAAATGGATGGAAGGGGTGCTGTGGCTCACATGGAAGAGAGCCAGCCTTGGGCAAAAAACCCCCAAAAACTCAAGGGACAGCACCCAGGCCCTGAGTTCAAGCCCCAAGAGCAGCACCAAAAAACAAGAATCCCAAAAAGAAAGAAAAATGCCTTATTCATGATCTTTATATTGCTTCTATGACAAACAACCTCAGAAATATTAGATTAATACACTGAAATTGACATCATCTATTTGTTTTGCATTCATTTAATGTAGCCACAAGACAACTTCAACTGGCATCTGTGAAATGCATATTCCCTCTCTCTCCTTCCTCCCCCTCCCCCTCCCCCTCCCCCTCCCTCTCTTTCTCTCTGTGCCAGTCCTGGGGTTTGAACTCAGGATCTGGATACTGTTCACTCAGGATCTGGATACTGTTCCTGGGCTTTTTTATTCGAGGCTGGCTCTCTACCACTTGAGCCACAACTCCACTGTGTTAGATCTCTGCTGGGCAGTGACCCCCCCCCCCCCCCGCCCCGTTCCCAGGGCCTGACCTGGGGGAGACTCCAGCACAGCGAGCCAGGCCCGCCCAGCCCCACTGACCTGGAGCCCAGGGGTCCCTGAGGCAGACACAGGCTTTCCATCCTTCAGCCACACCAGCGTGGGGCTGGGGGCACCGGTGGCGTTACAGGTCAGCTGGACGGGGGCACCAAGCCGGACGGGGCCTGGCAGGCTGGGAGGCCGCGTGATTCGGGGGGGCACTGCAGGGCGAGGGGGGCACCGGACACGACTGAGCCCCGTGAGGGGTGGCATGGGCTGAGCATGCAGGAGCGACATCACACACCAAGGCCTGGGCCGGCAATGGGGACCCAGCCAGCCATGCCTCGGTGCCCCCCCCCCAGAACTAGAGACTAAAGGCTTCTGCTGATGGGAAACAGGCTCAGCCGCAGCAGAAACAGCCAACTTGGGCTTGGGGAGCCCTCCCCACACAGGGGTCTCCAAGGAGACTATCTTACAGGAAGTCCCTCCTGGGCAGAAGATGCTAGAAGATTCCATCACAGCTGCAGGGTGTGAGCCCCTCACCCCTTCCCAGCTGCCCTCCGTGCTCCCGCTCTCAGGTTAAAGACCGTCTTCCTCCATGGCTCCAGGGGGCCGCCAGCACCACCTTGGACCTTCTCTTATTCTGATTCACAGTCTTTCCGTCTCTTTGATTGCACAGTTTCTGTGGGCTCGAGCCTAGCAGGTCTCTGTCTAGGCACCTCGCTGTGCGCCCCAGGATGTAAACCTGGTGTGTTATTTGCTCTTGCCACAATTATGCAATGAGCAATGATTGATTACTGGTCCTGTCACCAGAATGCACACCCCTGGGTCTTTCCTAGGCAGGGCCTCAGTGCCACAGTCTTTCCCAGAGCACAGGCGCAAAAATGTGGTCAGTTAGAAGACAGAAAGCAGGAGGAATAGGTGCTTAGATGGGTGGGATGGATGGATGGATGGATGGATGGATGGATGGATGGATGGATGGATGGATGGACGGATGGATGGACGGATGGATGGATGGATGGATGGATGGATGATGTCTGAGAACCTGCATGTATAAATGGAAGGAAGGTTCAATGGTAGAAGAACGGAAAGTTATTTGGGATAAATTAGTTGAATCAATTGATGGACAGTGGTGTGAACAAATGGAAGGATGACTAGATGACTGGATGGGTGGAAAACGAATGGATAAATAAATAGATGCGTGGTAAGTAGTAGATGGGAGGTGAGTGAGTAAATGGATGGATGAGTGGTAGGCATGTGGTAGAAACGGGTGCACAGGCAGATAGATAAATGGGTGGTAGATAGGTGGGTGAAGAGATGGTGGGAAGATGAGTGGTGCACAGAAAAATGGATAGGTAGGTGGCAAAAGGATGGAGGGATGACCGTAGAAGGGTATGGCTGAATGTGTAGATGGGTGGGTGGATTACAAGTAGCTACACGGATGGGTGAATGGTGGACAGAGGGTGGCTGGTGGATAGATTAATGGATGGTGACTGGATTGTAGGTGTTGGATGGACGGATGGCTAGATGGATGATGAATATGTGTATGTAAGTGTGTGAATGGCTGGATGGATGGATGTGTAGACAGCTGGATGAATGCAGGGGTAGACAAGTGGCTATGTGGAGGAGTGAACGGGTGGAGAGATGAATGGAGGGACAGACGGCGTAGACGGTGGATAGATAGATGGGTAAATGGATGGACAAGCAGACAGACGAGTGGTCAGACAGATGTGTAGACAAGTGGAAAATGGCCAGATGAATAAGAGTAACTGACAAATGGAATACAAGACAACCTCTGGGGAAAGGGCCTCTGTAGACCCAGGACGGCTCACCATTGACCCGCAGGCCGTACTGCAGCTCGGTGCTGCCCGCCACGTTGGCTGCCACACAGCGGTAGCTGCCGGCGTCGGCGAGCTGGGCACGCTCAATGTGCAGCGCTCTCCCATCGGCTGACACCACCAGCCCAGCCCGGGCGGCAGCAGGCTGGCGGCCTTTGAACCACGAGACATCTATGGGAAAAGAGAGATCTGGAACCTGCTGGCACAGAGGCCTTCAAGGAAGCTTCTAGAGTTGTTTGGGAAGAGCGTGCTGCCTGAAGACCGGAAGGGGGCCCGGGCGGCTGGAATTAGGGAGAGGCAGGCTGGAGTTAGGCCGTCTCCTGCCTCCACCCAGAGGAGACCTGGCTCAGGGAGGCTCTAGGGAGAGTACGGTCCACCCACACAGCAGGCCCACCTTGCGCAGGGGCCTCACCCCTACATACCACCTGGAACTTGCTGGGGCTCTGTGGGGGAGCACCCCCAGGGAGCACCTGGCTGGTGTGGGGCTGCTGGGCCTCCCTCCTGGATCGCTCACAGTGCAGGGGCTGGCCGGTTTCCCATAAGACCGCAGCGGGGTGGGGCAGAGCTCTTGCTGGGCTTATTCAGTGGGAACTGGGGGAGGCAGGAAGCGGGGTGCAGCCAAGTGGGGGGACTTTTACCAGGAGGGGGTACACCTGAGGCCAGACACTCCAAGGTAACCGAGGTATTCTCCAGCACGGCCTTGTTGACAGGCCCTGGCTCGATGTTGGGGGGCACTGGGGGAGACAAGGAGAGACTATGCTTGGTGGGCCTGAAGCCTGGGCACCTCCCGTCCCAGCCTCCCTGGGGCTCCCTTTGCCCCCGTCTTCCCAAAGGGTCTTGGCAATGAGGCTTCACAAAGACCACGTCCTGGACCAGGAGGCCCGTGAATGCGCACGGAACGAGACCAAGACCATGTCCTGGATCAGGAGGCCTGCACATGAGTACAGAACATGCCCAAGACCACGTCCTGGACCAGGAGGCCCACGAATGCGCACGGAACGAGACCAAGACCATGTCCTGGACCAGGATGACAGGCGTGAGCCGCTGCCGGCCTCCAGCTTCCTGAGGCTCTTTATACTCTACCACTTGAGCCACAGCGCCACTTCCAGTTTGTGAGAGGCTAATTGGAGCTAAGAGTCTCACAGGGGCTTTGAACGAGCCACGCGCCTGGCTAAGGCTTTAACACAAGTGCACCATGGGTATTTCAAAACCCTCCTCCCCCTCCCAACCTGAGCTGCCAGTCGCAAGGGCTGTCCAGGGATCGCTCCGCCCCAGGCCCCACCCCAGGCCCCGCCCCAGGCCCCACCCCAGGCCATGCCCCATGCCCCCACCCCAGGCCCCACCCCAGGCCCCGCCCCAGGCCCCGCCCCAGGCCCCGCCCCAGGCCATGCCCCATGCCCCCACCCCAGGCCCCGCCCAGCTGGCGCCACGCCCTCACCCAGGACCTTCAGTGCCACATCCGTCTTGCTCTCCCCGGCCGGGCTGGACGCAGCACAGGTGTAGATGCCTTCGTCCCTCAGGTCTGCTTTCTCAATCTGAGGGGAGGAGGGGGAGAGGAGGTCACAGAGCCAAGGACTCGGGGACAGGCGGAGCAAATGTAGGACACAGAGCGACCCTTGGAGGCAGTGCCAGCGCAGCTCTGGGAGGGCGTGATGGGCCGAGTGCCCAAATTCAGGATGATCCTCAGACCTGTCTCCATGTCTTCCCACGACCCTAGGATCTGAAGCCAGCTGAGGCCCCTCCTCTTCCAGGCCAGCGTGCCCCCGTCCCCTGAGCATGCCCCGGCTGAGAGGACTCTGTGCTCTCCCACCTCCGGACTGCCCAAGCTCGCCCAAGGGCTGCAGGACCCCAGAAGACTAGCCCCCCCACATGTGCCAGCTGCCCCTGAATGTACCTGGAGGTGGCCCCCCGAGGTAGCCAGGGCCACCCCGTCCTTCCACCAGCGGAGGCTGGGGGGAGGCACACCAGCCCCGACACACTGGAGGGTCACAGGCTGCAGGAAAGCGGCTGTGAGGTTCTCCCCTCCGACGATGTACACCGACGGCAGCTCTGTGGGCAGTCGGGAAGGACCGGGGTCAGGCGGCACCCAGCAACCCTCTAACGGTGAAGAGCTGGCCTCCATCTCCCTCGGATCCGGGGAGCCAGCAGGGCAGTCCTTTCCCTTTCACAGTTCTATCACACATCCATCCACTTACCATCCTCCAATCCACCTATGTATCCAATCCCCGTCCATTCATCCATTTACCCACCCACCCGTCCCTCTTCCCCTCCACCAATCCACTCATCACTTACTTGTTCATCCACACCTCCATCTACCACCCATCCACTAACTACCGATTCATCCACTGTCCCCAGTATTCACCCATCCATCCATCCATCCTCCATCCAATCAAACGTTCTTCCAGTCATCAATCCGTCCATTCACCCCCACCACCCATGTGTGTTCGCATGCGTGCTGAACATCTACTCTGCGTAGATCTGTTCCAGGCCCCTAGATACACCAGAAAAAAAGCTCACAGGGCTCAAGTGGATCGCCTTGAGCTGAAGAGCTCAGGGACAGCACCCAGGCCCAGAGTTCAAGCCCCACAACTGACCCCCCCCCCAAAAAAAAAGAATTGAGGGAAGCTCCAAGTGGAGAAGAGGGGGCCGGGCAGGGGAGCAGGGCCGGCCGGGCAGGAGAGATGACAAGTACAGTAAGAATCTGGGCCGGAGCCGGGCGCCGGTGGCTCCGGCCTGTCATCCTAGCTACTCAGGAGGCTGAGATCTGAGGATCACAGTTCAAAGCCAGCCTGGGCAGGAAAGTCTGTGAAACTCTTATCTCCAGAAAACCAGAAGTGGCGCTGTGGCTCAAGTGGTAGAGCGCTCGCCTTGAGCTGAAGAGCTTAGGGACAGCGCCCAGGCCCAGAGTTCAGGCCCCATGACCAACCACCACAACAAAAAAGAATCTGGGCTAGCCCTCACATTACAGGGCCCAGAAGTGCCACGCAGTGGGGACTGCCCCTAGCCCTCCCCGTCCCTCCCAGCACCCACGCCAGCCTCCGGACTTCCCGCACGGCGGAGCCCCGGGCACCCACTCACCATGCACGGTCACCTCCACCTCGGCCCCCGCTGTGCCCGCGTCGTTGGTGGCCTGGCAGGCGAAGAGGCCTGCGTGGCTCGGCTCTACGCGGCCGATGTGCAGTGCGGTCCCCTGCGGGCTCACCTGCACCCCGGCCAGCTCCTCCGCCCGGCGGCCATTCTGCAGCCACCTAAGGTGGGCGGAGAGGGGTGGGGCTCAACCTTCCCCACCCAGCACCCTGCCAGGCCCTGCCCCCCCCCCACGTGCCCTGTACGCACTGGACGCTGGGCATCGGGGATCCTGAGACCCGGCAGGGCAGATTCAGGGACTGTCCGGCGATGGCGGTCACCTGACCCACACCTTCAGCCACCAGGAGCTGCGGGGGCACTGACAGCAGGACCAGATGTTAGCAAACCCCTGCTTCACCTGGCCCCCTCCCCCAGGGCTCCCCCTAGTGGGCTTTCAGAGGCACCGCAGGGCTGGCCGGGCTCACCCTGCACGTCCAGGCTGTACTGCAGCACGGCCTCGCCGGCCACGCTGCTGGCCACGCAGCTGTAGAGGCCCCGGGACGCCTCCCCCGGGAGGTCCAGCCGCAGCGTGCCGTCGGCCTCCAGCCACGTGCTGTTGCTCGGTGTCACCGGCAGCCCCTCGTGCTGCCAGGAGAGGGCGGGGGGTGGACGGCCTCTGGCCACACACTCCAGTGCCACGGGCCTCCCAGCCACAGCCTGCACCGCGTACGGCCCTCCGGCAGCGCCCTCGATGGTGGGTGGCACTGGGGAAGAGGCAGGGGCTGCTCAGGGACCCCGCAACCCGCAGGAATGCTCCCCTGGGCTGTGTCCCTGCCCAAACCGCGCCTCCTCCTAGGCGCCTGTCCCAGATGCTGGCTGGAAGGTTCTCGAAAGCTAATCGTGAGCAAGCTTGTGTCCCCGCAGATGTCTGGGACACACCTGCGCCCAGGTGGCTGGCTTTTGGGGGACTGGAGTTGACAGTCACAGTCAGTAGGGACGAACTTCTTGGGTGCCAGTTCTGGGCACAGAACTCAGGGCCTGGGCACCATCCCTGAGCTTGTTCAAGACTCAAGGCTGGCACTCTACCGCCTGAGCCACAGATCGGCAAGTTTCAAATGGGGCCCGCCGCCCACAGAGGACAGGCTGGAGCAGGGAGCTTCCTTCCTGCACTTGGTGGGGGAAGGGGCGCCCCAAGGTGTGAAGCTGACAGCCATGACTGGGGACATGGGACTCTCAGGGACTGGGATTCAGGGTGCTTCTCAGCCTTCTGTACGCCGAGGTCCTTGAAAATGACAAACACCCTGATTTCCATGCCTTTTCCAGGGACCTCAGATCCCCAAACGAGATTTCCTCAGGTAGCAGCGGCCGCCATGCACCTGCACACAGCCCTCCTTCCCAGCTCCAGCACCCAAGCCCCGGCCATCTGCGGGGCCAGTGTGCCCACGCCACATCATCCCTGCAGGCCACAGGAGGGGGCCCCATGGCGCATGCCTGCCATCCTAGCTACTCAGGAGGTGGAGATCTGAGGATTAGGAGATCTGAGGATTAGGAGATCTGAGGATTAGGAGATTTGAGGATTAGGAGATCTGAGGATTAGGAGATCTGAGGATTAGGAGATCTGAGGATTAGGATGCTGATTCTCCCAGCTGGGTTCAGGCCAAGCCCCTCCCAGTGCCCTCTGGGGACACAAAGGCCCTCTCAGCAACAGGTGATGACTAGGCCCCTGGAATCCTGGGAGTCATTAACTCCATGCAGTTAATTAGCAGTCTTTGTGGCTCCTGGCAGCTGCAGGCCCCGCCCCAGCCCAGCCCAGCCCCGGTCCTTGCGTGGGGGAAGCAGGAACGCTGAGACCTCTCCCCGCCAAGCGCGGCCTGCCACGCACCAGGCCACCAGGCCACGAGCCACCCTCGCTGCCCTTCAGAGCCGGGCCAAGGCCACCTCGGTGTCCTCAGTCCCTGCCGCCCCGCCGCTCACCATACACCTCCAGCCGCGTGGCCTTCTCGGTGACGCCCGCGGGGTTGCTGGCCAGGCAGGTGTAGAGGCCGGCGTCGGAGGCCTGGGCCCTGCCCAGCTGCAGCTGCCGCCCGCCCCGGGCGTAGACGGCCCCGGCGCCGGCGGGCAGCGGGACCCCGTCCTTGAGCCAGGCGATGTCGGGCGCAGGCGCGCCTCGGGCCTCGCACGGGAGCCGCGCCGCGTGGCCCTCCATGACCGCCACCTCGGCCGTCTCGTTCCAGCCCCAGATGGTGGGGGGCACTGGGGGCAGGGCGGGGGGTGCCGGTCACCTGGGAGAGGCCCGCCCAGGGCATGCTGGGCCGGGAGCTAGCGGGCACCCCACAGCAAAGGGAACAGGGGAGGGACCCCAGGTTTGAGCCCTGGACCCCACTCTGCCTCTTAACTCACTGTATGACCTGGGGTAGGCCCCGTCCTCTCTCTGGGCCTCAGTTTCCCCGTCTGTGGAGGGACTTGGTTGTCCCCACCACTGGCACTGAGCTGATGGGTGGGCGGAGCCTGAGATGGCTAAGGGACGGCTGTGTCCTCCAGCCGCAGGGCAGGGTTCCGCCTGGGTCACTACCCCCTTCACCCCGCCTCTCCAGCCTGCCCTGGTCCAGAGCAGACCAGTGTGTGCAGGCTCACAGCCGCGGTGCCCGCCTTTCCGTGTTTGTGTGCTTTCCCACTTCCTTCCACTGGTGGCAAATGTACTGGTTTCCCACTTATTGCTGAGATATTAAACAGCCCTTGGAGTAAATGTTTCGGCCCGGGCACAGTATCTCATGCCTGTAATCCCAGCAACCTGAGAGGCCAGCCTTGGGAAAAAATTAGCAAGACCCTCATCTCATCCAGTAAGCGAGGTGCTATGGTTCGTGCCTGGAATCCCACCTACGTGGGATGGCTAAGTAGGAGGATTGTGGTCTGGGCCCAGCCAGCCTGTCTGAACAAACAACTAAGATGCAAAGGGCTGGATGCGTAGCTCAAGCGGTGGAGTGTGTGTCCAGCAAGTTCAAACCCTCCTACTGCCCTCTCCAAAGAGCGAACGTGGATTGATGGGTAGTTACTATGCACTAGAGGTGCTGGTGAGCACTCTGTAGCCCCAGCCACTCAGGAGGCTAAGGCAGGAGGATCAAGGATCGGAAGTTCAAGGACTACATAGCAGACTTAAAGCCAACCTGGGTAACTAATTTCAGTGATAGTCTGTCTCAGAATAAAAATCAGAGAGAAGGAAGAAATGTACTCATGACCTGACTTACATAACTGTAACAACTCCTCTGTACATTACCTTCGTCCTAACCGTTTAAAAAACTACCATAAGCCAGGCACAGTGGCTCACATCTATAATCCTAGCTACTCAAGGAAGCAGAGATCTGAGGACCGCAGTCCAAACCCAGCCTGGGCAGGAAAGTCTGTGAGACTCTTATCTCCAAGAAACTACTAAAAGAAAATGCTGGAGGTGGAGCTGTGCTTCAAGAGGTAGAGCTCCATCCTTGAACGGAAAAAGCTAAGGGAGAGTATAAGACTCCTGAGTTCAAACCCCAGTACTGGCACCAAAAAAATAAAAAGTCTTTATGGGCGGCACGGGAAGAGCGAGCTGTGAAGCAGAGACCGGGATCCCCACGTCCTCAGGCCCCCACCCCTGTCCCTCACTGAGGCCTGGCTCCGTGGCCCCCAACCCCACCCTCCCAGGCAGTGGCATGGGCTGGGGCTGGGCTCACAGTGGATTCTGAGCCGGAAGTCCTTGGTCTGCTGGCCCGCTGGGCTGAAGGCCACACACTGGTACTGCCCCTCGTCGCCCAGGTGACTGCTGGTGATCCTGAGAAGCTGGCCGGCCTCTTGGAGCTGGATGTGAGGGTCTCCAGGAAGGATGGGCCTGGGGAGACGCCAGGGCCCCCATCAGGCTAGGGCACTGGTGGGCAGGAAGCTCAGCAGGATCGCAGCTGTGGAGGGCGCGAGGCCATCCACAGCCACCCACGGATCAAAGAACCTTGCGTCCACCCGTGGATAAATACTCCACAGCCCACCCATCTGTTAGACTATTGCTCAGCCATCAAAAAAGAGCAATATTTCCACTGGGCTCACGCCTGTAATCCTAGCTACTCAGGAGGCTGAGATCTGAGGATTGCAGTTCAAAGCCAGCCCAGGCAGGAAAGTTTGTGAGACTCTTATCTCCAATAAACCACTCAGAAAACCAGAAGTGGCGCTGTGGCTCAAGTGGTAGAGCGCTTGCCTTGAGCTGAAGAGCTGAGGGACAGCACCCAGACCCAGAGTTCAAGCCCCACAACTCACCAAAAAAAGAGCGATAACTTGAATAGACTGCCAAAACTGAGCGGAAAAAGAGGTCAGACCCAAAGGCCACATGGGGTTTGACCTCATTTACATGAAATGTCAGGAATGGGTATGGGTAAGCAAGCCTGCTGCCACGGCCAAGGGGGACAGGAAGAGGAGGGACCACCTAATGGAGCCGCCCTGGAAGAGGAAGGGGAGGAGGAGGTGTGGAGGGGGTGGGGGGAGGACAATCTCTGGCTGCATAGAGCTGTCTGTGCACACAGTGAATTGCACATGGTGTGACTGTGTGATTAATGCAACATGTGTGTACCTATTATCTACCATCTATCTGCACATCAGTTTTCTATCGCCTGTGCCACTATGTATTTCCTGTTTACCATCTATATCTATTACCTATTCATATAGCTATGTATCGTTTGTGTATGTATGTATCTTTTTTTTAACTTTTTGTCAGTCGTGGGGCTTGAACTTGGCCTGAGCGCTGTCCCTCAGCTCTTCATCTCAAGGCAAGCGCTCTACCACTTGAGCTACAGCGCCACTTCCCATTTTCTGGTGGTTTATTGGAGATAGAGGAGTTTCACGGAGTTTCCTGTCCAGGCTGGCTTTGAACCACGATCCTCCGATCTCAGCCTCCTCAGTAGCTGAGACAGGCGTGAGCCACCGGCGCCCGGCCTATCTATCTTTAAAAAAAAAATAGGTGGCCAGTGTCTCCCTGCTGAGGGGACTCCAGCATGCCGCCTGCACCGGTGCCACCGCCTGCTGGGCACAGGCAGCACACGCCTCCCTGTTCAGCCTCCCCCGTCCAGCCCCACGGGCCAGGCCTGGCACAGTATCCACCCCACACTCCTGGGGGCCGGGTACTCACTGCCCATCCTTGGTCCACTCCACCTGGGGCGTGGGTACCCCCGAGGCCCGACACTCCAACTCCACGTCAGTCTCAGCCAGGCTCAGCACCTCCTGGCCAGTCTCAGCTCCCAGCACCGAAGGAGGAACTGGGGAGGTAGGAAGAGAAATGGCTCAGGTCTGCGAGCTCTGCTGGCCACAGGGCCTTTGCCTATGCTGACGCCCACCAGCACAGGCCTCCCCTCTCCCATTCAGCCCTGCCCTGGGCAGCTGCTCTGCTTTTGTGGCTCTGTTACAAATGACCGCTGTGTGTCTCCATGCTGCGGGCTCTGTGAGGACACGGGCACCCCTCCCCCCACAGGCTGTGTGGGGACAGGGACACCCCTGTCCCTGCCAGCCACACTCACTGAGCACGAGGAGAAGGAAGTCCCTCTGGGCACTGCCGGCCCGGTTCTGTGCCCGGCAGGAGTAGCGGCCGGCGTGGTGCTCCTGGACCCGGGGGAGGTGGAGGGTACGGGCCGTGTCCAGGAGGCCGCCCGCCTCGGGGATCTGCACACCCAGCCGGAGGGGGCAGGGGAACACCAGCAAGGGGAAACTGAGGGCCTCGGACTCCAGAATAGCCTTGGCTCTCTCCACTAGGGATGCCCACACTCCTCGTGGGGCCGCAGGCCTCCAGAGCCCTGGACCCGGGGTCCTGCCTGCCTGCCTGCCCGCCACACCTCAGGACCCCAGGAATGCCCACCCACACTCCCCCCTCCCCACCTGTGGTCCCCTCCCCCCCCCCACTCCCCTCCCCAACACGACTCCCCTCCCCATTCCCCCCCAGCCATCCCTCCCCCTCCTTTAGCTCCCCCTCCCCACCTCCCACCCTTGTGACCCCCCACAGCCCCCCACCCCAGGACGCCCACCCACCGGCTGCCCGTCCTTGAGCCACAGGATCTCGGGGGCCGGGAAGCCGCTGGCGTCGCACTCCAGGGCCAGAGACTGCCCCACCACGCCGGACACATTGGCCTTGCGCCCGTCCTCCCGGATGCTGGGGGGCACTTGGGGAGGGAGGAGAAGCAGGGAGTGGCCCCCACCCCGCCTCTTAGGGCCCTGGCCGCCCCTCCCCCTCCCCCTCCCCCCTTCCCCCTCTCTCCTACCGTACACCGCCAGCCGGGTTGTCCTGGCCGCAGAGCCCGCCTCGTTGGTGGCCTGGCACTCGTAGTCGCCGCCGTCGGCCAGGGACACCGCGGGCAGGAACAGGGTGCCGCTGGCCAGCACCTCCGCGCCCGCGCGGCCACTCAGGGGCTCAGCCCGCGGGCCCCTCCGCCACACCACCTGCGGCTCGGGGGTCCCTGGGGGGGCCATGTCGTCAGCACCCTGCCCCACCAGCGCCACCTGCACCCCCCTCCTCGCAGACGCTGCCCATGCGAGTGGCCATTAACAGCGTCCTCCCGCCCCACCCTTGGGGTGGGGGAGGGGACCTTCTCCTGGCCCTGGCCATTTGGGTCTCCAATGGCGCTGCGTCCATACAGATCCACCAGTGCAGGCAGACGGGCCACGGGCAGTCAGGGAGAAGCAGCATAGATCCGTGCTGGCCTCTACCTCATCACTTTGCCAGCTTGTGGTGGGGGGGCGTATGTGCAGGCGTGCACACATACACACCAGCTTGAACTCAGGGCCTGGGCACGGTCCCTGAGCTTTTCTGCTCGTGGCCAGTGCTCTACCACTTGAGCCACAGCTCCACCACTAGCTTTTTGCTGGTTCGTTGGAATCAAAGTCTCACAGACATTCTTGCCCCTTCTGACTTAGCACTGTGACCCTCAGACCTCAGCCTCCCGTGTGGCTGATTTTGCCAGCCTTAATGCCGGCTGCCCACCACCTCTGTGGGCAGCAAAAGGGGCTGTGGAGGGAGGGGTGAGCACAGGTGTGGCCAGGGCGTGGACACAAGGGAGGGGTGGAGTGGGTGTGGCTAGTACATGGCACATGGGCATGGAGTGGGCGTGGTCTGGGCATGGTTATGGGCTAGAGTGGGCGTGGCCTGGGCATAGCTGGTTTATGGGCATGGGCGTGGTCTGGGCATGGGTGTGGCTGGGGCACACACAGAGAGAGCCCTGTGTCAGAGATCCGAGCCATCTCAAGTGCCTTCTCGGAGGCTCCCTGCACCCCATGCTGACCTCCACCTGCATAGTCAGGGCTCCCTGCCGGGCATGCAGAGGCCCTGTGTGCACACTCACTGCTTCGTGTGTCCTGGGGAAGGCCATGTAATCTATCCACACAGGCTCCCCTGGAATCCTGCCCTGGACTCTGGGACACACACCCTCTGGGACATACACATGTGCACACCTGTCCCTCCAAACCCCTTCAGCTCTTCCCAGAGACCCCTCCCTCGTCCTTTCCAGCACCCTTGGTCCTCTAGATCTCAGCCTCCAGAGTAGCTAGGCTTTCAGACGTGAGCCACCGGCCTAAGACAGAGATCAAAAGAGGCCGGCGTGTAGGGGCTGTTTCCATAACCCAACACTAGGTGGCGCCGTGGTCCAGAAGAGCCAGCACCCAGATGGCTCATCCAGAACCATCCAGAAGCTGTCCCAGCCTGGCTGGGTGCAGCAGCCGCTCCCTCAGTCCTGGCCCAGGGATCCCCTGGCACCCCGAGGCTCAGGGAGGACCTGCTGGGATCACTGGCTGCCGAGCTGGTTCCTGCCTGCTTCTGTTACCTGTCCATGTTCCTCAGACCCCGGACCGACAGCCTGCCTCACAATCAAAGGCAGCCACTCCGCCAGGCACGGGCCACAGGGGTGCCACGGTGCTGCCGAACCTCCCAGGCCTCACCTCGGCCCCCCAAGGGGCCCCATGCAGATGGGGAAACTGAGGCAGAAAGGAACGTAAGCTGCCTCAAGAAGCTACAGAGCCAAGACACTTCCACCACCACCCTTCTTTCTCTCTCTCTCTCTGTGTTACAGAGGGGCAACAGTGACACCCCTCCTGCAGGGAGGGGTGATGGGGTGAAGCACCCGCCACAGGCTGAGAACTCCCGGCTGCTGCTTCCCCAGTGTGGTCCGGGGTGCTGGGCTCTAGCTCTGCCCACCTGCTGGGAGCTAGCCCCACCCACCTGCTGGGAGCTAGCCCCACCCACCTGCTGGAAGCTAGCTCCGCCCCCTGCTGGGAGCTAGCCCCACCCACCTGCTGGGAGCTAGCCCCCACCCACCTGCTGGGAGCTAGCTCCACCCCCTGCTGGAAGCTAGCCCCACCCACCTGCTGGGAGCTAGCCCCACCTACCTGCTGGAAGCTAGCCCCACCCACCTGCTGGGAGCTAGCCCCACCCACCTGCTGGGAGCTAGCCCCACCCACCTGCTGGAAGCTAGCTCCGCCCCCTGCTGGGAGCTAGCCCCACCCACCTGCTGGGAGCTAGCCCCGCCCCCTGCTGGGAGCTAGCCCCACCCACCTGCTGGAAGCTAGCCCCACCCACCTGCTGGGAGCTAGCCCCACCCACCTGCTGGAAGCTAGCCCCACCCACCTGCTGGGAGCTAGCTCCGCCCCCTGCTGGGAGCTAGCCCCACCCACCTGCTGGAAGCTAGCCCCACCCACCTGCTGGGAGCTAGCCCCACCCACCTGCTGGGAGCTAGCTCCGCCCCCTGCTGGGAGCTAGCCCCACCCACCCGCTGGGAGCTAGCCCCACCCACCTGCTGGGAGCTAGCCCCACCCACCTGCTGGGAGCTAGCCCCACCCACCTGCTGGGAGCTAGCCTCGCCCCCTGCTGGGAGCTTGCCCCGCCCCTGGAGCTAGCTCCGCCCACCCTGGCACCCACCTTGGGCAGGGCATGGCAGGGTGGCATTCTCCCCGGACACCCGCTCCAGCAGCACACTGGTCTCCTCGGCACCCCAGTGCGGAGGTTCTGGGGAGAAATGACAAGGCCGCGTCCACACCCCGACCCAGAGCGGCAGGGGAGGAGACGCCACGGCCAGCACACGTCCAGCCAGGGCATGGAGCGGGGCTCACCTGGTGCTGGTGCACCCCAGGGCAGCAGCCCTCTCCCCCGCCCAGGGCCCAGCCCAGGTGCAGGCTGGGAGTGGGGTGGGACCTGAGCCCTCAAAGGCGTGGGGAGGAAAGGGTCCTCTCCCATGTGTGTGTGTGTGTGTGTGTGTGTGTGCGCGCGCGCGTGCCTGCATGTGCACACCAGTCCTGAGGCTTGAACTCAGGGCCTGGGCGCTGTCCCTGAGCTTTTCTGATCAAGGCTAATGCTCTGTCACTTGAGCCACAGCTCCACTTTCAGCTTTTTGCTGGTAAATGAGAGTAAATTAAGAGTCTCATGGACTTTCCTGCCCAGACTGGCTTCAGACCACGATCCTCAGATCTCAGCCTCCTGAGCAGCTGGGATGACAGGCGTGAGCCACTGGCACCTGGCATTGCTTTGCATTTTGAATACAGAAGATGCTAACACCATTGATCGAGAATGTTCTGTGTCAGGCATCTCGTCTGCATTCTAGATGACTCCACGTATGGACTGGACCGCTTTGCGGGTAAGAAAATCGGCCTGTGCTGTCCAGCTGGTCAGTGTGAGACAGGGTCGGCCTGCTGCCCGTGGGCACTCAGTGTGGCACGTGCTCAGGCCACGGCCGCAGCTGAGGGCCAGGCGCCCGGGCAGGAGCCGTCAGCACCCGTCAGAGCCCAGGAGCTGGCAGAGGCTGCTGGGGCCCAGCTGCAGGGCAGGGAGGTCCTGGATGGGACAGAGGGGACAAGCGGGCCTGTGTGTGTGCGCTTGGCCTGCGTGACCTCGGGGAGCTCACCTAGCACCCGCAGTGCCAGCTCCCACGTGTCCGTCCCCGCGCTGCTGGAGGCCTCACACACGTAGCTCCCGGCGTCAGAGAGGCCCACGGCCATGAAGTGGACGGAGCCCGGGGTCCCTGAGCCCCCCAGGGCCACCCCATCCTTGGACCAGTGGAGCTGGGGCTCTGGGTGGCCCTCAGCTGCACAGTTCAAATCCAGGGCTTCTCCAACCAGCACCGTCAGCACCCGAGGGCCTGGCTGCACCTGGGGGGGCACTGGAGGGCCCCGGGGAGGGGGGGTCAAGGTGGGGGACCCCCACGAGGGGAACAGAACCCCAATGCTTCCACATCCCCCCCAGCCCCGCTCCAGCCAGCGCACCCCACACCGTGGGAAATACCATCTGGTTGACGCCCAGCTTTGGGCATGCATGGGGAAACTGAGGCATGGGCCTGACTCACGATGGCTCAGCATGGTCTGGAGCGGCACAGAGGTGGCTCTCATGGTGACAGGACTTGCACCCCCAGCGCCCCCTGGGGGCAGTCCCGGGAAGCCCCCCCCCCGCCTTGCCTGGGGGGTACATCTGTATTCTCCAGACATCCAGTCCCCAGTCCCACCCCGGGGGGGGGGGGGGCGCCCTCCCTCTGGGCAGCTCTGCGCGTAGGAAGAAGCTCAGGTAGAAGAGCTGGGCGCTGGGGCTCACGCTGTCATCCTAGCCACTCGGGATGCTGAGATCCGAGGATCGTGGTTCAAAGCCAGCCCGGGGAGGGAAGTCCCTGGGAGACTCATGGCCGAAGAGCCACCAGAAAACTGGAAGTGGCTTGTGGTTCACGTGGTTGAGCACCAGTGAAGAAGCTAAGGGGCAGCGCCCAGGCCCTGGTTTAAGCCGGGGGTGAGGGGAGGGGGGCGGGGGCAGGCCGGGCAGCCCCACCCCTCGGCCCCCGCTGCTCCCTGCTGTCCAAGGACCTGACCCCTGTCCCCTGATCAAGGGGACGGGAGGTGGGAGGGGCTGGGGGTGAGGGGAGTGCCGGGCCGCCCTACCTTGCACCCCGAGGACGTAGTGCAGGGCGGCGGCGCCCGCAGGGTTGCTGGCCGTGCACTCGTAGTGGCCGCCGTCCTCGGCCTGCGCCGGGGCCAGGCGCAGGGAGCCGGAGGGCAGGAGGCGGTGCCTGCCGAGCGAGGGGTGCGGTGAGATGCCCCCGTCCTCCCGCACCCTGACAAAGTCCCCGGGCCCCAGGGGCCCCCGGCACGCACGCCCTCACCTCACCTGTGCCGGCCGCAAGGAGCCGAGGGGGGAGGGCCGCTGGGCCCAAGACCGAGGGGACCCCAAAGCCTCCCCCGCCCCAGCCCAAGTCTGCGCCTCTCCAGGTGTCACGGAGCCCCCGTGGCGGCCAGACAGCCCCCACTATCGGTGGGCCAATGCCAGCCTGTGCCTCAGTCTCCCCTGCAGACCGCAGTGGGTGAGGACGCCAGGTGGGCCTCACGGCCAGGCCCGTCCTGCCCTGCCACCGGCCGCTACGAGAAGGTGGGCATGTCCCTCAGCCTCCAGAGCCACGCCCCTGGCCAGGCCCAGCTCACTCAAGGCCACGGACAGCGCAGCCAACCGCTTCACACAAGCCGGGCGCGGTGGCTCCCGCCTGTCATCCTAGCTACTCAGGAGGCTGAGATCTGAGGATCGCGGTTCAAAGTCAGCCTGGGCAGGAAAGTCTGCGAGACTCCTATCTCCAATAAACCACTAGAAAACCAGAAGTGGCACTGTGGCTCAAGCGGTAAGAGCGTTCGCCTTGAGCTGAAGAGCTGAGGGACAGAGCTCAGGCCCAGAGTTCAAGCCCCACGACCGACCAGAAAAAGAAAAAAAAAAAAAAAGAAGACATCATGCAGACACGTGTGGGTCTAATTCACTCCTTTTCACTGCTGCGTAATATTTCACTGCATGATCACACCACAAGGTAAGGGGCTGCTACCTCTGGGATCCACGTTTACACGTTCTCTCCTCCCTCCTCCCTCCCTCCAGCATCTCTCCATGGGAGCCCTCGAGACCTGGCTAACACGCTGTGAGGTTCCTAGTTGTACTGAGCTTTGAACTCAGGGCCTTGCGCCGGCTAGGCTTCCTGTCCCTCTTCTAACCAGGGCCCAGGTGGCGCCTTGGGGAGGGCCTTGCTCTGTCACTTGGAGGAAATAAAGGGGGCGCTTTTGGCACAGTGGTCCCCACGTTATGGTACAAAGCCAGGCCCCATGTTAAGGTCACCCCCCTCCGGGCCTCTGCCGGGCCATGGCTCACACCTGCAATCCAGGCTGGGGCTGAAGGATCACAGTTTTAGAACCAGCCCAGGAAGACTCTGATCTCCAATGAACCACCAGAGAAGCTGGACATGGAACTATGGCTCAAGTGATAGAGCACCAGCCTTGAGTGAAACACTAAGGGACAGTGCCCAGGCCCTGAGTTCAAGCTCCAGGACTGGCACACACACATGCACACACACACACACACTAGCATGCAGTAGGTGCTCAATTAATATTGGATGGCCAATTACAGTTCGCATCCACAGGGCTGTCTTCCTCACCTTTCCCCTCCAGCATGGCTTCCACGTGGACCTCCTGATCCCCTCAGGGCAGCAGAGGTGCCAGCCCTTTTGGGAAGCTTTGCTCACACTTCCTGAACCTGGTCATGCATTCATTTGTTGTTAGACCACGAAGAAGGAGGTCCAGGTGGACCAGGGCTGTGGTGAGGTGGACCTGTGCCTGACAGAGCCTGGCCAAGGCTTCCCTCAATGCAGAGCCACTGGGAGCCTCACAGCTCACTGTGGCCTAGGACCCTGGACCCTCATAGGGAGGAGGAGGAGGAGGAGGAGCCATTTCTAGGGTAGGGGCTCCCAGGTGGTGCCCACACTGGCCTGGGCCTCGTCTCCCCTGTGCGTGTTTCATGAGCTGCTGGGCAGTCTGTCCCTATGCTCTTTTTCTGGTTGACATGGGATCTTAAAACCTTTTTGCCCGGGCTGGCCTCCAATTGTGATCCTCTGCTCTCAGCCTCCTGAGGTGCTGGGATTACAGGGGTGAATCCCAGAGCCTAGCGGCATAGGGCTGCCTTGTCCAGAGCCACTTGGCCGACCAGAGCCCCAGGCCGCTGGGCCCCGCTCCCATGCACAGCAGGGTCCACGGAATCAGAACGCTTTCCCACAGAGCCACTCAACACTGCATGCAGGTTGGCGAGGCTAGACTTTAGAGGCACCAGACCTGCGGGACTGGGGAGACGGGAGGGAGGCAGGGGCCCTGCATGGGCTCCCGGGCACTGGCCAGTGTCCCTCCCATCCCAGGACCCCGGCAATGGCTAGGCAGGGTCTCTGGATAACGATCCAGGAGAGGGGTGTGGTGGGGAGTGGGCAGGGGAGGGGGACACAGAGGCCGGAGCGGGCAGCCCGGCCGGCCCCGCCCAGCCCAGGGAAGGGGCCCTGGCTTGATCTCACTCACAGCTGTCTCAGTCCCGCCCCAGAAGCCCAAACAAACACAGTTGCCTAGCAACACGCCTCCCACCCCGGCCCAGCCCTTCCTTGGGAATCGCGCACACCAGGAGGGAAGGATGGTCCGGGCCTCGGATCCCGGCTGGCCTCGGATCCCGGCTGGCCTCGGATCCCGGCTGGCCTCGGCCGGCTGGCCTCGGTGCTGGGCACAGGGGTGAGATGCTTTTCAGACACTCCAGCCCCACCCAGCCCCCCAAGAAAAAGGCGGGAGGAGAGGAGAGCGTGGGCACGCCAGTATCCCCATTTACACGGGGCGGGCGCAGTGGCAGGAGGGGCCGGAGGGGGACACCAGGACACTGAGCGGCCAGCGTAGGCCTGGGCATCTGGGGGGATCCCGGCCGATGACCCCGCTCCCCGCGTCTGCCTGAAACCCCGGCTTCCGGCCCAGAGGGCCGGTGCTCCAGGGGTTCAGAGAAAGCGGGGTGCCCTCCGGACCGCGAGCGAGGCTGTGTGCACACCGGCGAGGTGCGAGTGTGGGCGTGAGTGTGCACACTCACCCGGGCGCGGGCGGAGGCCCTCGGGGGAGCAAGGTCACATCCGCCAGTGCTGCCCTCTGTCCTGCGTGCCCGCTCGGGCTGTGGGGAGGACCCCCTCCCGCCACTGCACCTTCCATAATGGGGCGCCGGAGGCTCACGCCTGTCATCCTAGCTACTCAGGAGGCTGAGATCTGAGGATCCTGGTTCAAAGCCAGCCTGGGCAGGAAAGTCTGTGAGACTCTCATCACCAATAAACCACCAGAAAACTGGAAGTGGCGCTGTGGCTCAAGTGGTAGAGCGCTCGCCTTGAGCTGAAGAGCTGAGGGACAGCGCCCAGGCCCAGAGTTCAGGCCCCACAACCGACAAAAAATTAAGTAAAAGATCCATCAACAGCCAGGGAAGTTTCAAATCCTCTCAAAAGTGGAGGCTGCTGACAATCGCCCGCCGCTGGAAAGATCCCGCAGCTCCTTCAGCCAGGGATGCTGGGGAATATTATTCAGCTAGAAACACTGAAGCCGCTCAGCCGCTGGAAAGCATTACACTGGCCGGAGAGGCGGACGCCAAAGACCACACAGTGTTCCACATCTGGGATAAGTGAGCCAGTCCACAGACAGAGAGGGGCTGGCTGGGCACGGTGGCTCACACTTGTAATCCCTGCGTCTCAGGAGACAGAGACTGTGAGGATCACACAGTTCAAGGCCAGCTTGAACAAAAAGATAGTGCGTCTCCCATCTCAACCAACAAGCTGGGATTGGTGGCACATTTCTGCAGTCCCACCTACATGGAAGGCTCTCGGTGGAAGGATTACAGTTGGAGGCCAGTCCCGAGAAAAGCCTCAAGACTCTATCTAAAAATTAACTCAAGGCTGGGGACGTGGTTTGGATGGTAGAGCACCTGCCTAGCAAGTTCAGGACTGACCATGGCAGCCACTGCCCCACTCCAGATGCAATGGAAATCACGGGCTTGCACTCGTGACCCGGGTACAGGTACTGGGTGCGAATCCTTCACCTATGAGACAAAAAGACTGTGTGTGCTGGGACTGGGGCGAGAATGCAGGGCCTGGCCTTCTTAGAAGCTTGGCTTCTTCACTCACAGCTGGAGCTCTACCACTTGAGCCACAGTTCTACTTCTGGCTTTTTGGTGGTTCACTGAAGATAAGGCTCTCCTAGACTTCTCTGCCCAGGCTGGCTGGGAACCACGATCCTCAGTTCTAGGCCTCCTGAGTGGCTGGGATGACAGGCATGAGCCCAGCGCCCAGCAAGGCTGTTGGGAGTAATGATTTCAGCACGGAAAGCTGGCGGGCTCCGGGGCCCCGGCACATGGAGTCCGGGTTAGATCAACTCCAGGGCAGCTGCCCCCCCTGCAGATGAACCCCGGAATGCCATAAATCACCGGCGCCTGGCTGCGGGCCAGGCCTTGGGGAGCAGTCGCAGAACAAACCGCACAACAGCAAAAGCAGCTTTTTGTGGAATGATGGCTCCCACCGGGCCCATTAACACGCGGGGCGAGGAGGAGCAAACGAGGGAGATGCGCCCGGAAATCACCACCCAGCGAGGGGGGGCTCGTGGGGCTCCCCCACCCCCGCCTCCCGTCTGTCCCGGGTAAGCCTGGCCGGCTGGGCGCACAGATGTCCAGAGATGCAGACGCGTGGGGAGGCGGCTGCTGGAGGCCTTCTGGGCCTAGAATGTACCAGAAACCTCTCCAGGGATGACATCACCATGGCCTGGCCCTCCCCACCCCCACCCCTGGCCAAGGACCTGGGAGGTTTGCTTTTCTACAGCGCCCCCCCTCCCCCATCCCACCCCCAAGTCAAGTCGCACCCCTCAACCTCGGCTTCCTGATTTAGTTCTGGAACAAGGGCTGCACCTATGTGTGGTTTTCAGGGCCCAGCTCACCCCAGCTCCCACACACCCACAGACGCGTCCCACGCACGGAAGTCCTCCCTGCAGAAGCGACCCCCGCTTCCCGTGCCGTGTGCACAAGGCCCCTCCCCAGCCGTGTCCTGGCCCACCGGAAGCCAGCCCAAGCTCCCCTTCCCACGGCCACGCGCCGGCCCCGGGTACCTGTCGGTGCCGGGCGGCAGAGGCCGCTGGTCTTTGGTCCAGGTGACCAGTGGGGCCGGGGAGCCCTGGGCCTCACAGTCCAGAGTCACCCCTTCTCCCGCCCGGGCTGTCACGCTCAGGGGTGTGTCTGCGCCGTGCGGGCCGTTCGCCTTGATGGTGGGCTTGGCTGATGGGGAAAGCAGCAGGGCTGTGAGCGAGACCCTCCCTCACACCAGGCTCACAAACCCTGGATGACAGGGATGACGTGTCCCCCTCCTTCTGACCCTTTGTCTGTAGCCCCCCACATGGGAGAAAGAGCCCCCCCTCCAAACAACCCGGACATCAGGCCAGCCCTGCCTAGCCCTCCCATGTGCCCACACTTAAATTGTTCAGAGAGAAAATCCCACAAAAAGAAGACACAGCGCATGCAAAGGCCCTGAGGCAGGCTGGACCTTCTAGAAATGGGAAGGAGGCCGGAGGGTCCTGGATAGAGAAGGGTGGGAAGAGAGACGGGCGAGGGGGCTGCCCAGCTGTGGTCCAGGATCTCTGGCTCCCTCCCAGGCTGAGGTGGGGTGCTGGGCCCCCCCCAACCCCGGCTGCTCACTGTTCACTGAGAGCCTCATCTCCTGGCTGGAGAAACCCACGGTGTTGGTGGCTGTGCACACGTAGGTCCCTGTGTCCCCAGGTGATGGCTGGATGATGACCAGGCTGCCATCCCTGCTCACGTTGTAGCGGCCGCCGGTGCTCAGGGTGCGGGTGTCCTGGGCGGGGCCGAGGACAGAGTCAGGAGCGCTGCACCTCCTCCCATGATGCACCGGGCTGGCTCCCTGGGGGCCCCACCCACCTTGGTCCAGGTGACGGCGGGCGGGGGGACCCCCAGGGCCACGCAGGGCAGAGAGACCGGGACCCCTTCGTTGGTGACGTGGTGGGTGGCGGCCGGGTGAATCCGAGGTGGCACTTTGAGGAACAGAGCAACTCCATAAACCAGCCGGACAGCGGCCGGCGTCACCACAGCCCAGACCCCCGCAGCCCAGCCTGTCCTCCCCGCCCCTCAGGAGGCTGAGGTCTGAGGACGGGTTTGAAGCCAGCCTGGGCAGGAAACGTCTGCGTTTAGCTTAGCTTGCCCCGCCAAAAGCCAGAGGTGGAGCTGTGGCTCAAGTGCAAAAACGCCAGCCTGGAGCGAAAACAACCTCAGAGATGGGGCGCAGGCCCTCAGTTCAAGGCCCAGGATCGGCCCGCACACACGCATGTGCGTGCACACACACGTGGGCGCGCGTGCGTGCATGCGTGTGGACATGTATGCATCTTCCTCCTGTCCTCCGGTCCCAAGGTGTGTGCCAGGGTCATCCTGCAGTGTCCACGCGTGACGGGTGTGCACCAATGGAGTCCACGCTCCTTCCCGCACATGCTGAGCGTGTGCTCCACGCCCACCGCACAGCAGCCAGCTCTGATGGACAGCAGCTCAGGGGCTGGCTCCTCGGCGCCCGCCACGCCCACCGCCACACCCCCGCCACGCCCACCACACAGGCAATCAGCTGATGGACAGCAGCTCAGGGGCGGGCTCCTCAGCGCCCGCCACGCCCACTGCCACGCCCACTGCCACGCCCGGCTGGGACTCACCTGCCACGCCCACCGCCCCGCCCCGCCCACCGCCCCACGGGGGGGGGGGGACTCACACGCCCCGCCCCACCGGGGACTCACCCGCCACGCCCACCGCCACACCCACCTGGGGGCTCACCCGCCACGCCCACCGCCACACCCACCTGGGGGCTCACCCGCCACGCCCACCGCCACACCCACCTGGGGGCTCACCCGCCACGCCCACCGCCACACCCACCTGGGGGCTCACCCGCCACGCCCACCGCCACACCCACCTGGGGGCTCACCCGCCACGCCCACCTCTACGCCCCGCCCACCGCCCCTCCACGTCCACCGCCACGCCACGTCCGGGACTCACCCTGCACGGCCAGCTTCACGTCCCGGTGCTGGGCGCCGGCCACATTGGTGGCCACGCAGCTGTAGGTGCCCGCGTCGTCCTGCAGGGCGCCGTCCAGGCGCAGGCTGCCGTCTGCCCGCACGGAGTGCCGGCCACCGGGCGGAAGCTGGGGGGGAGAGGGGGGGCAGCTTGAGCCCAGGGCCCCGCACGGAGGCCAAGCGCCTGCCAGGACCGGCCCGCCCAAGGTCGGGGGCCAGGGGCGTGGACACGGTGGCGTGGACACGGTGGCTTTGAGGTTCAGGATCTTCCCCGCCCCTAGATCGGCGGTGCCCTGACCCCATGCGCTTGGACCCCCACCCCACGGCACCTATCAGCCAGAGGACGGGGGAGAAGCAGGGGCTGAGGCCACAGGGCAGGGCGGCTCTGATACCCACGGAGGCCACACTCGACCAGGCGCTGGCAGGCTGCAGGCAGAGGACAGCCCACACAGACACACCCAGCACCGCCCCTTCCAGCCACCCGGTCTGAGAACCTCTGGGGGTTCCCCTCAAAGCCCTGGCCTCCGCAGCCCACCCTGCCACCTGGGCCCGCACCCCACAGCCAGCCTGCACTGCTCAGGCCAGGCCACTAGACCCTAAGGTGTCTGCTGATGGGAGGGAGGAAAGGAGGCCAAGTGGGAGGGGAGGGGGAGAAGGGTGGGAGGGGAAGAGAGGGAGGGAGGCAGGCAAGCAAGAAACCAGCAGTGCTCACTGGGCCAGGCTACTTGGGGCAGAAGGAGAAGAAAGCCAGGCCCTTGGTCTTGTGAAGCTCAGGTTAACACAGGACAGACTTCTAGGCAGCTGTGAATCACGATTCTCACACTTGGCTGCAAACAGCCAACACGCAGGGAGTTTTTAAAACTAGGATTTAGCTGGACGCTGGTGGCTCATGTCTGTAATCCTATTCAGGAGGCTGAGATCTGAGGATGGAGGTTCAAAGCCAGCCCGGGCAGGAAAGTCCCTAAGACTGTGATCTCCAATCAACCACCAAAAAGCCCGAAGGGGAGCTATGGCTCACATCGGTAGGTTCTGACTTAATTAGCATGTTGGAGCCCAACACATTCGTACACGCCTGTAATCCCAGAAATTCTGCTCTGGAGTTGGAGGCAGGAGGGTTGAGAGGTGGAAGCCAGCGCCAGCAAAGCCAGCGAGGTCCTCTCTCAGAAACAAAATAAAAATGTTAAGGAAGAGCCAAGGCTGGGGCAGTCCTATCATCCTAGCTACTTGGAGGGTGGAGATCAGAGGACTGTGGTGTAAGGCCAGCACAGGCATAAAAGTTCACCACTTCAGCCGCACAAGCCTGCCATCCCGGTGAAGAAGGGTACCCCAAATAGACGGATCACAGTCCTAGCCGGCCTGGGTATGAAGTGCGATGCTATCTCCAAAATAATCAATACAAGAAGAGGCTGCTCGAGTGGCTCAAGTGGTAGAGCTCCTGCTTTTGTATGCGTGAGGCCCTGAGTTCAATCCCCCTACTTCCAAAAAAGAAAAAGACAGGGAGGGCATGGCTCAAGTACTAGACCCCTTGCCTAGTAAGCGTGAGGGCCTGGGTTCAAGTAAACTGAAGTAGCAGGGTGTGTTTAAAGCTCTCTAGACAGTAACACTGGCCCTGAGACCAGAACCGGGAGGCGCTCCCAGAAAGCACCCACCCCGCCCGGAAGGGGGGCCTCCTCCACCGGAGGCAGTGCCCCCAACCCGGGTCTTAAAGCAAGGTTGGCCGGCTCTGTCAGGAGCAAAGGCCAGAGAGGCCATGACCTAGACAGCAGGACCAGCAAGCACCCCTGCCTCCCTCTCTCTAGATCCTCCACCGCACCCCTGCCTCCCCTCCTCAGAAACTCCACCCACAGTACCCCTCCCTCCCCTCCCCAGACCCTCCACCCACCGCACCCCTGCCTCCCTTCCCCAGATCCTCACAGGCCGGCTGTCCCCCACCCCAGGAGCCCCCCACTCACAGGCCGGCCAGCCCTGAGCCAGCGCCTCTCGGGGAGGGGCCTCCCCGCCAGGATGACACAAGGCAGCGTCACAGGCTGTCCCTCCAGGACCCGGACCACGGGAGCACTGCTGGCGATCTGCGGCGGCACTGTGGGGAGAGGAGGGTGTGCGCCTCAGCAGACCCCTGTGAGCAGCCACTTGGGGGGTCCAGGCCCACCCTGCAAGCTCTGCAGGGAACAGAGCATGTGTTAGGACGGGTCCGAGGTCTCCCAGGATGCAGAGGATGGCGGCCATGGGGGTCTCCCTGGCTGCCTGGGGCGCGCCACCCCCGCCCCCACCCCGCCCCAGGACTCAGCGCCACCAGCCAACCATGTCCGGTGAGCACGAGCCGCGTCTCCGCCTGGGCCTTCCCGAAGATGTTGCGCGCTTCGCAGGTGTACGAGGCCTCGTGCTCGGGGGCTGCGCCTGAGGACGGGGGGGGGGGGGGGGGCTGACTGCCAGGACCCCCTCTCCCGGCTCCGGCCGCCCAGCCATGGCAGCTCACACCTGCCATCCCAGCCACACCGGACGGAGGCTGGGGAGGCCGAGGGTCCAGGCCGCCTGGGGTGGGGGGCCGCGGTTCCTGAGAACCCATCTCAACAGGAAAAACAAAAAGCTGGGAATGGTGGCATGCACCTGTCATTCCAGCCCCAGCGGGGGCAGAGACAGGAGGACCAAGGCCACGCCCCAAGAGCAGGAGGCCTGGCCCAGGTGACAGCGCCCCCCTGGCGAGCCCAGGTCCCTGGGATCGAACCCCAGGCCAGCCAGCGTGAGCGGGCACGTGGTAGCCATCTTGGTGGGGCCTCTGAGAGCAAGCAGGCGGCCCCCACCCCCGCGTGTGCACCCCGATGTCTTACTTTCAAAGAACAGCATCCCGGAGCGGCGCTGTCCCGTCCCCAGGGCCCGGCCATCCGCGCGACGCCAGGTGACGGTGGGGGGCGGGCGGCCGGCGGCCCGGCACGCCAGGAGGGCGCTCCTGCCCAGCTCTGCTGTCACCTCCTGCGGCAGCTCCAGCAGCCGGGGCGGGTCTGCGGGGAGTCGACCAGCCTGCCTCACCACCCAGCCCCCCTGGGCACCGCCGCTGCACCCCAGATCCTGAGCGCAGGCGCCGGGGCTCGCGCGCTGAGCACCCAGAGGGCTCCAGCTGAGACGCCCTGCAAAGCTCCTCCAGCCACAGGAGCGTGGCTGCCTGGGATTGGGGTTCGCCCGGGGGTGGAGAGTGGGGGACCCCGGCCTCTCTGACTCCCCACCTCTACTTGATCTTTCCTGAGTCACAGGACATTTTGGGCAGGCGGTGAGAGGAAGCACAAGGCACGTCCACTTCCACGGCCACCCCAGAGCGACGTCTCCAGGGACCGGGGTTCCCCTCCCTCCCTCCTCTGCTCCGTTCTTTAGTTGCTGATAGATACGTCTGGACTAAGCACGTGTAGCAATGCCTCAGGGTAAACTCATGCCAGGTGCTGGTGGCTCCCGCCTATACCCCTAGCTTCTCTGGAGGCTGAGATCTGGAGGATCGTGGTATAAAGCTAGCATGGGCAGAAAAAGCCCAGAGGATTCTGGCTAGTAACTAACCAACAAAAAAGCAAGGCTGGAAGCATGGCTCAAGTGGTAGAGCACCAGCCAAACAAACAAGCCAAGTGAGCATCTGAGGCCCTGAGTTCAAGCCTCAGTACCAGGGGGATAAAAAAAGGAATAAATGGAAGATCCTCTCTGCCCTTTGGTCCAGCCACAACGGCCCCGCGGGCCCCCTGCAGCACAGACACCACCCAGCTCAGTCTGGGGCCTGTCCACCATGGAGATCCCTAGCCTCTTAGCACCATGGAAAAAACACCTCCTCTTCGTTCTTTTCGGAAATCCCTGTCCTTCTAGATAACAATGCTGAATTTCCCTGCCGGCCACCGGGGGAGGGAAGTGCCAAGGAGCCCCGCCCCAGAGGAGGCCATGTCTAGCCGTGTCCTCACCCCCACGCCCAGCTCCCTGGCTTCCACCTACGGCAAAGCTGGGGAGCCTGCAGCCCCAGCACCCCCAAAGCAGGGCCCAAAGTGGCATACGTCCCTGGGCAGTGCCCCACATGGGCTGGGCACCCAAGGCAGGGTCTCTGCGTGCACTGATGATGCCACCATGAGCCTGGAGCTCAGCCCACAGCCCCACAAACCCCAGGACCAGCATCTCCCCCCTAAAAAAGGTGCGAAAAGGAAGTGGAGGCGTGGCCCGGGGCAGAGTGCCTGCCTGAGTGCTGGCACTGGCTGAGGACAGCGCTTCCCCGGGTCCCAGCGACACCAGAAAGGCTTGGCGGCAGGAAGCAGGCACGTGCCCACCCAGCCCTAGCCTCTGCCAGCCGGGCCAGGGAGGCCGGCCCACAGCTGCCATCCAGATGGGCCAGAAATCTGATTTCCCATCATCCCTGCCAGCCCGGCTCACCACAGCCCACGGCTGCCACCGCCTCCTCTCTCTGACACGAGGGAAGGTTCCAGAGCCAACCGCAATCCACAAAGGAGCAGGGCCAGTGGGCACACCGGGCTGAGCCCCCGAAGAAACAAAGGCTCAGTGGAGGAGAAATCAGGCCCGGAGCAGAGGCCAGCTCGGCTTCCCCAGAACCTTCTACCCAAAACCTGACAATGGCTTCAGGCCGCAGACCATCCTCGTGTCTCTCCCTCAAGCAGCAGAGACATTTCTGCCCACAAGGAGGCCAGAGGGATGGAGGGGAGGCGAGTTCCCGCTCATCCTGTGAGCTTGGCTCGGAACCTCAGCGGTGTGACCTTGGGAGAGCCACTCTACCTCTCTGTGCCTCATTTCTCTAGCTGTACAGCAAAGAACTATGGCCCCCAGGGCTGCCAAGGGCTGTCTCGCTCCCGGCTGCAGCGGAGGCACTGCCTCTTCCAGGAAGCCTTCCTGGTGCCAAGGTGGCCCGTGACCCCTGTAGACAATGGCTATGTGGGATTCCTTTTTTTTTTTTTTTGTCAGTCCTGGGGCTTAAATGCAGTGCCTAGGCACTGTCCCTGAGCTTCTTTTGCTCAAGGCTAGCGCTCTACCATGTGAGCCACAGCACCACTTCTGGCTTTTTCTGTGTATGTGGTACAGAGGAATGGAACCCAGGGCTTCATGCATGCAAGGCAAGCGCTCCACCACTAAGCCGCCTTCCCAGCCCCTGGCCGTGTGGGATTCTGAGACCCTGTTCCACGCTCTCGTGTGAGCAGTGGTAGGGCAGACACTGCGTCTCACCCACCACCCTGTCCCCAGGAATGAAGAAAGGATCGAATAAATGAATAAATGAGTGAGTGGGTGAGTGAATGAAGTCCAGGGTGCCCCAAGCCTGCGAGGATTCCAGCCCTGAGACAGCCCCCTCTCTGTCAGGGCTAGACCCCACAGACTCAGCTGAAACCAGCCAGGACCTAGCCCCATTCTGGATTGATTCCCCTTCAATCACAGCGGCTCTGTCCCAACTCTGCGTGCCCATGGCTCCCAAGCAAGTCCCAGTGCCCAGAGCCCAGGCCTGGCAGTCGGGCCTCCAGGGATCACAGCGCAGGCCGGGCGCCAGCTGCACAGAGGCCCAGCGCCCCAGTCCGAGCTGGCTGCTCGGCCGACCAGGCCGCATGCTAGTGACCCGGCCTGAGGTTGGCTGTGAGGACTGTTGGGTTGTCTGTCTGTCATCTGTCTGCCTGTTCTCTTGCTATGCATTAGTCTGGAAAAACCCACACGTTCACTGCCAATAGCTACGCGAGTGACCCCCGGGTGGACGATTAAACCAGACCACCCTGGAGGAGACAAGATGGCAGCCCTGACCATGGTGTAGACGGCGGACCCCACGCCAGAACTGCCCGTCACGCCACATCAGGCTGTGTGGCCATGAATGCTTACAGCACCCTGCTTTGAGCCAGTTGGCCCCCCAGCTGGGCCCCGCCCCTCCCACCCTGGAGCCCAGGCAGAGGGGCGGGGCGGGGCCAGGCTGGGCCGGGCCTGGTGCACTCACATCCAACCTCCAGCTGGATCTGAGCAGAGGCGTTGCCCAGCTCGTTGACGGCTCGGCAGGTGTAGATGCCCACGTCCCGCTCCTGGGCCGCTGGGATCCGCAGGGTTCCCGGGCTGGAGCCCTCAGGCGCCAGAATCATCTCCAGAGCCCCTGCAGCGGAAGGGTACAGGGTACAGAGCCGGCCCAGGCGGATGTCCGGCCTCCACGGACACGTGGATCAAGCAAACCAGCTTCCCCTACACCATGGAACTCTGCTCTCCCCCAGGAAGTGAGAGGACATCGACTGCAAAGAAATGCGTGGGCCTGGAGAAAATGATGTCAAGAGAAGTCAGGGGTCTGGAGATGTGGCTCAGTGGTAGTGTTGGCCTAGCATGCATGAAGCCCTGGGTTCGATTCCTCAGTACCACATACACAGAAAAAGCTGTGGCTCAAGTGGTAGAGCGCTAGCCTTGAGCAAAAGAAGCCCAGGCCCTGGGTTCAAGCCCCAGGACTGGCCAGAGAGAAAAAGGCGGGGGAGGGGGGAGGGGGTATGTCAAGCCCAGAGAGACCAATTACATGTGTTTTCTCTCCTGGGTAGATGCTAGTACTAATTTACAGATGTACATGTAAATGCATCCAGACTTGCATGCAAGTGTACACACATGTATTAACTGAAGCATGGTATTTGCAGGGGAGAATTCAAGTGGTGCAATTCTCTAGAAAAACTCACTGTCCAAAAAAAATGAACACCAGGAAGGAAATTGAGAAGTGCAGGAGGAGGGGAGAGGTACGCGAGCGAAGAGAGGAGGTATGGAGTATACGATCATAATGTTCAATGCACATGCAATGAAATTTCTTTTTTGGTTGGTTGTGGGGCTTGAACTCTGGGCCTGGGCGCTGTCTCTCAGCTCTTCAGCTCAACGCGAGCGCTCTAACACTTGAGCCACAGCGCCACTTCCAGTCTTCTAGTGGTTTATTGGAGATAAGAGTCTCAGGGACTTTCCTGCCTGGGCTGGCTTTGAACTGTGATCCTCAGATCTCAGCCTCCTGAGTAGCTAGGATCCCAGACATGAGCCACCGACGCCCAGCTGCAATGGAATTGAACTCTGGGCCTGGGCACTGTCCCTCAGCTCTTCACCTCAAAGCTACGCTCTACCACTTGAGCCACAGTGCCACTTCTGGCTTTTTTTTTCTGCTTATGTGGTGCTGAGGAATCTAACCCAGGGCCTCATGCATGCAAGGCAAGCACTCTACCACTGAGCCACCTTCCCAGCCCTGCAATGGAATTTTTTAAATTGAGGGGAGGGTGGGGAGGGGAGGAGACCAGCAGAAGGGGTGACGTAGATTGAAATGCAATGTACTCAGAAACCGATTTGTTGAGCAGCAACTCCTTTATACAACGAATTAAAGTTAATACAAATATAATTTAATAAATAGTGGCTCCGAGCTGGGCGCTGGTGGCTCATGCCTGTCATCCCAGCTACTCAGGAGGCTGAGATTTGAGGATCACAGTTTGAAGCCAGCCAGGGCAAGAAAGTCCATGAGACTTTTATCTCCCATGAACCATCAGAAAATCAGAAGTGGAGCTGTGGCCCTAACGCAGGGTCAGCGCCCAGGTCCTGAGTTCAAATCCCACAGCTGACAAAAAAAAAGTGGCTTTGGGCAGGTAGAGCAGCCGACACAGAGCCAGGAGTTGGACCGCTGGAACATCTCTGAGCCCAGGGTTGGGGGGAGAAGGGGGGCTGTGACCGGATCCCAGACGGAGGGAGGTCACCGGTGGGGTGCGGCTGGGTGGGACCGGCTGAGGAGCCCTGCGGTGGGAGCCGAGCCCGAGGGCCAGGCTTGCTCTAACCCCACACAGAACCAGGCAGTCCCGGGGGGACCCCCCACAGCGTACCTCGATACCAGATGACCCGGGGCGGGGGGACCCCAGACACCACGCACGCCAGCACAGCCTCTTCGCCCACAGCAGCCAGCACCACGGCGCGCACCGCAGAGGCGGACGGGGGGTCTGTGTGGGGAGGACACGGGGTGTGACACCCCACAGGGCCCCTCCCTGTCCCACCCTGCCCCCTGCCTGCCCAAGCAGCTGGCCCTCACGCCTACCCCAGGACTCTTGCCTGGCCTCTGTTCCTGCCGCTCCCATGGCTGGCCCCTCACCCCCCCTGCACGCCCTGCTCTGGGCTCCTCTGCCTTGGCGGGCACCTTGGTTACCTGTCTGAGGGGTTGTGTCTCCCCACCAGCATATAAGTCCCCTGGACAGGGTCTACATGCTCATTCTTGAGCCCCCAGGCTCACCACAGGTGCCCAGTGTTTGGGGGAGTGGTGGGAAGGGGGGAGACCGCCCCTGCAGCCCCCGTGGCCCCAGTACCTGTGTAGTAGAGGGTAACCGTCTCCTCGTCTGTGCCAACTTCATTCGTGGCCCGGCAGCTGTAATTCCCAGCATCCTCTGGGGCTAAGTCCCGAATGAGCAGAGTCCCCTGGGCGTCCACGCGGATTCTGGAGTTGGGCCACAGAATGTGTGAGGTCCCCGAGGGTGGCGCCTCCGGCTCGTCTACAAACCCGCCGCCATCCCCTTGGACCGCCATCCGTCTGCGCCGCCCTGGGCCCGGCGGGAGCCAGGCGCTTCACTCATCTTCTTGAATTCAAGAGGTTCAGGGACATAAAGCAACTTGCCCCAGGTCACACAGCCCAAACCTCCCAGGCTGGACCCAGAGCCTGAGCTCTGGGTGGGCGGGGCCACACCGGGGACTATCCCCCCACCCTCCTCAGATCCCATCCCAGAGGGCTGTCCTGACTCTCCCCAGGCCCCAGGAGGCAGACGGGGCAGGAGCAGCTCCCCACACAGGTGAGGGGACCTGAGCATCCCGCCCCTCCGCCGATGCCCCCTCCGCCGCCAGCCTGGGGCTCTGTAGCAGCCTCATCCTCACCTGCTGCCTTCCCGCAGGGCGAGGCCCTCCCGGCTCCAGGAGATGTGGGGGGCAGGGAGCCCCGAGGCTGAGCAGCTGACCTTCACCTCCACACCCTGAGAGAAGCTCTGGGATCTGGTGTTGATGCTGACCTTTGGGGCCTCTGCAGCCCAAGGGTGGCGGAGAAGGAGCCGTCAGGGGCGGCCTGGGCCCCCACAGTGCCCCAGAGGGAGGCCTCGAGGGCTAGGACCCCACAGGAGCGTCCCCAGAAACTGGGGACACTGGGCCCCCCCCAGACCACACACACCACACACTCTCATATGCATACATGCGCCCCCATATACACACCACACACACACACCACACATGCACGTTTATATACATGCACACATATGCACACACCATACACATGCGTGCGCACACACATCACACACATGCACGTTTATATACATGCACAGTCACACACGTGCATGTTCACATACACTGCACACACATGCACACTGGCCCCCGCCAGCCTGGGAACTGCAGAGCCCTGCTCGGGGCTGAGCACAGGGGAGGCTTCAGGGCCTCCGCTCTCAGAGCTAGGGACCGTCTCATCTCCAGTGACCTCCCAGGACTGTCCTGGCATTGTCCCTGAACTTAAGGTTCCATTTGTGCATCTGTGCTGCCTACAAGGCTCACAAGCCCCTCCCATGCCCTGGCAGGCATCACTAATGGATCCTCTCCTGCAGAGCTCCTGTGCCCTGGCAGGCATCACTAATGGATCCCCTCCCACAGAGCCTAGGCAGACCCCCTGCATCCTGCCTAGTCAACTAAGAGCCACCCACACAAGAAAAGGGGTCCATCGAAGTCCTGGGGGACCTAGGCCTCACCCAGGCCTTGGAAGTCCCGGGCAGGTATACTTTCCTCTGCCTCCTCCACACAATCTGTGCCACACACATCTGAGTTCTGAGCATTCTGTCCCTGCCCTGTGCACTTACCAGCTAAGAGCTACGTATGGAGTGGAAGGGGGATTAGAGAAGGAGGGGCCCAGTGACATGGGAATAAAACAAGCAACAGGGAAACTGGCCAGGTCTGCAGCAGTAGACACTTAGGTTAGATACTAGCATGAACTTCTCAACAAGGAGAACTGCTAAGCTCTGACTTGTCTGCAGGACCCTCTTTCCCTGAGATCTGAGCCACAGGTAGGTGTCCCGGGCTTCCTGTTGAATGGGGGTAGGAGCAGGGGCAGTAGGGGTAGGAAGAGCCTCACCTCGCACCAGGAGCCAGGTGGATGCCCTCGAGGCCCCGTTGGCGTTGCTGGCCACACACTGGTACTGGCCACCATCACTGGGGACGACGCCCCTGACCTCCAGGGACTGGTCCGCCAGCCGGGAGACCCGGCCCTCGGAGACCGGCAGGACTTGCCAGTCGCGGACCCACGTGAGGTTGTAGGGGTCGTCACTCAGGACGTGGCAGGCCAGGAGGGCCGTCTCCCCGGGGGACACGGTCACGTTGGCACCAGGGCGCAGCTGCGGTGGGGGGTCTGCGGGGACAGAGCGTGAGAGAGCAGCTGTGGTCGCAGCTGGCAGCGCACGCGTGCACATCTGCTCTCCACCGGGCTGCCCAGCCGCAGGGGTCCCCACACCCCACACACACACATAAACCACAGCCAGCCGCAGCTTGAGAAAGCCCTACAGGGCTCTTCACACCTCCGGAGCCAATGACCTCACCCCAGGGAATACAGAAAGCTCCAGAACAGTTGGCAGCACACGAAACTCCTCCACGCCCTCACTGCCAATGTTGAAATGAGACCTCGGCCCGAGGGCGGGAGAAGCCAGGGCCTCGGCCGTCTGCACAGACAGACGCAGGGACACAAGCTGACACCAGGTCTACAGGCCCCAGGGGCTGAGCCATGGCCAGCAGGCGGAGGAGTGAGAGCACAGAGCTGAGTGTGTGGCTCACACCTGTAATCCCAGCCACTCAGGAGAAGCCAGCCTGGGCAGAAAAGCCTATAAGACTCTTATCTAAATAACCAGCAAAGCTGGCACCCGTGGCTCACGCCTGTCATCCTAGCTATTCAGGAGGCTGAGATCTGAGGATCACGGTTCAAAGCCAGCCAGGGGCAGGAAAGTCCAGGAGACTCTTATCTCCAATAAACCACTAGAAAACCGGAAGTGGCGCTGTGGCTCAAGCGGTAGAGAGCTCACCTTGAGCTGAAGAGCTGAGGGGCAGAGCTCAGGCCCAGAGTTCAAGCCCCACGACTGACCAAAAAAAAAGAAAAAAACCCAGGAAAAAGCCAGAGTGGAGCTGTGGCTCATGTGGTAGAGCACTAGCATTGAGCAAAAGGCCAAGCAAGAGAGTGAATTCAAGCCCAGTACTAGCATGCATGCCTACACACACACACACACAGTATAGAAGCGATGATTCCACTTTGGTTAAAATGCTCACACAGAGAAAAGACCTTCAAGGAAGTTAATCATCAAATCATCAAAACACTAGGTCAGAGGGACTGCAGATGGCTTTGATCTGTTTTGTTCTTTTTTTTTTTTTTGGTCAGTTATGGGGCCTGAACTCTAGGCCTGGGCGCTGTCCCTCAGCTCTTCAGCTCAAGAGTGCTCTACCACTTGAGCCACAGCGCCACTTCTGGCTTTTTCTGTGATGTGGTGCTGAGGAATCCAACCCAGAGCCTCATGCATGCCAGGCAAGCGCTCTTCCACTGAGCCGCCTTCCCAGCCCCTTTTTGCTCCTTTCTGTCTCTGTTCTTCCTGCCACGTGCCCGTAGCTCTTTAGAACTCATTTTTTGTCCTTTCCTTTCCTGCCAGGCAGCTTAGGTTTGTGACTTTTATTTATTTATTGGTCAGTCATGGGACCTGAACTCTGGGCCTGGGTGCTGTCCCTTAGCTCATTAGCTCAAGGCGAGTGCTCTACCACATGGCCACAGTGCCACTTCCAGTTTTCTGGTGGTTCATTGGAGATAAGAGTTTCATGGAAGTCGGGCACCAGTGGCTCACGCCTGTCATCCTAGCTTACTCAGGAGGCTGAGGTCTGAGGATCGCAGCTCAAAGCCAGCCCGTGAGACTCTTATCTCCAATAAACCACTTGAAAACCGGAAGTGGCGCTGTGGCTCAAGTGGTAGAGCGCTCACCTTGAGCTGAAGAGCTGAGGGACAGCGCCCAGGCCCAGAGTTCAAGCCCCATGACCCCCCAAAAACATAAAAATAAAAAAATAAAAAAGAGTCTCATGGACTTTCCTGGCTGGGGCTGGCTTTGAACTGCAGTCCTCAGATCTCAGCCTCCTGAGTAGCTAGGATGACAGGTGTGAGCCACCAGTGCCCGGCCAGGTGCCGATTTCATTTTTGAGGCCCTCTTTGGAGCCCGGCAGGGTCATGCAGATGCTTGAAGGACCAGACAGTCAGGGGTGGCCTGAGGGCTGGGCAGGAGACAGGAGACCCACGCTGGGGTTTCCAGCCTTTGTCTAACTGGCACCCCGGCCTGTTGCTGGGCGAAACAGCCCTAAGTGGGGTGGGAAGGCAGAGGCCTGGGGACCCCCGCACTCTAGGTGCGGGACGGCCGCAGCTGGGGCCGATGGGGCCGGAAGCTCTGAGGGCGGGTGGGCGGCGCGGGGCAGGCCCCCGCGTACGGACCTGTGATGACCACCTGGGTCTGTGCGCGGCCGGTCCCCGCCTGGCTGACGGCCGTGCACTGGTACAGGCCCTCCTCCGCCTTGGAGGCCCTCGGGATCTCCCAGCTGCTGTTTCCCGAGGCCCTGGGAAGAACAGGCATTAGAGACAGAGGTGAGGGGCGCTCGCCAGGACCTGTGAGGGGCCGCCGGCCTCATTCCCGCTCTGAAGGGAGACATTCGGTGACCTGAGAAGGCTCTCCAGCCTCCTGCACCCCAAATGTTCTGACCCTAGAGCGGGGTCCCTGTGGGGTGACGGCCCCCCTGGGGAGGCTCAGGACACTCACTGTTCCCCACTCCTGGCCAGGCTGCGGTCCCCAGCTGGCACCCCAGGAACACACCCGCGACCAAAGCCGAGCCCTCCCTCCTGTCCTCCCCCCCCACTCCCCTCCACCCCCCACTCACGGCAGCCGCCGCTCCTCGCCCAGCCTGGCGCCATCCCGCCACAGCTGCAGCCGGAAGGGGAGGGCGCTGTGCACCGCGCAGGACACCAGCAGGGGCTGCCGCAGGTAGCCGTGGATCCTGGGGGGCATGCTCACCAGGGGGGTACCTGCGGGCGAGAACGGGGTTCGGAGCCCCTCCCTGCCACCCCAGGGCCCAGCCTCCAACCCAGCGATGGTCAGGGACCGCCGGAGCTCGAGGCCAGCCAGGCCCCTGCTGGCTCTAAGCCTCCCACCACCCTGGTGAACCAGGCACCGTGCTGCTCTGAGGAACACGTGGAAAGGGCTGCGCGGCGAGCATGTGGAGACTGTGCACGTGGCACTCGTGGCTTACGGGTAGGCTACGTAACACCAGACAGGCCGGGAGGGAGGGACCGCCCCCCACTCCCATTATTGTCTGTAACCAGTCAGTTCTGAAATCTGAAGAAGGGGTCTCCAGGGGTGTGGGTGACTCTTTCTCTCCTTTGCCTGGATGGTTGGTTAAGCCTTTCCATATGTGTATATAATGCCAAGCTCTAGCAGCTTATGCCTGGAATCCTAGCTACTCAGAAGGCAGAGATCTGAGGCTCACGGTTCAAAGCTAGCCCCCATAGGAAAGTCCATGAGATTCTTATCTTCCAATAAACCACCAGAGAGGCCAAAGTGGAGGCATGATGCAAGTGGTAGAGCGTCAGCCTTGAGTAAAAAAACAAAAACAAAGCCAAGCAACAGGGCCAGGCCTTTGCCACGCATCTATCATCCTAGCTACAGCAGAGGCTGAGATCTGAAGACCAAGGTTCAAAGCCAGCCTGGGCAAAGAAGTCTGGGGAGACTCTTTATCTCCAATTAAGCTGTGTGCCACGTGGCTCAAGTGGTCCAGCTCCAGCCACGAGCAGGTAAGCTCAGGGACAGCATCCAGGCGCCTGCGTTCAAGCCTTAGTACTGACACAAAAATAAAAATTAACAAAAAATAGCACGATGGGAAGATGGTTGTGAACACAAAGTTCACACACATTTTTCTGAGATAAGACAAGACTTCAAGGCAGCCTCACAGCTTGTGATGAGTCCCTTGGGGCCTGCATTGGACACCAGCCCCTCCCTGCCTGCCCTTGTCAGGGGGTGACACTCTTTCCCTAGCTGTTGGAATTGCTTCTGTTAGGGATGTCTGAGAAATTCCCGTCTCCCAGGTCAGCTGTGGCCCTGGGGTGCGGCCAGCCCCCCCCCCGCCCCGTTCCCTCCCCATCCTCCCTAGAGCAGCAAGGAGCCAGTGAGATGCTCTAAGCGTGAGGCTATGTGCTGGGCCTCCACAGAGTACGAGCTGGGGCGGGCAGGGCGGTGACATCACATCGCAGGCTCCCCTGCCATGTCCCCAGGGAGAAGGCGGTTGGACTAGCCAGCCACGTCCTCAGCTGTGCTTTCCGTGAGCTGGGGGACCCGGAAACCCCAGGCCTATTCCCAAACCCAGAGCCTGCCTCCGGCTCTAAGGCAAACCCCCAGCTTGGAAACCCGGCAGGGGTTAAACGCTGCACGGCATCCTCCCTCTCTGCTCTCATGCAGACTGGCTGTGCTCCAAAGCCCTGGGTGCACCAAAGGATGGAAGGAAAATGGGGAGGGGGCACTCCATGGGGTGCTGAAATTCCTGAAAGATAAGAGCTTCCTGAGGGAGTTGGGGGGGCAGTGACCTCGGGACACACCCCCAGAGCCAGCAAAAGCATGACCCAGATGGGGTCAGACGGAGAGGCTCCATTTCTCCTCTGGTGATGTAAGGGTAACAGTGGCTGCCCAGCCTGGACAGCCATGTCCACAGGACCACGGCCAACTCACAGAGCCCTCAGAGCATCCCTGAGAGCTGGGGGGCACGGGGAGCTCTGTCTCCTCATCAAGACACCCCAGCACTTCCTTGAGGAGGAATCTCAGCAAAGAGCCATCCGCTTCAAAATGGAGACAAATGCGTCCAAGGCTAGGAGATTTATCTCCAATCAACCAGCAAAAAAAGCCACAGTGGATGTGGCAGAGAGCCAGCTATGAGTGCAAAAGCTGAACGAGAGCAAGAAACCCTTGAGTTCAAGTCCGAACACCATGGTGGGGGACAGCCAGAGGGATGGATAAACATGAATAGATGGCTGGCTGGCTAAATAAGCGGACAGGTGTAGAGCTCAATGGAGGGATGGACAGATAGATGGGTGAACAGATGGACAGATGCCTAATTGGATGCATGGAGGCACAGACAGACGGATGCGCGGATAGATGAATAGACAGATGCATGCATGCGTGGATGGACATACATAAAAAGCTAACTGGCTAGATGAGTAAGTGAGTGGATGGGCAGATGGACAGACGCATGGGTGGATGAATTCATGGATAGATGGACAAATGAATGGGTGGATGGACAGGTGGATAGGCAGATACACGGAGGGAGGGATGGGTAAATGGAAGGATGGATGGTGGAAGGAAGGAAGGAAGAAAAGATAAAAATGACCTTGAGCTAAGGACCTTATCTAAGTCATTTAGTATATCTTAGAAGCTTGAAGACTCTAGCCTAAGCAGAGAAGGCCTCCAGGAAGACGTCCAGGCCTGCGTGTGCACATGCACACGCATACGTGTACCAGAGTGCTGGGGACAGAGGTCACACTCACCGGAGTCTGCCCCGCTGTAGGAAACTCCGGAGACTCGGACCAGGGGGCTCCCTGTGTGGTCTTTGCCCTTCACCTTGAGGTAGAAGCGTTCCTGGGGGGCATGGAAGGAGGGCCCACCCCACAGCTGGTGGGTGGACTCATTGGACAGCAGCTGTGTGGGCAGCGTCAGGAGGGTCCGTCCTGAGCTGTGGGCCAGCTCCACGGAGTCCAAGTGGCCGGACGCCTGCAGGCCCGTCGAGTTGATCAGCAGGGAGATGGGCACGCCTGGGGAGGGAGGGCGAGGGTCAAGCAATGGCACTGACCAGGGTTCTGAGACCAGGCCTCAGAGACTCTGCTGACCGGCCCTCCCCACACGCCCGCCTTCGCCACCCGGTGCCCTCCACTGCTGGGGGGGGGGAGCTTGCCCTCCACTGCTGGGGGAGGGGCTTGCCCTCCACTGCTGGGGGGGGGAGCTTGCCCTCCACTGCTGGGGGTGGGGGGAGCTTGCCCTCCACTGCTGGGGGTGGGGGGAGCTTGCCCTCCACTGCTGGGGGTGGGGGGAGCTTGCCCTCCACTGCTGGGGGTGGGGGGAGCTTGCCCTCCACTGCTGGGGGTGGGGGGAGCTTGCCCTCCACTGCTGGGGGTGGGGGGAGCTTGCCCTCCACTGCTGGGGGTGGGGGGAGCTTGCCCTCCACTGCTGGGGGTGGGGGGAGCTTGCCCTCCACTGCTGGGGGGGAGCTTGCCCTCCACTGCTGGGGGGGGAGCTTGCCCTCCACTGCTGGGGGGGAGCTTGCCCTCCACTGCTGGGGGAGCTTGCCCTCCACTGCTGGGGGGGGAGCTTGCCCTCCACTGCTGGGGGGGGGCTTGCCCTCCACTGCTGGGGGGGAGCTTGCCCTCCGCTGCTGGGGGGAGCTTGCCCTCCACTGCTGGGGGTGGGGGGAGCTTGCCCTCCACTGCTGGGGGGGCTTGCCCTCCACTGCTGGGGGTGGGGGGAGCTTGCCCTCCACTGCTGGGGGGGGCTTGCTCTCCATTGCTGGGGGAGCTTGCCCTCCACTGCTGGGGGTGGGGGGAGCTTGCCCTCCACTGCTGGGGGTGGGGGGAGCTTGCCCTCCACTGCTGGGGGGGGCTTGCTCTCCATTGCTGGGGGGGGCTTGCCCTCCACTGCTGGGGGGGGAGCTTGCCCTCCACTGCTGGGGGGGGAGCTTGCCCTCCGCTGCTGGGGGGGAGCTTGCCCTCCACTGCTGGGGGAGCTTGCCCTCCGCTGCTGGGGGGGAAGCTTGCCCTCCACTGCTGGGGGTGGGGGGAGCTTGCCCTCCACTGCTGGGGGAAGCTTGCCCTCCACTGCTGGGGGGGGAGCTTGCCCTCCACTGCTGGGGGTGGGGGGAGCTTGCCCTCCACTGCTGGGGGGGGAGCTTGCCCTCCACTGCTGGGGGGGGGCTTGCCCTCCACTGCTGGGGGGGAGCTTGCCCTCCGCTGCTGGGGGAAGCTTGCCCTCCACTGCTGGGGGTGGGGGGAGCTTGCCCTCCACTGCTGGGGGGGCTTGCCCTCCACTGCTGGGGGTGGGGGGAGCTTGCCCTCCACTGCTGGGGGGGGCTTGCTCTCCATTGCTGGGGGGGGCTTGCCCTCCACTGCTGGGGGTGGGGGGAGCTTGCCCTCCACTGCTGGGGGGGGAGCTTGCCCTCCGCTGCTGGGGGGGGGAGCTTGCCCTCCACTGCTGGGGGAGCTTGCCCTCCGCTGCTGGGGGGGGAGCTTGCCCTCCACTGCTGGGGGTGGGGAGAGCTTGCCCTCCACTGCTGGGGGTGGGGGGAGCTTGCCCTCCACTGCTGGGGGGGGCTTGCCCTCCACTGCTGGGGGGGCTTGCCCTCCACTGCTGGGGGGGCTTGCCCTCCACTGCTGGGGGGGGGCTTGCTCTCCATTGCTGGGGGGCGCTTGCCCTCCACTGCTGGGGGTGGGGGGAGCTTGCCCTCCACTGCTGGGGGGGCTTGCCCTCCACTGCTGGGGGGGGCTTGCTCTCCACTGCTGGGGGGGGCTTGCTCTCCACTGCTGGGGGGTGGCTTGCCCTCCACTGCTGGGGGGGAGCTTGCCCTCCACTGCTGGGGGGGCTTGCCCTCCACTGCTGGGGGGGCTTGCTCTCCACTGCTGGGGGGGGAGCTTGCCCTCCACTGCTGGGAGGGGGCTTGCCCTCCACTGCTGGGGGGGGGCTTGCCCTCCACTGCTGGGGGGTGCTTGCTCTCCACTGCTGGGGGGGGCTTGCCCTCCACTGCTGGGGGGGGAGGGCTTGCTGCTGTCCCTGGTGCTGAAACACCATTGCTACATCCTGCTTTCCCCTGGCAGATCAGGAAGGTGGTGTGTCATCCCACCCTCCCTGTTAACAGCGGCCTCCAGGGATGGCCTGGGATACGTGGACACCCCAGCCGAGGCCTCGGACAAGCCCAGCCTCTCTCCGTGCTCAGCTGTGCGTCCTTCGCTTTTCTGTCCTGCTGGGAAGGTGCACTTTGCACACCAGCAGAGCTGGACTCGGCGCTCATCCTTCGCCTGGCTGGCCTGCGACCCTGGGTCAGGCTGGGCCTCCCTTTGCAGACGGCCATCTTTCCCTCTCAGATCCCAACTACTAGGAGTCTGTGGGTGTGATCAGGTGGCTGAATGCTTTTCTTTTCCTTCCTTCCTTCCTTCCTTCCTTCCTTCCTTCCTTCCTTCCTTCCTTCCTTCCTTCCTTTCGACAGCCACCCACAGCCAGACCTGCCCCCACCCCGCTGCCGCTGCAGGCAGCTCGGCACTGTCTGCAGGGTCAAGGGCATGGAAGGTCAAGCGCACAGAGGTCAAGGGCACGCACCTTGCAGGGGCCACTCGATGGTGTGGCTGAGGTCCAGCGAGGGCTGCGTGGAGAAGCCAGCTCGGAAGTCGATGTCGCTGATGCCTGTGATCCTCACGGAGTGGCGGCCACTGCTGTAGACCTAGCACAGCCGCGGCCTGGTCACCACAGCATGGGACCCCCGGACCCCAGGTCCAGGGCAGGAGCCTCTGGCCCGGCCTGGTCTCCCCCACGCTGGCACGGCCCATGCTGGCATGTGGCGTTCTGTCTACGCCGGCGCACGGGCAGCTCCCCGGCTCCCACAGGAGAACAGATGACCCCACCGCCACCCACCTTCACTCTGGAGGCTGCTCAGCCTCTCAGCGCTCCCCTGCATGGTGGGTCCCCATCCGTCCCCCGCAAGTCCAACTTCCAGCCTTGTTTTTCCCATTGGAAACTTTCTTGAAGGTTCCCTAATCCAGCTCAAACTGGGATGGACCTCCACCGGGTTGGACCGGTTGCTATGGTAACGCCCCCTCCCGTGCCCCTCACACTCCCTGCTGCACCTTGATGGACCAGAGCCCCGGATGCTCAGGCTTGAAGGCCACGACCCGGGCTGAGTCGGGAATGTTGAGAAGCACGTTGAGGCCCTCGTCCTTCTGCAGGATCCTCCCTGTGGAAGCCGGGGTGCTGCTCAGCCCCCAGCACCCTCTCAGGGTCCTAGGGGTCCCAGCCTGCCTCTGGGAACCCACACAGCTGACAGAGGGTAGGCATTTGGGTCCTGCTGCTTCATGGCCACTGGCCTCACCACTTCCTGGCACCCCTGCTTCCTATTTCTTTTCTTTTTTTTTGGTGGGGGGGTCGGTCGTAGGTCTTGAACTCTGGGCCTGGGCGCTGTCCCTCAGCCTTCAGCTCAAGGCAAGCGTTCTACCACTTGAGCCACAGTGCCACTTCCAGTCTTCTGGTGGTTTGTTGGAGATAAGAGTCTCACGGACTTTCCTGCCCAGGCTGGCTTTGAACCGTGATCCTCAGATCTCAGCCTCCTGAGTAGCTGGGATGACAGGCATGAGCCACCAGTGCCCGGCCCTGCTTCCTATTTCTGGGCCTGAAGGCCCCGCAGCCCTGGGTCTCTTGGTCCCGCCTCCCGGTTCCCCAGTTCCATTTCAGGCGCAGGATGAGGAAGCACCTACCCAGCGGGTCCCTGACTTCGATGTGGGGCCCGGGCCCGCTCAGGGAGATGGTGACCTCCTTCAGGCTGGGGTCAAAGGGGACACGCCAAGTGTGCTCGCCCTCCTCCTCGTGGTCAGTGGACAGCAGGTGCACCTTGGAGGCCCGGATCTCCGACTCCACCCACTTCAGCACCTGCGCAGAGGCGGGGTGAGACGTGGAGGTCAGCCCGGCCACTGGCGCCCAGGACTGGGCCCCTTCAGACAAGCCGTCCAGGTCACCCAAGGCCATCCACTCCACTGACCTCCCCTGGGCCTGAGTCACACACCAACCTCCTGTGGGTGCCCAGCTGGGATGCATGAATGGCAGTGCCCAGCAGATTCAGCCTGGGGGAGGAGTGGGAGCTTGGGGCACCTCCACCAGGAAGCCCTCTGGAGTAAGCCCCAGGACCTGGAAGACCGCCCCCCCTCCCCGGCCCATGCAGCCCATAACAGCCCCCAGGGTGGGTGCTCAGACTGCTCCCAGCAGAGTGCTGACTCTCCACAGGACCAGGAAGTCCTGCCAGGACAGAGGTCTTCTTTTGTAACCAAACATAAACCAAGGAAAAACCTCAACAGGAAATCTGAATGAGCAATATCAGGGTAAACACTCCAGACAGTAGATGACAGGTAGCAAATGACAGTGATCGACGGCGATAGACAGGTGATGGACGGATGGAAGGATAGGTGATGGAAGAACTGGCAGACAGATAATGATGGCTAGATGGACCAGCATATGGATGGATAGATAGGTGATGGATGGATTGGCAGAGAGCTAGCTAGCTAGCTAGACAGACAGAGGGACAGATGGGTGGATGGCAAGATATGGATGGACAGGTAGACAGGTGAGGGGTGGATTGGAAAATAGATCAATAGACAGAGTGATGGATGGATGGACAGACAGATGGTAGGTTATGGATGGATAGGTAGATAAGTGATGGATGGAGAGATGGTTGGATGGACGGATAGGTGACAGATGGATAGGTAATAAATAGACAAAAGCAGTGCTGTCCTTCACATCAACGATCGCCGCTAGCACCATGTCTGGGTTTCTGATCATTCCCCACTAGGGCTCCCGGGGAAATGAGGGCAGCAGACAACTTATAAAGTAAGCCTGGAGACTATGCTTCCATAAAGCAAAGAAGAGCTCAAAGACAAAGGAGGATACGCCAAAGGAAGCTCCCCTCGCCTAAAGCTGAGATAACCGAGACCTGAAAGAATAGCTAGAAACACACTGGGTAGTGGTGAAGGGGGGAAGGAGGGAGGGAGGGAGGGAGGGAGGGAGGGAGAGAGAGAGAATTCCAACAGTAACAGCTGCCTCTCCTCCACTGACTTGCTCACTCAAGGAGCTCAGCATGGCTGCCCAACCCATGAGATGAAAGCCTGGTGGGGAACGAGGCGCCACAAAGAGCCAGCGCCACCCCAGACACACGAGCCACAAAGGGAAGCGTGGCCCCCGCTCAGGGCAGAGCTGCCCGTCACCACTGACGCGCAGCAGTCGGTCACGGTCACGGCATTACCGCCTCACCCACACTCCCTAGGTCTTTTAGCTTTGGTTATTTATTTTTAAAATTAGATCCCCACCATCCTCCTGATTGCATTTCCCAAGTAGCTGGGATGACAGGCATTGGCCACCACGCCCAGCTTTTATTGGTTGAGATGGGGTCTTGCAGACGTTTTTGCCCAGGCTGGCTTTGAACTGTAATCCTCCTAGTCCTCGTATCCAGCAGGGACAGGCGTGGCTGTGGCATCCTGAGCCCAGTGCCAGTGTGCCTGAAGGGCTTGCTGACTACCAGCTGACCAGCCAGGCCTTTACCCCAAGCCGGGGTAGGCCGGGAATGGGGCAAGGGAAATGCTCAGAGGCACCCTGGGAAAGAATCAGAAGAGTCCTTCTCCATTCGCAGTGTCATAAAAAGAGGAGTGGGGTCCAGACTTGAGCAGACTTAGACGTAGCTACCCACTTCATTAAATCCTGATCTGATGAAATCTACTATAAACACCAGGTGCCCGGGGCTCGCGCCTGTCAGCTTGGCTCCTCAGGAGGCTGAGATCTGAGGATCACGGTTCCAAGCCCGCCTGGGAAGGAAAGTCCTAGGAGACTCATCGCCAATAAACCACCAGAAAGCCAGAAGCGAAGCTGTGGCTCGAGGTGGTAGAGCACCAGCCTTTAGCAAAATGCTCTGGGATAGTACCCAGGCCCTGAGTTCAAGCCTCAGAACAGGTACACACATAAAAAATAAAGCACTGAATCGAGTGAGTGGCTTCACTCTTGTAACTACCGCAAGTCTTTGGAACTCTTCATAGTGATTCACTTAAGTGACAGTCATTTGAAAGTGACAAGTTCGCCATGACTCTTGACAGATGCCTGAGCAAGGCCAGGAGTATACAGCAGCTTGCTGACCTAGCCAACCAGAAATAAACTCATTCTGTTCGTTTCAGGAAGGAATGCTTAGACGTTAGCCCTGGGGATTGATTAGCAATGCCTGCCTTGGATACGGTTGGACTGTGGTGCCTTGCGTGCTACCCACTGGCCATCCTGGCTCAAAACTCGCAGTTGTCCGTGTGACCTTTGCCCACCATGTGATCTTCCACACAAGGGAAGAAGAGGAAGCAGCTGGAAGATTTGCCTGAGATTCAGGAATCGGATTTGTTTTTGCTCACACTGAGCTAGAACATATGTGGCAAGATTTCATTCATCATGGGACAAGAATTCAGTATTCTGAAAGCTTGCTTGTTTTTCTTAATACTTTGGAGCTACTTCATTCTTTGTCATTTATTTTTGCCTAGCTTTCTAAGTAATGTGTCTGTTGAAAAGCCGCCCCCCCCACCCCCCCCTTGGCTTGGCCAAGGACTGGGGACAAACTTCTCCATCCATACAGAGGGGAAGGAAAGCGGCAGCACCAAGGATTCCCAGCTGGAGAGACAGACGGACAGACAGACCAGCCGCAAGGGGAAAGTTCAGAAAGCAGAGGGGCAGCTCTGGGAGCTCTGTGTGCTCCCTCTGAGCCTCAGGGAGGGTCAGGAAGGAGTCATCAACCCGCAAAGCTCCCGGGAGGCAGGCAGTGGCAGCCCCAGCCCACATCTCCCTGTGCGTCCCTGGCTACTGTGTCGCAATGTCGCTGCTCGCTGCTGTGCCAGGCTGCTGTGGAGGAAAGCCGCCCAGCGGCTCAGGCGGTCACGGGACCTGAACCCGCGACCCCACGGGCCCTGGCGTGCCCCCCCCCCTGCCCTGGGAGCGAGCCACTGGCCCACAGCACAGCCAGACCTCCTCTGTAGGGCCAGTCTGGGGGTCAGGGCCTCCAGGAGCCCAGTGTGGAATGGGGGAGCCCTTGGAGCAGAGAGCCTTCATTAAGCAAACACAATGTTTATTTAGAGACAATGGCTCTCAGATGTGAGCCTGGGCGCTGGGCGGGAGGGAGGGAGGGAGGGAGGGAGGACGGGAATCTGGCACTGCCGCCAACCAGATGGCTGCTGCTGGACTCTCCTCCATGGCAGATAAATCATCCCCAGAACCTCACCCAGGACACGGCCGGCCGGGGCAGCTGAGGAGAGGGGAGCGAGACAGACGCCAAGGGCGCTGCGTGGGGCTCAGCCACAGATGGGAACACGGAGGCCCCAGCTGCAGGCTGGGAGCCCCGGGGGGGGGGGGGGCGGGGGGCGGGAGGGGGGAGGGTCCTGCCCCTGGTCAGCTGAGGGATCTCCCTAACTCTCCCTGGCTGAGAATGCCTTCCAGAGAGCCCCCCCCAGCAGGATAGCCTCAGGACTCCACCCAGACCCAGAACCATGGGGGCTGGGAAGGGGGAGGGGGGGAGAGGGGGAGGGAGTCCATAGCTAATTCTCACCATGGCTTCCCAGAGGCCAGGGTGTCCTGGCCACCGCCTCTGGGGGTACAACTGTGCACAAGGGGAGATCTCACATACACACGTGCACGCGTGCACACACGCACACACGCACGCACACACATACACACAGCAGCTAAGTCCCCAGCCAAAGGGCTTTCCACACACAGGTACGCGGACCGCACTTCTGCCTTCCTGCCCAGGAGCCCAGGCCTGAAGCACACCCCCGCCCGCCGGCCCCTGGGAAGGGTCCAGGATGAGGTCAGCACTGGGCCCCTCTGGACCTGCTAATCACAGCCACCTGGCAGGAGCCTCGCCCCCACCCCCGCCCCCGCCCCCACCGTCCCAGCAGCCAGCACCCTCCCCACCCCTCCCTCCCTGAGCCCCGCTGATGGCTGAGCTGTCTGAGCCCAGTGCTCTGTACCTGCTGGGTGGACAGCTCCCAGAATGCAATGCAAGGCGGGAGTAGTCCTAGGGGACCGAGGGTAGCCACAGCCCAGTGGTCCCTAAAAAGACAGGGGTCTTGGGGGGAGAGGCTGCAGGAGGAAGGGACACACCCAGCCCTTCGGCCCCTTCCCCCTCTCCATTGTCCTTTACATTCTTTTTCAGTGGTGGGGGTACTGGGGTACTGGGGTACTCAGGATGTGGCTCAAGACTGGGTCTCTACCACTTGAGCCACAGCTCCACTTCCAGCTTTTTGGTGGTGACTGATTAAAGACTCTTGAAGGACTCTCCTGCCCGGGCTGGCTTCGAACCATGATCCATAGATCTCAGCCCCCACCATGATCCCTAGATCTCAGCCCGAGCAGCTAGGATGTCACGCGTGGCTGCTGGCGCGCTGCTGTCCTTCACCGCGTGTGCAGCGGGCGGGCGTGGGCCAGAGCCCGAGGAGGAGCGGGAGTTCTTGGTCTACGGAAATCTGAATGGAAGCGCTCACCATTTGGGCAAATGTTGCCTGTCCCTGCACACAGATGGCAGGAGCTCTAAGTTTTCTCCACACACACACTGCGCGCACACACACACACACACATGCACACACACTGCGCACACACCACACAAGCACACACACTGCGCGCACACACACTGCGCACACACACAGCGTGCACATACCACACACACATGCACACACACGCCACACATGCACAAACACTGCGCGCACACACACATGCACACACACTGCGCACACACACACTGCACGCACATACCACACACACTGCGCGCACACACACACACACGCACACACACTGCGCACACACCACACAAGCACACACACTGCGCGCACACACACTGCGCACACACACAGCGTGCACATACCACACACACACGCACACACACGCCACACATGCACAAACACTGCGCACACACACTGCGCACACACACACATGCACACACACTGCGCACACACACACTGCACGCACATACCACACACACATGCACACACACACCACACATGCACACACACTGCGCACGCACACACACTGCGCACACATACCACACACACATGCACACACACCACACATGCACACACTGCGCACACACACGCACACACACATGCACACACACTGCGCACACAGTGCGCGCACATACCACACACACATGCACACACACACCACACATGCACACTGCGCACACACACACATGCACACACACTGCACACACACTGCGCACGCACACCACACACATGCACACACACCACACATGTGCGCACACACTGCGCACACACACCACACAAGCACACAGACATGCACACACACCACACACATGCGCGCGCACACTGCGCACACACCACACACGCACACTGTGCACACACACACTGCGTGCACATACCACACACATGCACACACACCACGCATGCACACACACTGCGCACACACACCACACATGCACACACACTGCGCACACACACCACACATGCACATACTGCGCACACACACCACACATGCACACACACTGCGCACACACACACACCACACATGCACACATACTGTGCGCACACACCACACATGCACACACACACCACACATGCACACACTGCACACACACCACACATGCAACACTGTGCACACACACCACACATGTGCGCACACACTGCACACACACACACCACAAGCACACACACATGCACACACACCACACACATGCGCACACACTGTGCACACACCACACATGCACACACACTGTGCACACACACACTGCGTGCACATACCACACACATGCACACACACCACACATGCACACACACTGTGCACACACACCACACATGCACACACACTGCACACACACCACACATGCACACACACTGCACACACACACATGCACACACTGCGCACACACCACACATGCACACACACTGCATACACACATGCACACACACTGCACACACCACACACGCATGCACACACATATCACACGTGCACACCCCCACACCCAGCTGCAGCTGGGTGAGCAGCATCTTAGCGTGCCACAGCCACAGGCTGGCTCTACCCGCACAGTTTGGGGACTTCAGAAACTTCTGGAGAGCCCTTCTCCCATGCTAGGCCCTGCTGTCTCCGCTGGAGGATGACCACAGCTGCCCTCGCCTCTTTCCCAGGCTTATAGAGTGTCTGGAAACATCTGGAAGGGGCCAGGGCCAAGGCATGAAACTACGTTCTATGCCTAGGAAAGGAAGGAGCCAGAGCCGGCAGCGGAGGGACAGAGGGACAGACCCGCGCGAGGACCTGCCATGTGCCACCACCTGCCGTCCGCAGGTGCTGGGGGCTGGACCGCAGCAGCCCGGCCCGGCCACGCTGGCTCTCAGCTGCTACAAGGGACCCGGCTCCCAGGCCCTGGCTTCCAGAAGCGGAGGCTGAGCTGTCCTCCCCTCTGCCAGGCCTCCGCGCTGGCTCGGGGCTCGGCGCCAACAAACACAGCCTGCCGCACTGTAGAGAAGCACAAACGCCATCTGTCATCAGGGAGTTAAGGCACGCTAATCTAAACACGGCCCGAGACCCTCCCTCCAGCTCATGCGTACACAGCACAGGACGCGGGCTGGCCCCCGCTCCCGCCTGCCCTCCCAGGGCAGCCGCCGCCAGGGACCGCGCTGTCCACACCAACACCCCCCCCCCCCCCGCCCCCTGCACAGCTGTTTCCTCGGCACCTGCTACATGCCCGTGGCTTAGACAGACTCGGCAAATAAGGGCCTACACGGCCCAGCCTCAGGGAGCCCGCACACAGCCTGGTAATGTGAAATACTCACACAAGCATAAAATGACAATTACACAACACAACCCAGGAAGCTTGGGCGGGTGTGAAAGAGGATTTGACGGTGACAGGAAACAGAGGGTGGATTTCAGTGAAGACTGAGGGATGAGGAGAAGCCAGGAGAGGAGGAGCTGGAGGAACTAGCAGCATGTGCAAAGGGCCTGGGGTAGGAGGAGCAGGGAAGGGTACGCAGGGACCTACAGGTGGGATTTGCTCATATAGGCTCACAAAACCTGACTCCTACCATGGGCCGACAACCGTGGAATCCTGCCAAGGCTGGAGTTTATACCACAAGAATGGTTTTGCTAGTGTGTAGCCTGGAAGGTTCCCTATGTGGCCAGGGAGAAAGAGGAGGGTTGCAGGGAAGGCAGGCCCTGAGCCTGGAGGGAACCTGGAAGGCTGGGCCAGCACCCAGCTCAGGGACAAGGCAGGAGGCAGAGTGCTGAATGCTAAGTGAATCCAACCAATGTCACCTCAGGCCAGAGGCAAGTTAGCCCTTCCCAGCCAAGGTCCACCATACAGCCGGGGTCTGCAGACTCTGCTGCTTCCCCTGCCAGCCTCCCACCACCCCCGACTCTGGGGACGATCCGGAGCGAACCCACACCCACACTTCTGTCTGACCATCGCAGCTCCGTCCCGCCTGGCCCAGCTCAGGGTCCCAGGCCCAGAATGCTGACAACCCTCAACCCCATCACCAACAAAATATTTACAGCCAAGCACCCGTGGCTCACACCTGTAATCCCAGCTACTCAGAAGGCTGAGACCTGAGGATCCTCAGACCGGAGACTCTGATCTCCTGTTAAACCACCAAAAAGCCCCACGTGGAGCTGTGGCTCAAGAGGTAGAGCACCAGCTGTGAGCGGAATGAAAACATGAGGACCTGAGATCAAGCCCCAGTGCTAGTATGTACACATACACACACACACACACACACACACATTTTCTAGGACCCAAAGAACCTGCCTTGGACAGTGCAAGAACTAGTGTGTTGATGTCATGTTGTCATAACAGCCTGCAGGGGGTGGGGGGGCGCTGGGCAGGGCTGGGGAAGACGGGCTTGGGGCAGGCCCTGTCCCTGGGCTCACCTCCGCCACCTGCTGCTTGTCCAGATGGAACACCTGCCCGGAGCTGGTGGAGGCGATCTCCTCGAACGCCAGGTAGCCGGGATGGGAGCGGTCACCACAGTCTCCGGTCAACACGAAAACCACCTGCAGAGTGCAGCCTGCTCACTGCCAGCCGACGGCAGAGCACCTGCCGGGAGCAGGAGGCCCGGGAGACCCTGGTCTGCCCGTCACCCGCGGCTGTGGGGTGACCAGAGGCCTCTCCTGAGCATCAGCCCATGGGTGCCCATGTGCAGGGCCCCGGGAGCAGCAGGTGCTCAATAAACGGGTTGAGATCTACAGTACAGAGGGGCAGAGCTGGACGTTGGAGGCTCATGTACGTCATCCTCGCTACTGGAGGCTGAGGTCTGAAGACTGAGCTTCAAAGCCAGCCGGGGCAGACTCTGATCTCCAATTAGCCAGCAAAAAGCTAGAGGTAGACCTGTGGCTCAAGTGGTAGAGTACCAGCTTTGAGAGAGAAAAAAAAAAACACCTCAAGGACAGCACCCAAGCCCCTGAGTTCAAGACCCAGTGCTGGAGAAAAGGAAAGCTGACTTGTGGGCTGGGAAATTTTAAAAAAACCCAAACAAGAAAAGCTGACTTGTTTAGGAAGGGCCTATGGGGAAGGGGGTGCAATTTGAAGAATTTTGGGGAATTCTGGGCGTTGTAGACAAGCGAGTCCAGGCTGTCCCGGAGCGGAAGGCCCACCTCTGCCTCTGAGGCCTGGAGATCAGGGCTGCTGGGTGGGAGGGAGAACCCCACACACACCCACTGTGTCCTGGGGACCCAACATGGCTGCCCCGCACCTGCGATTGCTTCCTCTGGAGGAGGTGCAGCAGCTCGTCCTTCTTGTGGTAGTCCTTGGCCCGGGCGTCGGAAAACACGTAGATGAAGGAGCGGGGGTTGGACACGTCCACGGCAGCCTTGATGGCACCCACGCTCATCTCGGGGCAGTCGCCCCCTCCCTGCAGGGCAGACCGGGTGTCAGGAGCTACAGAGCCCGGCCTGGGAGCCCCGAGCCAGCCGGCCTCTCGCTCCAGCCTGGGGGTGGGGGGATGGCCTGGGAGGAGTGAGGCTGAGGGGCTAAAGGTCCCGGGGCGGGGCGGGGCAGGGTGGGGTCGCTCACCTCCCCAGCCCCCCCTGCCCGGGGCACACTGGGCGGGCAGCCCCGTGGTTATCACCTAACTCAGGTTTGTTCTCCTGGGGCAGGATTCACACCCTTGACCTCTGAGAGTTGCTTCCTTCCTGACTCCCCATCCCGGCCCCGGGGTCCCCGTCCCTGGGCAGCTGGCCATCTCCGCGCTGGACCGTGGGGTTAGATGTCATGGAGGAGTCCAGCTGGGCCGTGACCAGGTGAGCCGGGCTCTGGCCTGGCTTTGGGGGCCCTGAACCGCACGGTTCCCCTCTTTCCCTGACACCACGTATGACTTCATCCGGGGTCCATCACCTGCCCTTCAGCCCCTTGCTCAATCACAAGCACTGACTTTGGGCCAGCCGGGGCTCCGGGTTCCTGGTGCCCCAATGTGTGGGGGGGGGGGGGCGGGGGATGGGGGACTGAGAGCGGGAGCATCAACTTGGTCTCTGGGTGGGGAAACGTCAAGACCTAAGAGGAGGGTAGACCCCGGGGCGGGGCCCACCTGCACGTAGAGATCCCTCAGCTCTCTCTGAAACACCGCTGGGTCTGCTGTGAGCGTCACTGGGCCGATATCTGAGAAAGAGACAGAAACAGAGACAGAAAAATGAGAGAGAGAGAAAGAGAGGGGGGAGAGAGAAAGAGACCCAATGGTCTGGGTCCAGCCCCGGGCTCTAGGAAAGCGCAGCATGTGGGCTGAGGGTAAATCCTCCCCCCCCCAACAGAAGCCCCAAACTCACAACCCACCTTCTCCAAAGGACCCCCCTCGCCCCACCCCACCCCCACGCTCCCACCTTCCGTGAGAAAGGAATTCTGGGAGTACAAGGAAAGCAGAGACACACTGCAAACGCCCCGCGCCAGGCTGGTCGACAGGAGCGAGGCCTTCCAGAAATCTCCGCCCCGGCTCCCCCCAGTGTGCGCACACCGTCCGGAGGAGCAGCCGGGAGAGCGGGCGCCCACGAGGGCGCTGCAGATGGGGAATGACTAGACACGAGGCCCACCCAGCGCGGGGGCCGTGGAAGTTTCTAGACGGTCAAGCGAGCGGCCACCACGGGACCTCGGCACTCCACCCGCGGGCAGTGGGCAGGAGGAAGGGCAACACAGCCCCACGAAAGCGGCTGCTCGTGGCCCAGTGCTGGTGGTCACGCCTGTAATCCCGGCTGATCTCAGGATCAGGCTCAAACCCAGCCTGGGCAGGAGCGTCTGCAGTGGGCTGACCCGGCCTAGGGCTCGGCCCTGCCCGGCCCCGGCTGCTCCAAGGCGGGAAATCCAGGCGGCTGCGGCTGCGCGCTGCGAGGCAGCCCGGGCTCAGGCCCCGCCTGGGGGGCTCTCCCGGGCCCAGCGCGGGGCCAGGGCTGTGCGGGGCTCCCGTGCCAGCCCCCACAGCCCCCTTAACAGACTGCCCTCACGCCGGCGGGGCAGACCCCGGGCTGCGGGACCGCAGGCCGCGCGACCCTCGCTCAAGGCCACGCACGCTCCCTCCTCCTCGGGACACCACCCCCACAAAGGCCCTGGGCCCGGCGCCGGCCAGGAGCCCATCTCCACCTGCCGCACATTCTGGGGTCCCGGGGTGGACGGGAGCTCAGGGTGGATGCTGCCCAGCCCGGTCCGATGTCCACATCCGCAGCTAGGGCGGTGGCGGTGGACAGCCCCGGAGCCCGGCCGCTGTACCCCACGCCGCCACGCCCCCCACCGCCCGCAGCCACGCCCCCGCCACGCCCCACCGCCACGCCCCCACCGCCACGCCCCCCACCGCCCGCAGCCACGCCCCCACCACGCCCCCACCACCACGCCCCCCACCGCCAGCAGCCACGCCCCGCCACGCCCCACCGCCACGCCCCCACCGCCGGCAGCCACGCCCCCACACCACCATGCACCACGCCGCCCACACTCCACGCCGCCACGCTCCACGCCGCTATGCACCACGCCCCCACGCCCAAAGTCCCCACGCCGCCACGTCGCATGTCACGCACCCCACGCCGCCACGCTGCACACCCCACGCCGGCCGCCACGCCGCCGCCTGCGTTACAACCCAGCACGCACCGGGTTTCCTGTTGACCATTTGATGCCCATTTATTTTCCCACAGAGGCGCCGCCCAGCACGTGACGTCTGGATCGATCGCCCCCACTTCACGGAGGAGGAAATCGGGGCGCAAGGAGATCACACACAGCCTGCCCCGAGAACTACACCCGGGAAGCCGCAGGCAGGAGACCCGGGGCAGGGGCAGGAGACCCCGGGGCAGGAGCAGGAGACCCCGGGGCAGGGGCAGGAGACCCCGGGGCAGGAGCAGGAGACCCCGGGGCAGGAGACCCCGGGGCAGGGGCAGGAGACCCCGGGGCAGGAGACCCGGGGCAGGGGCAGGAGACCCCGGGGCAGGTGACCCTGGGACAGGTGACCCCGGGGCAGGAGACCCCGGGGCAGGTGACCCGGGGGCAGGAGCAGGAGACCCCGGGGCAGGAGACCCCGGGGCAGGTGACCCCGGGGCAGGGGCAGGAGACCCCGGGGCAGGAGACCCCGGGGCAGGTGACCCGGGGGCAGGAGCAGGAGACCCCGGGGCAGGAGACCCCGGGGCAGGTGACCCCGGGACAGGTGACCCGGGGGCAGGAGACCCCGGGGCAGGGGCAGGAGACCCCGGGGCAGGAGACCCCGGGGCAGGGGCAGGAGACCCCGGGGCAGGAGACCCCGGGGCAGGAGACCCCGGGGCAGGAGACCCCGGGGCAGGAGCAGGAGACCCCGGGGCAGGAGACCCCGGGACAGGTGACCCGGGGGCAGGAGACCCCGGGGCAGGGGCAGGAGACCCTGGGGCAGGAGACCCCGGGGCAGGTGACCCCGGGACAGGTGACCCCGGGACAGGTGACCCGGGGGCAGGAGACCCCGGGGCAGGGGCAGGAGACCCCGGGGCAGGAGACCCCGGGGCAGGTGACCCCGGGACAGGTGACCCGGGGGCAGGAGACCCCGGGGCAGGGGCAGGAGACCCCGGGGCAGGAGACCCCGGGGCAGGTGACCCCGGGACAGGTGACCCGGGGGCAGGAGACCCCGGGGCAGGGGCAGGAGACCCCGGGGCAGGAGACCCCGGGGCAGGTGACCCGGGGGCAGGAGCAGGAGACCCCGGGGCAGGAGACCCCGGGGCAGGTGACCCCGGGACAGGTGACCCGGGGGCAGGAGACCCCGGGGCAGGGGCAGGAGACCCCGGGGCAGGAGACCCCGGGGCAGGTGACCCCGGGACAGGTGACCCGGGGGCAGGAGACCCCGGGGCAGGGGCAGGAGACCCCGGGGCAGGAGACCCCGGGGCAGGGGACCCCGGAGCTGAGCTGTTGACCCCAGGTGAGACGCGGGGAGGCGGGAGGGGAGGAGGGATGGGAGGAGGGAGGGGGACTCGGGACACCTGCCCAAGGCTGGGCAGAGGGGGCGAGCGGCCCCTTCCCGTGGCGCCGGCCACAGCACGTTCCAGACGCGGCCTTGGCTCCGCCCGGCGGCCCCGGCCCAGGGCCCCGGAGCCCCTCAGATACCACCGAGCACCGTGGCTCGCGCCTGTCATCCCAGCTACTCAGGAGGCTGAGAGCTGAGGGTCGCGGTTCAAAGCCAGCCCGGACAGGAAAGTCCGTGAGACTCTGATCGCCAATAAACCACCAGAAACCAGAAATGGCGCTTTGGCTCCAGTGGTGGAGCGCTGGCCTTGAGCTGAAGAGCTGAGGGACAGCACCCAGGCCCAGAGTTCAAGCCCCCGAACAACCGAGATAAAAAGAAATTCTAAGAGAAAGAAGTTACACACATCTCAACAAAGGGAGGGGACGCCCCTCTCTAAAAGTCAGCCCTCCTTTGTCTTTGTGGTTTTTGCTTTCTCTTATTTTGATTTTGGGTCTTGTTTTGCTTTCTTAGTTATTTTTGTTTTATTTTCAGTGTTAAAAATGAAAACAGTTTTACACTTGATGGCTAAAAAAGACAAAAAAAAAAAAAAAAAAAAACAGCATGGCAGGGCCATGGCTGAGCTCGTGAGCAAGTGTGAAGCCCTGAGTTCTGTCTCCAATACCAAAACACTAAAGCAAAGCAAAACAAAATCATACAAGGAATGAATGGTATAAAATCAGAAACAAGACAAGGCTGGGTGCGGATGGCTGTGCCTATGAGCCTAGCTACTGGAAAAGCTGAGATCTGGGAGATCACAATTTGAAGCCCTGGCAGAAAAGTCTACAAGACTCCATCTCCAAAATAACCAGCAAAAGGCTGGGCTGGAGGCATGGCTCAAGTGGCAGAGCACGGGCCACACAAGCAGTGAGCTAGAGACTCTCAGTCTGAGCTGGGCACCAGTGGCTCACACCTGTAATCCTAACTACTCAGGAGGCTGAGATCTGAGAATCATGGTTCAAAACCAGCTTAGGCAGGGAAGTCCATGACACTCTTGATCTCTTAAAAATAAATAAAAATCACCCAAAACCTGGAAGTGGAGCTGTGGCTGGAGTGGTAGAGTGTCAGTCTTGAGCAGAAAAGATCAGGGACAGCACTCAGGCCCTGAGTTCAAGCCTCAGATCTGCACCCGAGAGAGAAAAAAAAAAATGGAAAAGAAGTGTGCAGGCAGACTGCAGCCCCAGTACTCTTTGGCATTGTTTGCCAAGTCTCGCTGCCGACCGGTGCAGCCTTTTGGATGAGTGCGCCTTTGATTAGGAAAAGGAGAAGTGTCACAGTGTCACAAGGCTGGACAAGCCACAGCTGCCAGCCGAGGAAACAAGACGTCACTAAAACATTTAGCTTAAAAGAAAAGAAAACAGCAAAAAGTTGGAAAGAAAATAAATATATGAAAATGAATTGCTTTCCAACATCCCAGTGAGCGTCATTTGTAAAAAATGTCATGGAACAATAACAACAAAAAAACCCCAATTCTCGTCACAATAGTAACACCAACATATTTAGACATGACCTATAAAAGAAGTGAGTGGATCTTATCAGAAAGTATTATAAATCGTTAGTAAAGGAAATAAAAAGGGAAGGAGGAAAGGAGCCTTTGGGGAGCAAAGGAATCTCTGAACATGACGCTGGTGCCTGGCCCAGGGGCTCACGCCTGTAATCCCAGCTACTCAAGGGGCTGAGCAGAGTGATCTGAAGTCAGTCTAGGCAGGAACGTCCACGAGATTCTTATCTCTAGTGAACCAGCAAATAAAAACACACACAGACGTGAAGTCGTGGCTCAAGTGGTAGAGCACAGCCTTGAGTACAAAAGCTGAGGGACAGCGCGCAGGCCCTGAGTTCAAGCTCAGCATCAGACAATGGGGGGGTGGGGGGGGGAGAAGGCCAAAGGCAAAATCGCTGGTCCCTGGCTAGGGCTGGGTGCCATGGGGAATGGCTTGCTACGTGAGACCCATGGGTGAGTCGGGGAATGGAGGCACGCGGGGTGGTAGAACAGAGGTGAGCCAGGAGCTGCCTGTGCGTTGGCAGAGGTCACTATGGTCCACAAGGTCAGCGACTGGACAGCTCCTGAACTCAGGTCCCAGCTGCGCGCGCACACACACACACACACACACACACACACACACACACCACCAGTGAATAAAAATGCAACACGAGAGTCAGATGTGAATAA